CTGTAATCAAGCGATAATTGTCTTGTAGGCATATATAAGAGGGTAATTATCAATTTAATGTCATACTTTTTGATAAATTATACCTAAATAATTATAAATTATTATACATGTTTGATAAACCTTTTTTTAAATATCACTTAAAGTTATAGAATAATTAACTTTGAATTTCTCCTCATTTAAATAGTATTTGTTAGTTATACTTTAATTTAAAATTGAATTAAGTGTATATTTTGTTAAATATATTTATTAAAAAAACAAAAATGTGTATTTTTCCACTTAATTAGTGGAAAATAACCGAAAATTGTCGAAATTTTATATTTTTTGATGTTTAATGGACAATATTACGTATATAATCCTTTTAAAATCAAAAAAATATAAAATTTAAACAATTTTCGGTTATATTTCCTAGTTTTAAATAAAAATTCAAATAGCCAATCATTCAAATTTCCCGCCGAAAAAAACAACTCGGTTTTCCAAGGCTGCTAGATTTAAAAATCAACCAATGCTTGTTGCCACTTTTGACTACAGCGCTTTTAATTCTCTTATGTTCTGTGGTGAAACGTTTATTTTTATATGTCTGTCGTTTTAAGATTGTGTTTTTAAGTGTCAGTTTTCGCATCATATTTTACGGTAGTGCCTTTATTTCTTGTTTGGTAGTGTGGTATTGTGGTGTATATATTATAGGTGTCTTTCATATTGCACACACACATTACATTGGGATTTTGGTTTTTATTTGAGGCCTTGTTTATTTACCGGCTTCTATTCCCTTGTGGAAATTTTTTCTCTGAGAAAGTCTTACTTTCTCTGAAAAAGTCTGAATAATACTTATTAAGTCGGAAAAAGTCAGAATAAGACTTATTAAGTCGGAAAAAGTCTGAATAAGTCTTATTAAGTCAGACTAATAGCAAGATTTGGGAGTCTTCTGGAAGAGTTAATAAGACTTTTTAAGACTTAATAAGACTTTTAGTAGAGAAATGGTAGGTTCCTATGGCGATAAAAATAAATATCCGAAATAATTCATAGAGATTGTAAGTATTTGGTTATCGTAAAATAAAACACATAGACAAGTATTTATTAACATTTTTGCTGTTGTTATAAGCCAAGTTTATTGCATAATTACCTATATACTAACATAGGTAAGAATCTTACCGTAAGATGTAATAATTATAACAATTATAATTTTATACATACGATGCGCTTAACATGCTTTCATTGTTTCCAACATAGAAAAAGGAGTTAATATCAAGTCTATAGACATGATATTTTCGATAGACAAATATGGTTGATCTTCGTGTTTCATTCATCTTTGTATCATGGTTGATCTTCGTGTTTACGTACAGTGTTGCCATAAAAGTTCCTGACCATAAATTACAAAATACTAAAATAATAATAAAAATGTAACAAGATAGAATAAAATAATTGTGCATATTTAGTAAATATACAATATTATTTACTGAAAATTTCTTTTGTTATTATTTTGATAGAAATTTGCAAATCACCCGCAAATATTATGAAAATACCCGATTTTCGAGTAAAATACTTGCAAACGGCAACACTGTGTCCCACTGACAGGTCAGCTGTGCTCTAATTGGTCAGCTAGCTAAGCTGGTCTCTCGATATTACGTCTTACGTCTATTGTTTGTGACAATGTTTAGATAGGTAAATATTTGCGTGTATCAAAAGAAACTATTAAAATAAAACGTACAGTGGCAAACCCTTTTTCTATTGTGGAAGCATGCATGTCAAGCGCATCGTATGTATAAAATTATAATTGTTATACCTAATTATTACATCTTACCTATGTTATTATATAGGTAATTATGCAATAAAATTGGCTTATAACAACAGCAAAAATGTTAATAAATACTTTTCTATGTGTTTTATTTTACGATAACCAAATACAACCTCTATGAATTATTTCGGATATTTATTTTTATCTCCGTAGGTACCTACCATTTCTCTACTAAAAGTCTTATTAAGTCTTAAAAAGTCTTATTAACTCTTCCAGAAGACTCCCAAATCTTGCTATTAGTCTGACTTAATAAGACTTATTCAGACTTTTTCCGACTTAATAAGTCTTATTCTGACTTTTTCCGACTTAATAAGTATTATTCAGACTTTTTCAGAGAAAGTAAGACTTTCTCAGAGAAAAAATTTCCACAAGGGTTAACTATGGCGGGATGTTTTTTATTGCTTTAGCTAATACCTACCTAGGTAAAACTACTAATTTATTAGACATGCATGTGTATTAGATGTCTGCTTGTACAAGTATGTTTACTTTATAAAGTAAACTATTACAATAATTATTATTGTAAATTAGGTAATTTTTTTCTTTTACAGAAAGAAAAACAATGATATAATGCCTCTACCAGAATAAATTATAATTTAATTAATAAGTTAATAAATAATAATTTTGTTTATAATTATAAATAAAATATTATAAACATATTCATTGATGTTTTTCTATACCTTTCAATAAAAATACAATTGTATTTTGATTGAAAGGTATAGAAAAACATCAATGAATATGTTTATAATATTTTATTTATAATTATAAACAAAATTATTATTTATTAACTTATTAATTAAATTATAATTTATTCTGGTAGAGGCATTATATCATTGTTTTTCTTTCTGTAAAAGAAAAAAAATTACCTAATTTACTAATTTAATTAATTAATTCATGTCAAATATAATATATTATATATATTATATCTATATAAAATATTTACATATGTACACAATGGGTACTACACATGTGTACAGTGAATTGCCAAATTATTAAAGACAGTAGCAATTTCTTCCAATTTCGAAGTTTGGATGTATTTAATGAGAAAAATAATTGACCATTTTTAAGTTTTTTTATTTTGTATATTTGCTCTTATTGCCTGCTATATTTTTTCAAAATATACAGGGTTATACCCCCTGAAAAATAGGTATTTGAAAATTATTTCTTTTTATTCAATTGGACATCATATATTATATTTTTAGTAAGTAATGTAATGTTTTTTTTAATTAACTAAAAATAAGTACAACATAAGTATAACATTCAAAAAATATAGATAGATATTCCATTAAAAAAAACTTTTAAAATCGCCATTTTTTACAGGGTATAAAATATTATAATATTATTATATATATATAATATTTTGAAAAAATATAGTATCAACATGTTGGTACTGCAGCATACATAACAAACTCAACAAGGCTCAGATATTTTTCTCACTACATCCAACAAAAATTTAAAATTGGAATATATCCAATGGATATCCACTGGATATCAGCTAGATATCTATGTGGATATCCATTGGATATTTGCTATATCCTGGATATAGGCGGACATTTGGATATCTATAGGATATCTAATGGTTATCCATGAATATCCAGTGGATATCTTGGATATCCAAAAAGTATATCCAATGGATATCTAATGGATATTTTGTGCTGTCTGGGTATAGACTATATAAAAAAGTCTTCGCGCGCCAAGACTTTGAGTGTGATAACTTACATTCTGATTTGCAAGCGGATAAGCGATAAAAAATCCCCGAAAAATTAGAGTTAGATCTACGAAAAATTAATTGAAAATTACAGGATTCGCGCGGTATAACCGACCCAATTTTTTGTTTTTTTCGTCAAATTTTTTCATATTGATTTCATTAAAAAGCTAAATATTGCATTGGTGGGGGCCCCTAAATGGTGGGGGCCCTGGGGCCATGGCCCCGCTGGCCCTATGCTAAATCCGGCCCTGCAAATAGGTATAAAAATGATTAATTTTAAGGTTATGTTTGTGCAAAAATTATTTTTTACTTATTTCTTAAAAATGTCCTAACTTAAATATAAATTATATTAGGTAAAGTTATCATTAGTTAATTCTGCACCAACAAATGTACCTACTTACCGAAGTGGATCCTTTGGCAAAACATGAAAATGCAACGGTTTAGTTCTTGAATTTTATTTACAATTAAAAACACAATAATTCACCATGATCCCTTTGATAAAATACACACACTATTTAAGCATTTAAGAGTTGAGTTTCTTAATCAATGATATAAGGAATAATCAATCGAAATCGAGTAACTACTAAAAATTTTTTTTTCGTTGCAACGTTAAACACAAATAACGTGCGCGATTTAGCTGTTCAATATTGAACAATATTTGTCGAGTAAGACTTCTGCAGAAGGCATGCCTTCCTCTCTTTTGTATAAAAACTACCTATTTATTTAAAAATGATGTATAATCGGGTCTTTGGACAATTTCACCCTGGACAATTCTTAAATTCACGCAATGCATTCGAAGTCCACCAGATGGCGCGCGCGTTGCGAAAACCCGATACTTCTTTAGCGTATACACTATACTATACTATAGTAGCTACTATAGTATATATACTATAGTACTAGTATATTATAGTAGTGTATACTACTCCAATTAGTAGATAATTAAATGATTTTCAAAAATAAATTAATAAAATCTGACATGTCACTTTTTACCAATTTTAAATATTATAGTGGCCTTCTTTCAATTTAAAATCCGATTGGTTCATATCACAATAAATATTGAAATCGGCCAATCATGGATAACAATATGAATAACGATTTCATTATTCACGTTGCTAGGCGGGTAATTTATAATGATTATAATTATATACGAAAATATTATGCAATAGGAGTAGATATATCTACTGTAATAATATATATATATATAATAATAATATTACTACTTTTTTGCTTAAAATATCCTCCCATCGCAAGGTGGCGTATTTTCAAGAAACCCTGTAAATATAACTGTCAAAATTTGACGTTTTAAAAAGCATTAGTTTTGCTGTGTACCTAAAAGGTTTAAAAATTAACTTCAAGGTCATTTACACGCCTTTATTTATGCTTATGTTCTGTGGCTTAGATTATCTGATTAGAATTTAAATCTTATTGGAAACTTTGAGGTTTGAATTCCCGCGGAAAATTAAAAAATAGTACATTCCAATGCCAAACTATTTTTAAACAGAAGAAACATGGCGGCGGTGTACAAGTCGGTCTGTTCAAAATGCTTTAAAATTTCGGTGCTGGGTGACTTTTAGGCATGTAGTGATCTGTGAGAATAACTAGTGAACAAAGTGAGCAACTGTTTTTTAAGTGATACATGCAAATTATTTATTTATTATAGTTTAGTGGCTGCAGTAGGCTTATTTTCGTTTGGGTGGATATCATAAACAATTGAGGTAAGATTTTTAAAGGGCTTTCATGTAGTAAATAAGTTTATTTGATGGAAAATGCGTATGTTGACATGTTATGTCAAATATCTAAATTTACCCCAATAGTTTATAATTAGGTTAGGAGACATTTTGATGTCGAAATTCCTAATAATTTTCGTAAAAAACACCTTCCACAATCTTTTTCGCATTAATAACATAGCTTATACAACGCTCAACATCAATTTTAAAAAAAATTAAGAATAAATTTATAATGAAAAAATTATATTCATGCCCAGTGTTGCCAGGTATACAGCTTTGAAGTGGATGCAAAGTAGATCTATTTTTTTGGACTATTCTGCACCTTGCTAAAACCCCACAGAAAACCAAGTGTGTAGCCTGCCACTGCAAAGATTTCAGGTTCAGTAATGTATCTCTTCACCAGAAAATTGTTCATCTGTGGATTTTCTAATAAATAGTAGGTACCTACCTATTGTCTTTACATAAACAACAAATGTACAATTAAGGGGTCTGTGCAAGAACCAGGTATCTAGACACAATAAAACTCTTCTATAAAGTCGCCTGCAATAAATTAACATTTTTTTAAATAATATTCACTCCTTGCTGCAACCGACAAAATCTGAATCGAATGCTGAATGATAACTTGTTTGAACCATTAGGTTAATGTATAGGAGCGTTTTCTTACCTTTTGTAATATTGCATTGTTTTAGATACCTACCTACCTAAATTATACAAGAAATCATTAAAACTATCTGATTCATTTATTTTTTATATTAGTTGTTTAATGATAGTAAATACGTGGATTGAATATAAAAAAATAATGGCATCCTTAAATTTGTAATCATTTAATTTTTTAATATTTTTTTATAAATCTTTTTTCAACCAAAAATACCTACTGCCCAATAGATGTGGCAACACTGTTCTAAATCACTTTTTGGGCCCGCCCACGTGAATACCACGTGGGTTAAAGTGGGTATTTGACTTTTAATAATGAATTATTCATCCAAGTACATAAATTAGCAACTTTACCGTATTTGGAAACAAGTATTTATTGAAATAAAAGCAGAAACTGAAAGTAAACCCATTTAAAAAAAAAGTCGGGCGCCCTCATTTCATTTGTTTTTCACTGCATACTACGTTAATTTTAAAACAAAATAACATCGAAAACAGATTCTTTGTAATTGATTTAAATAAGTGTCACAAAATGATTCATAAGAGGATTAACAGTTTAGTTCTATAGAAATTTAGTGAGTCACTTTAATACGACAAACTTGGGGTCACATACAGTATTTTAGGACTGAATTCCTAATTCCTTTACCATCAGTTTTTGACAAGTAAGCACTGTTGCCAGATTTTATAGAAAAAAACAGTATATTTATGAAAAGGTACTACCATATATGCTCCACATTAAAAAGTTCCACATTGACATTTACATAGGGAATGCAATCAAATAATTGAGTCGTATAGATTCAAAACCCGCCAAATCCATTTATTGAAAGTAAAGGACAGTAGATATGTTTGCAATACATATTAATTATGTTGTTATAGAAACATGTCTTCTGTCCTTTACTTTCAATAAATGGATTTGGCGGGTTTTGAATCTATACGACTCAATTGAGGTTATGTATCTTTCAGTTTAACGCTAATTTCATCTTATTTTCTAAAAATAATAGGTACATATTTTTTTTTGTGTTATAAATCAAATAAAAAATACAAATTAATTTCAATTAGGTATTTGACAGCATTCCTTATTGAAATGTCAAAGTGGGACTTATTGATGTGGAGCATAGTACATCTGTTATTTATAAATAAGGTAAAGGCATAATTACAGACCAGCATGGTCTTTGCGCATAAAATTAATATTAAATAGGAAGGTAGGTACCTATTTATTGAAATTAACGATTTAACTTTCTATAGAAAAATATTTCTACAGAACACGGGATTCTCTATAGTACCAAGTGTGCTGTGGAGAATGTCGAGGTCTGATTGGTTTATTGCTTTCTATAGAGATCATCTTCTATAGAAAATGATCTTTATAGATAGTAAAGGGACATTCCACGTTACTCGGTAATTTTTGTCCCGCCCGTCACAATTAAAAATTGTGAGTAAAAACCACAAGTTATAAAATTAATATTTTATAATATTATTTTTATTGTGCTTATAACTTATAACAATATTTTTAAATAAATTTTATAACGTGTAGTTTTTACTCACAATTTTTAATTGTGAAGGGCGGGACAATAATCCCCGAGTAACGTGGAATGACCCTAAAGTGGCAGAAAAAAAATTGTAGGATTATGTTGTTGCAAGCTGTTTAATTAACCCCTTTAGCGCCTTACTAAAAACAGTAGATTTATTGCAAAAACACTAGAACTGGCAACACCGCGTGAGTCGATTCGATTTCGGGATAACGTAAGACAAGGATGGACTAAATTTGTGGTATAAAAATAACTGAAATAACTATTTGAAGCTAGCAAGTAATGCTCTGAAAATAGACGGACTGTCCTGTCTTTAATTTAACTAGACGTTATTATTATTATTTTATTACTCCTTTAAATATTTACTTCCTGTTCAACGCACGCTATTTATTTTTAAAAGATTTCTTTTCAGCGGACAAGAAAATATGACTTTTCCGGCCCAGTTATTTGTATAACGCGTTCATTGTATTCGTTGCAGTTTAACTGTTCTTTTATTAGTTTTACGTCGATTAACTAAGTAAATAAACCTTAGACAAGGAATAAACTAATAAAAGGCAATGTTGTCAAGCTTCTCATATGCATATAGTCGGTTTTTCTAATTAGAAATGTTCAAGGTTAAATTTATATATTTTAAAATAAAAATACTGCTAATATCCATAAGAAAACATAATATACCCTTATTAATGTCAAATTTATATGCATTTTCGAATAATAATTTGTCAAGGTCAATTTTTATGAATAGAAATAATCAAAACGTTCATACGAGTACATGAATAAAAGTGTACCTACCTATGTAAATTTGTTAAAAATAATTTTTTCGCATTTTTTGTTAGCAAAATGGTTGTAAGCGAGGAAAGCATAAACAACATAATGAGCGGGATAGAAAACACAGGCGGTGTCAAACAGAATAACCACAAAAAGAAATTACGACAAAGGTGAGTTATTAAATTTACTTTAGTTTTAATATGGACTCAAATAAATTTTGAAAAGAATTTGGCAAGTTCATCTCACACTACACTGGCCAATTTCCAAAAAACAAATAGATCAAATGATGTGAACTTTTTATTGCTTTTATGTAAATCGTTAATAATCGATTGCAAGCTATAAATATTAATTACAACTTTCACCTACTATATGTTTGATTTAACTAAAATAACTATAACAATAAAATTTATAATTGTTTATTGTGATTGTCAAGTTAAACATGTTTTTAAACAAGGAAAGGTGAATTTTAAGTTAAACCATTAATGGTCCCATTGTAAACCCTTGTGGCTTCCTTCACTAAAGTAAATTTATTGTTCTGTTTAGATTTACAATAATAAAGAAGTTAGGACAAGGAACATTTGGAAAAGTACAATTAGGTATTAACAAAGAGACTGGGCAAGAGGTAGCTATAAAAACGATAAAAAAATCAAAAATTGAAACTGAAGCAGACTTGGTTAGAATACAGAGGGAAATACAGATTATGTCCAGTGTACAACATCCCAATATTATACACATTTATGAAGGTACAGTATTTTAATTATATTTCTAATTATAGGGTGTTTTGATAGGTTTTTGAGATATTATTGTTGAGACAGTTGCTTATTTTAGTATTTGAAAACAAGGAAAAGATGGTGCTAGTAATGGAATACGCCGCGGGCGGCGAATTGTACGATTATTTATCTGCGAGAAAAGTATTAACAGAAGTTGAAGCGAGGCGAATATTTAGGCAAATAGCCACCGCATGTTTCTATTGCCATAAACACAAGATTTGCCATAGAGACTTAAAACTGGAGAACATTTTGCTCGACGAAAATAACAATGCCAAGGTAAGTAAGCGGTAGCGCCCTCTGTGAAGCAATAGTTTCATTAAACATACACTGTTTTCACTTTCTGTTGCTATAATATATATTATATTGTTGTTATATTTGTGTATTGAATTATTTTAGCAATATGTTTTGTTTTTAATTAAAAATACTATTAAAGGCTTTATGATTTAATAACATTATTCCAGTATTAACGCATTTGCATGCGCAAAGTAAGCGTGCGAAAAAGTACAACTTGTACGCAAAGTATTACTTTGAGCACAAAAAATTGTTTTTTTTGCATTCTTAAATAGAAATTTAACATACAAGTGTCATGTTTAAATTATAACTGCAAAAATATGGTTTTGTCCTGAAAAAGTAAAATTAAACTTAAAATAAAAATATTTTATAACGTTAAAACAAAAGATTTTAAGTTTGGACATTTATTAGCTAATTCTCCTATACTTTGTGTTGTAGGCGTTACTAAATTTTGGGTAATAAAAATTTGGATTCAATCCAGAGTTTAAATGTTATCACTTGTTAGTGAACATGAAATGTATATTTAGAATTTTTGACGCTAAAATACTATATAATTTCTTAACCATAACGTATTCATTAATAATGTTAAATAATATAGTTCATTAACCAAAAAATTTCCTGCCAAACAAAAATTTAATTCGAGAGACGATTTTTTCCCTTTGAAATAGTATATTATTTTACGAGAGATAATGCTCATATTCTCTACCTCTTTTGATCCAGATTTTTGTATATAACAAAAACTCCACTTTTCTTTTTTGCACTTTGCAAAATAATTTAAATATGTACTAATTGGAATAGATAATAGTATATTATGTATTATGTGCATGCTATACTTTTTCTACGACAAATACTTAAATTGATTTAAATCAAAAATTTGTGTTGCGCTCCATCTATGAAACAATAGGGGAATCTGCGTGTCGCCGTCAAATGTCAATTTTTTATATTTTATAAACACAATTATAAAGGTTATAAATCGAAATGTATTTCTTGAAAATTGACAGTTTTTCACAGTGAAAGTAAAGAAAATGTTTTATGAGCACTTTACAGTGGAGTCCGTGCCCGAATTTAAGTTATAGTTTACTGCCGGCGAAATTAAAAGGTCTGTACAATGTTCATATAAACTTTTCAAATATTGGCGTTGAGAAACTATTTAATACTTTTGTATTTTTGTATTGAGATAATAAAATAATTTTCACATTTAGTATTATTTTACAAGAAAGGCAATTTATTTTAACGATTGTATGACATTTGACAACTGTCAACTAACTTAAAACTAACTTCAGCCCGTGACTAAAAACCTGTTGCTAACTTCAGCCCGTGACTAAAGCGCCATAAAGCCACAACTTGTCAATGTGTATTTAAAAGGTCACTCAGTGTCATGGAAACATGTACGATAAAGGGCGTTTTAAAGGTGGGAGTAGAAAAAGTATATTATTACACTCGAGATTATGCATATTATTCCCTCGGATAATTTGCATCTCTCGTCTGGAGACTCGAGACACAAACCTTATCTTTGTGAATAATAGCCTGCATTATCTCCCGTATAATAATATACTATTATCTACTTCAATAATTATTAATTAAGTAGGTAATTAAATAATTTTCAAAAATAAGTAAATAAAATCTGACATCTGTCAAATGGTGAACCTAACTTTTTATTAAAATTAAATAGTTTAGTCGCCTTCTACCAATTTACAACCCGATTGTTTCAAATTACAGTGAATATTGAAATCGGCCAATCACTGATGCCTAACAACGTGAATAATGGGTTCACTATTCCCGTTGTTAGGCAGGAAATTTATAATGTTTATTACATAAGGAAAAAATTCAAAATTATGAAATAGGAGTACCTAGATAAAGATATTTATTTAAAATTGATATTTTCGATAATATTAAGTCTTGAAAAATTTTGCATTTATCTGTGCTTGAGATATTGAAAAAAGCACATTAATAGTTTATAAAACGATGCGAAGAATGCAAACGCCGCAGTATGCGTAATTTTTTCCATTTAGGGAAAGAAAATGGAAACCTTTTTTTAATAAGGCGCGTGTATGATAAATGTTTACTTAGACACCTAATATGACCTTTCCTGGCCTCATGTGCTTACACGGCGAGTTAAAAATAAGCGCTTAGACGGTGACCGCTCTCGATCATTTCGTCATAAACTCCGGCACAGTCTGTGGTCTGTGGCTAGCGTCCACGGTATACCGTATGATTGGAAATTGAATTACAATTTCACTAAATAGCTATTTAGTTGAAAATAAGTAAAAAGGTTAAAAAATTTGAGGAGGCTAGCCTCCCCTGACGAGCCGCCCTTCGGTAAGGAAACAGTAGAGTTTAGGATTTTCCTACATAGTACACCTCTTAAAGTAAGCAAAACTCATTTTTGTTATTTAATGTAAAGCATTCTGGCTTCACTGCTAAAACTGATTTTGTTGTTAGGAAAACGTTTGTCTAAAATTCTCCCTATTTAAAGTAATGTTGGTTTTAATTCTCCTATATGACTACTGTCTGTAAAGGTTTGTAGAAGTTAAAGTAAAGAGTTATGCAATAGTCTGAAGCTTTTAAATTCGGTTAATTTTATAAAATGACGATTTGAACTTTTAAAACAGGAATAAAAACGTTTATATTCAATTTATAAACTGTAAAAGTAGCATAAGCATTTTTTAAATGAAAACAGCGTTAATTAGTAGTTTTGGGTATAGGAACATGATGTATATTCGGAATCAGCGCAAAATTGTCTATAAGATTAGCCTCGAGATTAGCTAATAACATAATTTCAAACATTTTTTAAATTTTAAATTGAACCAGTAACCGATTAAAAATGGGGAGAAACTTAGAATTCACGATTTCTGATACAAAAAGTTTTCTGCTTTTTTATCAGTTTTAATTAAAATGCACTTAACTGCATTTTAACTTTTTAGTCAAACTCTTTACCTGTTTGAACTTGTTCAAGAAAGTAGAAAAAATAATTAGGAATGTTAAAAACACATTTTAGAATGTTATAAACGTATTTAAAAATGTTAAGAACCATTTATCCAAAATAAAAAATTAAAAACTCGGAAATTGTTCTTTTTTAAGATTGCCGACTTCGGCCTTTCAAATGTTTTTGACGACCAACGACTGCTCAACACTTTCTGTGGTTCCCCATTATATGCCTCCCCCGAAATTGTCAAAGGAACTCCCTATCAGGGTCCGGAAGTTGACTGCTGGTCCCTGGGGGTACTTCTTTACACCCTTGTTTATGGGGCCATGCCTTTTGATGGCAGCAACTTTAAGAGACTTGTCAAACAAATATCCCAGGGCGATTATTTCGAACCTGAGAACCCAAGCCGTAAGTAAAAAACTTTTATTTCTTATGATCACTTTTGAGCTGGTTCAGAACTATTAAAATGCTCAATTGGTATGAAACGAAACCTTTTATAGAAACCGCGCATACACAATAGTTCAATAGTTTAAAATTGGTTCTGAACAGTTCAAAATTCAACCGCGCACAAAGCTAGCAGTATAATATATTAAAATGTCAATTTAATGTATATAGCCGCCTCACCTTTGATCCGCGAGATGCTCACCGTAAACCCAAAGAGCAGGGCCGACATCGAAAAAATCTGCTCTCATTGGTGGGTAAACGAAACATACGACAATAGCTGTCTTGAAATATCTGAAGAACTAGCAAGCCAAACACCAGTGCGGCTTGACTTGCTGCTAAGTCTGGCACCGCCGCCTCCCCAGTTAGAATCCGACAAGTTAGTGTGCGAGGAGGCGGTAAAAGAGGCCAGCACACCGGCCAGATCTCACTCCGTTGGAAGCATCATGGATTTGAATCCTGCGGAAAGAAGGATTATCGAAATGATACAGGAGGATAAGGCGACGCCGAAAAGAAAGCTAGCAACGGCGGCTAGCACGGCGCAAATTGATAAGGGTAGGAGGGAGAAGATCGTGAAGGAAAATACCGTGGCTGATATCACGTTGCATGGTATCAGGGAGGATAGTAGTATGAGTGAAGCGCCACCTATTGACAGGAGTTTGACTCAGACTTTGTCGAGGGAAATGGATGTTGAACAAACTGAGGAGATTATTGATCCTTCTTTGCAAGGTGCTGCCTGTGCTGAGATTATCGAAGAGGCTGAGAAGAAAGAGGTTAAAAAACCTTTGAAGATTAAGAAGACCATGTCAACTACTGTGAACGATAAAATTATGGAGGAAGTAATTGAAACGCCCCAAAAGAAGGAAAATAAGGTAGTGGATAAAGAAAATGTCAAGGAAGATGTGGAAGTTAAAGAAAAACCAGTTAGGGAGGAAGAGAAGGTCGAAGTAAAACCGACTAAAAGAAAAGTCGAGAAGAAAGTTCTGACTGATAAAGATGAAAATTCGAAATCGCAAACAAGCGAATCTCAAATCAGCGAGCCCAAGAAACCCGTAAAACCTAAAGAAAAACCCAGCAGTACTAGCGAAACCGAATCAAAATCTGAAGACACTCCTTCAAAACCCGTAGAACGTAGAAAATCCAGGATTTTCGAGGCAGCCGAGAAATTCCAGAACTTGATTTCGCCCACAGAAACAAAACCTATCCCCATAGAAAAACCCAAAAAAATTCTCATACCTGGTGTGAGCGTGGACGGTTTCAAAAAGGAGTACGAAAGAAGAACCAGTTTGACATCAACGTCGCCGCCAAAAGTAAAATCCGAAGCCCCCGTCAAAAAAATAATCGACGTAGAACCCAAACCGGAACCCAAAAAGCAGGAAGAACGCAAAGAAGCAGTGCGCAACGCTGTAAACATCATTTCCAGCGCTCTAGACAAAGAGGGAACGAGAAAATCCAAGTCAAGGCCGTGCATGATGCGAAAACCGCCCGTACCTTTCGGCGTAAGCGGTAGATCAGCATCCGGCAACATTGGAACCATAACCTCACAATTACAACAACCGCTCGGACCGAAACCGTTCGTGAAAACCGAACCGCGTAAAGTCCCGGAAACACCCGAGCCGCAAGAAGACAAAAATCAAGTATCCTCGGCGGAAATAACGTTGAAGAGTGCAACGTTGCCAAGAAGAAAGACAGCTAAAGCCGAGATTAAGTTGAATTATCCCACACCAAAACCGGCAACTATGGAGTTTAAGACTGAGATGGCGCACAACGTGGCAGCCGCGCCTAGGCGTAGCGAGATGGTGTCGCCCCCTCTGGTTGGATTCAGGTAATCCAAAATAGTAAAAATGCGTTTTATGCGTTAATTTTTTGTATTTTTAGGGCGGATTCTGAGGCTAGGCAGAGTAAGGAGAGGATTATTCCGATTGCGTTTGAGAAAAATGCGGAAAAAGAGGCCGTTCAGTCGCCGCCGACCAAACCGCCCACTTCAAGGCTGTTCCAAACACAGAAATCTACCCAATCACAAAGGTAAGAATATCGCGTTTTTTTTTATATAACTTGATCTGAATATTGTGGTGTGCTTTATTATCTTACAATTTTAACACATTTTTCTTTTTTAAAGATCCGGCAGCTTGTCGCGCCAATCGACGCAAGATTCAGACACTGACACGATCGCATCCAATGGCGAACCAATCAAAAAGAGCCCCAGGGAGTACATAATACCGATTGCGGTCGAAGGTGGCGGTTACGTCACGCCGCGCGCCGGAAGTCTGGAACCCAGTGAAACCGGAAGCACCGCTACAAGCAAAAGCCGCTTCGGAAGAACCGCAAAGCGACTGAAGTAAGTAAATTTAAGCATTTATGGTTCTAATGAAATCTCTTTAATTTTAGGTTTATGCGATTTTATTTAAATTCTATTTAAATACTTAGTTTGGTTATGATTGTGGTTTTTCTTAATTTTTATTTTGCGTGTTTTAGCTCAAGATTGAGTGATCGGGACTCTGAAGATGAGTCGCCTTTTACAAATTTACACCGTCACAGTTCCTTTGGAAAAGACAGTGATAATGAAGATTCTAGAAGTGCTTTCCATATGCACAGATTAAGGTAAAACATAACTTGGCAACATTGCAATTAATAAACAGAGTTGCAAAAATGTTAATGTAAAAAATAATGCAATCGTCATTTTTTTTAATGGTAATGTAGTTTAAAAAAATTGTAAAGAGAATTATTTTCATTACACATTAAAAAATTAATGAGTAATGTCAAACAATACATTACTCATTAAAAAAATAAAAAATGAGTAATGAGAGACCATCCTTTACACATTAAAAAAATGTGTAACAAAAGACATTACCCATTACATCAGTAAAAAATGATCAGGGGTAAGGTTGATGGGGTGATTTTTTATATGGGGCATTTTACACCAAGTCTGGCAGTTAAAAAAAATTATTTTTCGATATTTTTAAGTACCCATTAAAAATCCCTTTCTGGTAAAGTTTGATATTCTTTTGCTGCTAATTAATAATGGTCTGAATTGAAATTTTTATTTCTTAAAATTTTCGTGTATGAAAATTATCCAACGCATATTTGCATGCGAATTTTGAGTTTTAAAATTTTAATTTTCTTTCTTCTTCGATTTCCTTGCAATTTTTTTACTCACTCAAGAAATTTTAAGCTGGGGTTGATAATGAGATTATGATAATTAGGTGAGAAGGCGACCTAAACTCAAAAAAGTATTGAATCCGCGATTGTATAAACGAATAATTAATTTTGAACATCTGTTACTGGTAAAAAACCATTTCAAAACAAAAATTGAAAAAATTTGGCATGCAATTAAAATATCTTCCTTGTCCACTTAAAATGAGTAATTCGATAATCATTCATTTCTCATTAATAATAAAAAATGAGTACCTACATTACTCATTAACATAAAAAATTGTAATTGAAAATTTCAAAATACTCATTACAAATTAAAAATGAGTAATGTATAAAGAATACTTTACTCAATGGAAAAATTAAATGAGTAATTAACTTAATTTTCATTAAAAAATAAACACATTACTCATTATTTTAATAATGTGTATTGAAAACTTAATGCTTTAAAAAAATAATGCATTTTTTTTTAAATTTATTTATTAAACCACAATAGAACACATGATTCCATAGCAGGTACAATAGTAGGAAAATAAAAATATTCAACAAATATTATATAAAAACACTGATCACAGTTTTCTTATAGATAAATATTAGTTTTTGACCGATGTCGAAAATGTTTTTATTGTTCTTTGGTTTTTTGTTGTCTCAGGAAGTTTATTGTACCATTTCAGAGTGATATTTGGAGCAATGAGAATGCTGGTTGCTCCTTGAGTTATGTTTATGTTTATCACAGTTTTTAGTTAGGTTAATAGTTGTTTCTATTAGGTTATTTAGTTTATACACCACTTTGACACTATCCAGCATTATTAGCTTAACAATATTTAACACATTTAGTTTGTTGTATAAATATGTAGAGCTCGTTAGGAAAGGTTTGTTAAATAAGAGCTTGAGAAGTCTATTTTGTGTCACTTGCAAACTCTTCCATTTTTTTGCTTGCCCCCAAAAAGCTGAAAGATACATTAAGTGGGAGTTAAGGTACGCATTATATATTAAATGTTTAGTTTTCTTGTTTATTAAATAAGCATTTCTTCTCAGGTAATAACTTAAGCTTCTAATTTTATTTTTAAGGCTTTGAAAGTGGTCACTAAAACTAAGATTTTCATCAATAATTAATCCCAAATATTTTGCATTTTTCACTTTATCCAAAATTTGTTTATTTAATGTTATAATGTTATAGTTATCACAGTTTTTTTTACTTTTTATGACTAGATAGTTGCACTTGGATTCATTAAGGTTAATATTATTTTTCTTAGTCCACACATTAATGGCATTTAGATCGCTTTGAGCCCATCCAAACACATCCTCTTCATTTCCAGAATAGAAAAGTCCGGTATCATCCGCAACTCTGTTTATAAATAAGTGTAATTTGGATACTCTGACTGTAAAATTTTGTAATTTAGGAGCTCCAGGCCTAAGAAATCCACCCTTGAACACAACGACTCCCTCAGTTCTGGTGAAGAAGATGATGATGAAGGTTTCGAAAACTTTACAGCGGAAAATTTGTTCTCTACACTTTTGTCTAGGGTATAAAAAACACATTTCCTCATTTTCCAACATTGTTACAATTAATTTTCATAACTTAGGTCCGTGATTTGACCCAAAGACTAAACGTTGAAGATGGCTCCAGGCCAGGTTTCCCCACAAGCAGACTGCTCAGCCAATTCAACCACGGCACGAATTTCTTCAACAGACAAGATCCATTTACAAGGTGAGTTAAACAAAATTAGTTTATTTGTTTATTTGTATATAAAAGTGTGACTTTATGACTGCCATTCTTTCCAAGCACCCAACATACTACCATAATATATAGAAGAGAAATCAAGTCTATAAAGTAAGTTGGTAATGTTACAGTTTAGGGCATTCACAGTAATGATTTGTTTAGGTACTTTGTAGTTTTTATGTTAGTTTTGTTCGGATACCAAAATGTTATGATTCTGCAAGATTTTGTCCACCTGGTAGTCACTAAAAGCCACATACTTTTACACATATACAAATTATTTCTAACAGACTGTTTCCTTTTTGTGGGGTTAAAGTAGGGGAAGTGAAAATACCGGTATGATTGCATTGAGGCGCTTGTTGGTTTAAAAATATACCTACCATATTTTTGTCCCTATTTGGAAAGTATAATAAATACTTTTTAATAAATCGTATATAAATTGTATGAAAAAAAAGCATTTAACAATAACAAACACACAAGATTTTATAATGTAATGTTTATAACAGCAAGAATTTGACAACGTCGTATTTCGATCACGATAGTCAAAAGGTTTTTATCATAGACATATTAATATGTAGATGGTTTATATAATTAACCATTTTGTTTGTTTTCTGTATACCAATTGTTTTGGCATTGTTTTTTTCCATTGCTTTTATGAGATTTTTAGTGGCTTTTAGATAATATGCAATGCATATTATCTAAAAGCCACTAAAAATCGCATATTATGCATATTATGCCACTTTTTGCTTTTTTTCTTTATAAAGCCAAACCACAGAAATGTATGTAAGCTTAACCTAGGCGATGTAAGCAAATGATTTAGAAAATTTTGATATAACCTACATTTTATTTAGTTGGCATAAATGGACGTATTAATATGTCTTAGGTATTATATACAGTGTGTCTAAGAATGGACTTAACTATACTTGTTAAAATATTTATTTTCAATTTTTTGAAGAAAAGTCACTCCTCATAATTGTTCTGCTTGTTACCATTCACTATAAGAAACTTCTATTTTGTTATACAGGGTGCGCAAAAAAAATACAATTGTAGATTTTGCAAAATTAAAAATTGTTAAATATTTTTTTTGGGTCTAATATGAAGAGCTTGTAGGGAGAAACCAAAAAGCCAAATAAAGTTTTTCATTTGAGTTGTTGTTACTAAGATATTTGTTATTAAAAATAAAATTAATTCAGGTCCTAACTTAAGTGGTCCTATTATTTTGTAGAAATAGACTGCTATCTCGTTTTGTGATTTGTGATTTGCTTTTAACTGACATGTATACAATTATTTGTTAAAATTTGAAAACTAATATCTTAAATTTTCAATATCAAATATCTTAGTATCAAAAACTCTTATGAAAAAACTTTATTTCAAAAAAAATATTTAAAAAATTTTAATTTTCAAAATCTATATTTTTGCTCACCCTGTACAACTAAATTGATGTTTCTCAACGCTAATCGTATTTATATCACAAGCAAAAGAACTTTTGAAAAATGACTTCCTCGAAAAATTTTAAATAAATATTTTTACAAGTATAGTTAAGTCCATTCGTGAATACACTGTATTTTAAATCCCCCACTTATGAACTGACTATGCGCATAAGGTAAGATCATACGACGGATCGACAAATTTCCCCTCAAAAAAAGGAAACAAGGTCATCTATACAAAATATAGCGAACAAGCAGTATATGTGTGGAAATATGTGCTAAAAGCACAGCATTCCTTAATTATCATTATTTTTTCTTCGCACTTCTTATTATTTTGCATAAATTTAACGTTTCACAAGGCTCTGTTTTATGACCTTTTGTTACTACTGATGTTGTAAATAAGGGAACGTTCTCGATTGTGCTGGGGAACGCGAAGCTTCAAATGACGTAGATCGAACATAGATCGATTTAAGTCAAGTTAGTTATATTCAAAATTGCTTTGTTTAGCCGTTAAAGGCCGTCAAACATTTTTTTTAAATTTTTGTTTTTAAAATTTGTTGAAAACGTCACATCACACAAAACTTTTGGTTTTTTTTTCATCAAATTTATGAAAACCCACGTGTTTTTGTTATGGAAATGTCTTAAGAACTTTTTTTTTATTGAATGGTTTTGCCAGAAATTTTTTTTTAATTTTAAGTCATCCATGGGTAAATAATGTTTATCCTATTTTGGTACTTCTTTAACAGTCATGGCAATACAAAAATATTTAAATTATTAATTAACATAGCAACAAGATCACTTAAAAAAATATCGCCAGATATTGTTTTTATTACAGTTAATACGAGTATGCAGATAATTAATAATATTTCTGTTTGGGCACGACCGGTCATCGAATAAAAAATGTTCAAGGGAATAAAAAGCTTTTAAATACATCCCTTTACCTAAAAAATACCTGGATTGTCATAGAAAGAAAAAATAAAGAAAAAAAATCGAACAAAACTGATCCACCAAAAATTTTTAATCAAGTAAAAGCTTCTAAATACCTAACAACTGGGTTGTCATAACTTTGATGACAGAAAAAATTCGGAAGGAATGATTACATGTGTCATCACATTTATATCCCTTCTGCTTATTTATAGCCAGAAAACGTAGACTATACACCCAAAATCACTAAAATTAAAAAGCACGTTTTCAAAAAATTTGAAAAAGAACTAAAAAAATCTTTGACAGCTTTGACGTCTAGACGTTGGAACAGACCCTTTAGGAACAATTAACTTGAAAATTTGGAAGTGAGCATTGTATTTAAAGATCTTTTGATGACAAAAATTTGATATTTATGGTTATTTAAGGTTTAAGACGGATTTTTGTTCCCTTTTTATAACTTATGACTTTTTATTATTTTTGTTATTAGTATTTTTTTATTGATTCGATTAAACCGTAAAATTGAAAATATTCTCAAAAATATTTATCACAATATTGACGAGAAACAAGCCCAATTTTGCTATGCTGTTAATAAATTCTCGGGAATTTCTCGTTTATTCTCGTTTGTGCTCAATTTGCGTTCCCCAAAAATAAATGCTCTAACATTTTTCATCTGTAACCACTGCAATAAATGTTTTATGAAATTTAATTTAAATGACAAATTCGTCAGTATTTTAGACGATTAGTAGTTGGGTCATTATACTATTAAAGCTATCTGCCATTTGTCAGTTGTCCCTAACATTTCTTATTAAAAAAATAATAAATTGAGACAGCTGGATTCATAAAATTTATTTAATAAGAACTTAAAATAACAAAAATTAATAGAAAATTGTTTAATTAAATATAATAATATTTTTAATGTCTTAATAATTAACTTTCAACCTTAATTATTAAGGTTGAAAGTTAGCATCACACTCTATAACCCCATGTACTCATCATATTGCAATAGTGATATATTTCATAGGTTTTGTATAAACAGAATTCTAAAACTAAAATTAAATAACAAATAAGTAGCTCCTCAGTACTAATAAAGAATGTGATAAAATGTCTGTGAATAATTTTTTAAGAGTGACCAAACCTTGTCCTTATATTTAATGTCTACTTCGTCAAAAACCGCTTAAAAAAAAACAGCTTTGTTATAAAATACACTAGATTTTGGAATGACATAAAAAAACTCTGTAACCCACGTAGTTTATAACTGTGGCACGATATGGCGCCGCTGCAGGCAATGGTATCGCTATTGTTATTTTGCGCGTTACAAACAAGCAGCGTGTGTTTTTAAAGGTTATCTTTCGTCACGGCATTTACTCGGTAAGTATTTGCAGTATTTGATTTTCTTTTTCAAGTAAACCAATTTCTTTATTTTTAATTATTGCAATGTGCATTCATTGTGTCCTTCACATGTCTCTTTTGTCACACTGCACTGCTATCGCTACGACATTAAAACTTAAAAATAAGAGACTTTAAGCGAAACAACTGCTGAGAGTAACATTAGAATTACCTTTAGTTTGCCTAAATAATAGTCACAATCGATATGAAAATGTAAAATATTTATTTTTTTAGAGGTAGATGGGGCTAAAAAGTATAATGACCCAGTTATATAAATTTAATTCACTAGCTTCTGTAGATTATAGACCAGGGTCGATAATTTTTGAAACCAAAAAAAATAACAGTAGGATGAAACCCATTGGAAAAGGAGAAGAATATAATAAAAATGAAAGGAAAAATAAATTACGGGCGATCTGACTTCGGGAAGTGGGAGGGGGGGGGTTTTAAGGGTAAAAAATGGTTTATCTCGATTTCCGGCAAAACTACAAGTCCTATGGAAAAAAGTTAAATGGCAAAGTTGTAGGTAATAAAAGGATCTACAACTTTTGTAATTACAATTTTTTTACATAACCTCAAAATTTATGTGAAAAATTCAAAAAACCAAGTTTTTGGTTTTTTATTTTTATCTTTTTCAAAAAAAAATTTTTCTTCCACGAAATTTGGTGAAAACTTACCTTTTTATGTCCCAAATACACTGTAATTTATTTGATTTGAAAAAGCACCCTAATTTTCAATCGAAAATTCTCGCGTCAAAATATCAGTCGGTAGGCTTTTTGTTCGTTGAAATCTCTACTTTCTGATGGTGTAAAAAAATATACATTACTAATAGTAATATTTTTTGCATTTTCTGAGAACATTTACCATAGTAATTTACTATGGTAAATGTTCTCAGAAAATGCAAAAAATATTATAATGAATAACGAAAAAAACTCGAATTCGAAAATTTATTTTAATCATTATGTACAATTTCATCAAAAAAATGTGATTGTTGCAATTTTTTTTAGTTAAAAAGTTTATTTATTAAATTCTAATAACATTTGTCAGAAAATCTCATAAAATATAAAAATACATGTAAATCATACTATTGAATTTAGATACTTCATTCTGATTACGTTATTCATTATAATATTTTTTGTATTTTCTGAGAACATTTACCATAGTAATGTATATATTTGTTTACACCATCAGAAAGTAGAGAGTTCATCGAACAAAAAGCACACCGACTTTTTAAAAAAAGCTGATATTTTGACGCGAGAATTTTCGATTGATAATTAGGGTGCTTTTTTGATATTAAGTCAAAATAAGGCGAAATAATAAATATTTCAAATCAAATAAATTACAGTGTATTTGGGACATAAAAAGGTAAGTTTTCACCAAATTTCGTGGAAAAAACCAAAAACTTGGTTTTTTGAATTTTTCACATAAATTTTGAGGTTATGTGAAAAAATTGTAAATACAAAAGTTGTAGATCTTTTTATTACCTACAACTTTGACATTTAACTTTTTTCCATAGGACTTGTAGTTTTGCCGGAAATCGAGATAAACCATTTTTTACCCTTAAACCCCCCCCTCCCACTTCCCGAACTCAGATCGCCCGTAATTTATTTTTCCTTTAATTTTTATTATATTCCCCTCCTTTTCCAATGGGTTTCATCCTACTGTTATTTTTTTTCTCTTTTTACCATTTTTAAAGGCTTCTGCACTGGTCTATTATTATAAAAGACTAATCACATGGTTTTTGGGTTATAATTATTTAAATATGCAGTTTCAAACAAAAGTTGCTGGAAATATGTTTATATAAAATTTTTGTAATAACCATTTTTACCGTAATATTTGTATTAAACGAAATAATCAACTGTACCCTTTAGGTAGAATGTTCCGCTGGAACCCACTAGCTACGGACAAAGTTCATGTATTATTTTCGACGATTAGATTGGATAATTATCAACATAAAACTATTTTTTTCTTCTAGGCATTCTTCGTTTAACCGCACTCTAAGTCGCGAGGGAAGCGGTGCCGATAATAACTCGACGTCGTCTTTCACTAGTCCCTGGCGTCGCAGCGTGAGCCGAGACCTGGCGTCGGACATCGACAGCGTCATCGGCGACTCGAACGCCAGCGTCGGCTCTTTGGCGCGGCCACGAGGAGGTAACATAAAAAAATTGCCCGTCATTTTACAGTAGTAGATTTTGTGTTGTTGTCCCGACTTTTTTCTTTTTTTAATTTTTTGGAAAGATAATAATTTTTTTAGTAACTGTGTCGTAGATCGATGTTACTACAAGTCTTAGTTCGCCTTTAAAAAATACCACATTGTTCCTTTTTGACACTTTGGATATTTTCCAAACAGAACCCATTAAAATACAGTGTGTGCAATATTACGCCATCTCGATTTTTGAAGGCGATTGGGACATTTTTTTGCTCGTGTAGTTTTTTCTTTTGTAAGAAATGATTCTGATTCACGATAATTTAGATTATTTTTTAAGTAGTGTGCCTAGTTTGATGTATTATTGCATAAATTTAAAAGAGACTCGTGATAATTTTAATGCTGTCTAATAATTTTCTCAATTTAAAGGACTTCTTACTAATTTTTTGTGAATTTAATTAATATTGTCATGTTCATTTTTTTTGTAAAATAAATTGAAATTAAGAAATCGTTTTTTATTATTATGGTCATGGTGAATTGTACCAATTTAAATGTTATGCACATGTATGATACTAATATTATTTTAATTATGTAATTGTAATTAACGCTTTAGTTGGGAAAATTATTAATGGTATAAATAATAAAAATAACTAACAATAATATTTAAATAAAGAAGTTTAACAATACTTTATAATAATATATATATAATATAATAATATTTTAGGTATTAAGCAGGGCTCCCACACCTCCTAAAAAGCATAAAATTTCTAAAATTTTGCTTAAATCTTGAAAACTAAAATTCTCCTAAAATTGCATTCAATCACCTAAACCTCCTAAAATCCTAAAAATTAAATTTAAATAGGCCAACCTGACTGCGTTTAATGAAGGTAGTGCTAAAAAAATTCTTTTTAAAAAAGTAATTTAAAAATAGATATTTTTAGGTTCTATTTTATTAAATTCTTTTTAAAATGATATAATATCACAACCTAAATTTTTCTTAAAAAACAACAAAAAAACTTCTACAAAATTGTCATTTCGTTTTTTAGTCAAAAATATACCGTGTTATATATCAAAGAAAGGATTTTAATTTTCTTTTAAATGACAGCTAAAATAGTAAACAATCTAAAGAATGTTTTGGTGTATTTTGCAAACTTCATATTTTGTTTTGAGATTTTTAATTATTAAGGTCCACATTACAATTGAATCAGTGAGAATAAGAACAGTACGAGTCCAAAAAAAAAATCAATTTTAAAGTTTAAAATACATTTTTGTGAGAGATATAAATTATTTTACAGAATATGAATAAATTATTTCATAAAATAGTTAAAATATTCTAACAAAAATGCATTTATAACTATAAAACTGATTTTTTGAAATATTTTATAAAAAATTAAACTTTTGGACTTGTATTACTCTTAATCTTAACAAATTTTTTATAAAATATAAATATAACATCATTTGATTTTGGCATAGTTTTTTAACCAAATCTATCGACGCAATTTTTTTTAAATAAAATGTACCTCAAATATTTACAAAAGTAGTAATTTTACCTCACTTTTAATTTTATTTAAAAAAACTCGTCGAGCGATTTTGCTAAAAAACTAGTCAATATAACTTATTTTTACAAAAGAAGTATTAATTTTTTCTTATTTTTTAAGTAGTAAAGAGTTGTTTTTATTTAATTAAAGAAATTCATTTCCATACTTTATTTCTCCTAAAATTTTACAAAAAAACCTCCTAAATTCCTAAATAAAATTTGTAATTTAGCCGTGGGAGCCCTTAATTTAAGGTAGCATCTCCATTTGAAGAGTTTCCATAAAATCTCTTAAAAATTTAATATATGTATGATTTAAAGAGGCATCAGACACAATTAAAATTAATTTCAAATTTTTTTACAGCACAGATTTCAAGACAAACATTTTTAAAGTATTTTTTTTTCATACGCTATTTATTTATTTTGTATCTCACGAGCTTGCTCATAAGGTTTCCATAAAAAATAAACTAAATAATCAATTTTTAAGCCATCAACATGATTCTATTTTTTTCTTGAGTTTGGAATAATCTGTGGGAAATAACACATTTGCACAAGTGTTATTTTCCATGGATTCTTTTAAAAAATTGTTTTTTGAACTTGAGCAACCAAAGAGATCATGTTGATGGCTTAAAAGTTGATTATTGCAGTATATTTTTATGTAAATCTGAAAAAACAATTTTCTTTATCACTTTTTAAAATGCTCTTTTCAAATTTCGTGTTGCCAACTTAAGGAACTGTTTTAAACCTTAATTTTGCCATTATAACAACAAATTAACAATTAATATTGTGACTTTTTTTACTTTTTATGTTGTTTTTAATTTTTAATGATCATAAATACTTTAATTTGTAATAAAGTATTAACTTGTTAATTAAAATATTTTTACTACATTGGCACTGCACGACCTACTGTTATTATTTATCAAACTCTTGAAATGAAGATGCTAAAAAAATACAAAAACACTTTAAGGAGTAGATTTTGAGTTATAAGGTTTGTAAATTAATATTAGTATTTTTTTATTTTTTATCTATAAAAAAATAACAAAAAACTATTTTCGAATGTTAAAATACCATACCAGCCCTATCTGCCTTTATTATTTGTTCCCATAATAATCATTTTAATATGTAATATTTCAGTTTTGCCGGGTTTCTTTAAACACTTATAAATCAAAAACTACTTAATTGTTTTAATACATACTTTAAAATATCCTGTATACATAAAAAATACCAACATCTCAAGAATATTTTTAGTCAGTCATTTATTAAAAAATCAAGACAAAGTTTTTAAATATATTCTCGAGGTAATAAAAGCATAATTAAATCCGTTTTTAACAATAATTTTAATTTTATTGGCGTCTGTAGACATTTTTTTTTAAATATCAGACTTTTTGTTTTCCGTTGCGTCATCATTTAATATAAATAAAAAATAATAGAAAATTATAAAATTAAAAGAAAAGTATTTTTAGAATTTTTAACGACGATTTTAATTAAAAACTTTAACAAAAATATCTCTTAATTGAGATTTTTAAGAAGATTTAAGATGTGATTTTATGAAGAAAAGTTATTTTTAACATACATCCTAAAAATAAACCTTTTAAGGATTAATTTGTTTGACAATTTTTGTAATATACCCTTTACATTAATTTACTAGTAATTAGCACAAATTTTCGTGTGATAAGAACAAACAAGAAAAAAACACTTTGTATTTTTTCCAGTTTTTTTTTGCTAGATTCATCTAAGAATTTTGTATAATATCATGATACATAATACATATTAAGTACTATTCTCCACACCTAAAAGTCCCACTTTTACATTTGAATACAAATAATTAAGGTTATGTATCTGCCAGTTTAACGGTAATTTTGTCTTGACAAATTGTAACCTCAATTATTTGTATTCAAATGTGTAGGGTGTGGAGCATAGTAGGTACATATAAGTTAATATTATACAATATGCTATGAACTGTTGTTTTTTATGTATAACCAACAAAAATAATAATAAAATAAAATAAAATTTTTTTTTTTTATGACGATTCAAAAATAAAGAAAAACGAGTATTTTTGTGTAAGAAAAATGGGGGTACCACTTTGGAGGGGGTTATTTTAAGTATAAAATCACAATATTTTCTAACAATCAGTTTTCGTGTTATTAGCAACTCTGTGCTTTACTATGGTTTACACAAAAGTCCCACCACGTGACTATGATACAAATCATTAGGATTAATTTTCTCGGTGTCGAGCTAGCTTTGTCCTATTTTCTAAAAATAATGCAATATATGTATTTTTTGTAAAATACATATAATGTATTATTTCCTACGTGGTGGGAGTTCTTGGTGTGTACATCAATGTATATCACATTACTGTTACAGTATATCACACACCTAAGAAGGGTTGTTATGAAAACAAAATAAACAAGGCATATACCTGCTGGTATAAGTTTGCATGGTTAACAAATGTCCTAAATCCTTTTAAATCATCATTATTTTGTTATTATTAACACATTTTAACCTTTAATTTATAATAACGTCATTAGAAAATTGTTTTTAACCCTTTTATAAATATTCTTAAAATAAATTAAAATAAAGAAAATAACATTCAATAAAACCTTATAACTTGAAAACTTATCTTATTTTTTGTATGTTTTTATTTTTAAAATATCAACGTGGTATACCGTTGGTGCTCCATTTTTCGGACACTCTGTCATGAAGTGAGTCAAACTTTTTTTGAGGATTTTAGAACCCCCCTTCCTCTATATTACGCATAATAATACTATTTTGTAACACATTGTACTCGCGAAGGATCTTGGCTGGTATGAGTTTAGTGTGGGAAATATAAAGTTTTTGGAATTTTTATTATAATATTACATTAAACTTCGCGTCAAAATTAACGCATAACAAGTAAACAAAATACAACTCTAAAACGCCTTTACCAATCTTTATAAAATTTTGTATAAAAATCTCAGTTTACGTGTTCAAGGGTTTTTCGAGAAAATATCCTTAAAGCTCTTTTATTTAATAATAAAAAATAATCGAAAAAAAAACTTTAATAGGGAAATTTATTTTTAAGTAAATAAAAAATATTTTTTGAAAGACCGTATTTTTGTTAGTAGACCCTGAAAAGTTTGTACACATCAAACGAACATTAACGAAAATACAGCGCTTCAAAGTCGTCAAAAATGACCACTTTTCAGCAAAATAATAAAAAAGGACTTTGAAGCGCTGTATCTTCGTTACTGTTCGTTTGATTTGTACAAAATTTTCAGGGTATACTAACGAACAAACGGTCTTTAAAAGCATATTTTTTATTTACTAAAAAAAATTCCCTTCAAGTTATTTTTCGAACGTTTTTTTAATTATTAAATAAAAGCTTTAAAAATATTTTCCCGAAAAACCATCGAACCCGTAAACTGAGATATATGTTGAAGTATTTTTATACAAAATTTCATAAAGATTGATAAAGGCGTTTTAGAGTTAGAATTTTTATACTTATTATGAGTTAATTTTGACGGGCAGTGTATTAATCAATATTATAATTTTAATATTATATTATAATCATTAAAAAAATAATAATATAATAGCAGAGATAATAGATCCAACGCCAGTAAATAACGACCGCCCCTATATTTTCAAATAATTAACTCGTCCCACAATTTAAACATCTGTGTAGAGTTTACATGGCTTACGCTCAATTTCCCAGGAAGCTCGTACCGCCGAACCATAGCGTAGATGTTTACACATCAAAAATATATATAAGAAGCGTTTTAGGATGTATGATGTAATATAAACTTTTCTTCTCAAAATTATTTCCAGAATAGCACTATAAATATGGATTAGGGTGTGTCATTTTTTAGCAACTTTTTTTTTCAACCATAAAACAGGCTAAAAACTTTCAGGAAGGTGAAAAAAAAAAACTTTAAAAATTTGACCTCTTAATAATAACATTAAGTGGTGCCTGTTCCTAACTTCCCATTTTCCATTTAAATAACATGGAAAAAAAAATTCTTTTTTCTTATTTTTGTATCTTGACATTTAAGCATTGTAAAAACGAACTGAAAAATTATTTTGGTAGGAAATTGAACGCTCTACAAAAAAGTACTAATTTATTTTTTCATAGAGTAAGCCGTTCTGAAGGTATTCAAACTTCAACTATGAAATTATGACTTATTTTATTAAACTAATACTTTTTTTTATGTCTTAAAAATTATTTTAAGAAAAAATAATTATTTTCGTATAGAAAGAAAATAACACTTACATTTCAATTTTTTTTCCATTTTATTTTTTTACTATCAAAAAAAGTTATTTGTGTTTAATAAATTTGTTCAATAATTATAATAGATTAAATAAAACAATGTATTTGTTATTGTATTGAATTTTTAATCTTTCTTTATTTGTTATAATGTTAAAGTCGATAACCGTTACCGTTCGGATTACACAGGGACTAGAGGCACGCTAACGTGCCGCGATTCGAAATGTTAAAGGCAACTTTAAGTTTGAATACCTTCAGAATGGCTCACTATGAAAAAATATATTGAAACTTTTTTGTAGAGCGTTCAATTTCCTACCAAAATAATTTTTCAGTTCGTTTTTACAATGCTCAAATGTCAAGCTACAAAAATAAGAAAAAAGAAAAAAAAATTTCCATGTTATTTAAATGGAAAATGGAAAGTTAGGAAGAGTCACCACTTAATGTTAATATTAAGAGCTCAAATTTTTAGAGGTTTCTTTTTTCACCTTCCTAAAAGTTTTTAGCCTGTTTTTTAGTTGAAAAAAAAAAAGTTGCTTAAAAATGACACACCCTAATGTGGATATATATATTTATAATTTTAATATAGTACATTAAAAAATACATCAAATTAGCGCATGGAGAAAAAAGTGTTGAAAAGTTAAAAAACGTTAAAAATCGAAATGAAATTTGAAGCATGTTGGTGACCGTGTTGTGTGGTTGCAGCGCGAGTGCGTGTTACGGTGCATGTGCCAGCCCGCGGACCGGCAACACACCAGGGCACCCACTAACAACCCCGCCCGCCCGGCTGACTCAACGCTACCTGCTACGACACAGACTCGGTAGGCCGCATGCACAAAAACAAAAAACAAAACAACCTCCCTTCACCCCCTTCAATCAATACACAACGAAAGCCGATTTGTTAATTAGTAATAACCCGGCAGAATCGAGTCGAACGACGGAAATGTGAGTCAGTTTAGTTCATTTGCGTGATTTATTAAAGCTTTGAGACATATTTTGTTCATGTACTCCAAACTTAAGTATGATATAGACTCATACGTGTATTTCTTAGGCCACTAACAGGATACAGGATTTAAATTTCATATAATTGTATACATACAGTAAAAATCAAATTTACATTACATTTATTACTATCGTAATATTAGGCCAGTAAAAGCGTATATTGACCCAATAACTTTATATTGGTTGAAATTTAGACAGAACATAAGATTTCACAAAAAAAGTGTAAATTTTAATCAGGAAAAACAAGATTATAATTTAGACCCCCTAAAAATTGTCGCTGCTAGTTCTACATGGTTTTAAGAAAAACATACCACATACCTTAGACCAAAATAAGTTAAACTTGCCATAGTACAAAATTGCTTAGTTTGGGCACCATAATTAGACCATGTTAACGTACCAAATTTTATTAAAATCGCATAAAGCGTTTAAAACTTAAAATTTAAGTTTATAACAAAAAAACGATTTCAAACTAAGTAACTTTGCTTAAATTTACTTACTTCAATCTAAAGACTATGTGATGGTTTTTTGTAAAGACCTTTTACAGGCATCCTGTAAAAATAAAAAAAAGAGTTTCAACTAATAAGCAGGTTCGGGGAATGTGCAGTTTGCTAATGCGCATCAGACGCATCTTTCTGTGCTATAATATAAACATCAAGCTTTTAAGGGTTGGAGTCACATAAACATTTGTGTTTCCTTGTGTACAGTTATGTTTTTTTCAAAAATTTAACTCCTGTATATTTAAAACCAGTATTTCCTAAATTGTTGTTGAGCTTTGCTTTTTTTGACATACCTTTAAATATATGTGTTTATTGTCATGCAAATGAACTATAATTTACTCATTATTCACTGAAAACACAGGTCAACAAAACTCATAACCCTAAACAACAGTTTTGTTGCCCTGTATGTTATATTTTAATCCTCACATAAACTCAGCACGTACTAACGCATACCGTTTTTCTTATTATTTGACTAATTTTGTTTTTTTATTTTTTTCTGTGTTTTTATTTCCAAGCAGCAAGAGAAGTTGTGTGCCAAATAATCACTAACAATTGAAAGGTAGGTCCCGTTTTTTACGTTTTTGATGTTTGCATATGCATCCAATAGTTGTTTCATTTAAATGAAAATCAGGAATTAAGCAGCTTATGTTTTTACAGATGCCACTATGAAGAATGAAAACCTTAATTTATCAGACCTTGATTTAAAAAAGCTTAAGTTATCCGAAGAAGATGCGTTGGCTCTTTCCTATCTAACCCCTGGTTTATCAAAACGCATTCAGAAGCAGCTTCTCGCTCAGTTGGCGCCTTCAGAAGCGAAAAAATTGCATAGGACTTTATCGTCCCGCGGACCCAATGATAATAACAACCCCTACGAAAATGTTAGAGACTCTCAGAGGTTCATAAGAAGATCTTCTGCTGATAGACTATCTTCCACTCTTCCCAGAAGATATTCCGTCGATAAAGACATGAAAAACGGCAGTTTGGCCGAGATACACGAAAAACCAGATGAAATTCCCGATTCATCATCCAGTAGAAGCAGATCTTTCCTTCCAATTAAGTCATTCTATAGAGATCGCACTCCTTACCATGATTTCAACGTAAGATCGTCCAGTATCGGTGCTGAACCGAAAGGCGATTCAAAATTCATGTACCGCAAACCCACTTACGTCAGGTCGACCTCAGTAAACCCCAGATTTTCTTACGGGTACAAACCGGAAACCCCAGATTCGAGTATATCGGAAAGCGTGGAATCCTCATCCTACAAAAACACTGACAGCATAAGCGAATTAAGTTCGGCACCGTCTAAATCCTACTCGAGATATTCGGAACCGTATTTCAACACTGCAAAGACTGAAATTAAAAAACCGTCCACTAGAAAGGTATCGAGGTTTTTGCGGCCTGATTTCTACGATACACAAAGTCAAACTCAAAACAACGAAAACTTTACCATAAAAGCCAAGAGCGAAAAAGAACTGGAAACGCAGAAAGTACTAAAGGAGATACGGGATAAACGTAAGAGCAGACTTACCGCACGCAGGGAAAGATCTCAGTCAAAGGAGAAGGAAGACATCCATGCGGAAGTTAATAAATTTTTAGAAGCCAAGAACGAGATCAAAGAAACGAAAGAATTATTGAACAATGTGTCGGATAATATTAAAAACTTGGAAAGTACAGTGAATAATAATATTAATGGTGATATTGCTCATATTTACAACAATTTACCAGCCCCTAATAATATTAACGTGAATGGTATTAACCACGATTACGTTAACATGACTACTACTACTCCTACTACTAACACTAATAACAATGATATTGTTAATGCCGCTGAAAATACGGAAGCTCAACCTATACACGATTATGTAAACGTAAAAGCTCCAGAAGTGGTAAAAAAAGAAACTAAATCTAAAATAGCCCGCCCCAAAAGCTACCCAGCTGAAAAAGATAAGGAAATAACGCCAGAGAAAGAATCTAAAATAAGTCGACTCAAAAAAGGCCTAACGCGACAGTCGTCAAAAGAAAAGGAACTCAAAGAAGATAACAAAAAACCTAAAGATGAAGAAAAGGGTAGCAAAAACAAACTACTTCAATCCATAGAGAAAAAGCTGGAGAAATTCCGCAGCAGTAACATTGCAGCAACCAAAGATCCTGAAGAAGTAAAAGTGCTGCAAGAGAAAAAGTCTAGCGTCGAAAGCGCTATAAAAAGATTGAGAGAACAAAGTCTGCCCAGAAATATCGAACACTGCACTGAGTCCGGTTTAATAAAACGTGCTGTATCAGTGGAGGAAATGCCTAATAACAATAATAAACCATTACAAGCGTCCAGAAAGTCTGTTACGAAAATTCTAGGACTGTTTAAGAAGTATGAAGAGCAAGATAGTAAAAAGAAAGTTGTCAAAAAGGAGAAGGAGAAATCGAAAAAAGTAGAGAGTAACGAGGATCGGACTGTGATTAATAATAATAGTAATAATGATGTAGTCAATTTAAACGCGAGTGAAAGCAATAATAATACGAATTCTAGTCAATCAGAGAACAGCGTCAATAATAACACGGAGAAGAAAGAACGTCCTAGGTCGCTAATGTTTGATAGAGTGAGACACTACAACGGTTCAAGATCGGATAGTGTAAATCTGAACGATAAAGATGTTAAAGGAAAATCAAAATTACCAGTAAACAATATTAACAGACGTAGTTTGAATCTTGATAACCTCCCAGAACCTCCAAAGTTCTATAAAAACCCCACAGAATACAAACCAGATAGAAACAAATTACGTCTGGATTTATCTAGCAAATCTGCAGCTGCTTTGGAGTCGTACCCGAGTACAAGTAGCACTGAAACTTACAGGGACAGTTCGGCATTTTTATCGCCTAATGACGACGCTAGCGATTCTTGGTCTGTATGTTCCGATTACCATCCCCCAGATTTTCATTCGCCTCTATCACCAAACGGTCACATGTACTCAGGGGATGAAAACGAATCTGTCATTGATAGAATCCGCAGGAAAAGTTTCTACACGCGTTTTAACGAGAACAAGCGCATACGCAAACCCAGCCTAACCAGAAACTACAACGATTTGGATCTAAACCTAAAATCCCCTACAGACTACAGTTCACTTGATCGCAGATCCCTGCGGAACCCCGTGACCAGGAGGTCGACTTCCTACGTTTCGTCGCTGCAACCACCACAGATGACCTATCAGAGGAGCTCGTCCTTGTTGAATGATTATGTTAACGTTCCGAATCGGTATCAGACCTACAACTCGAAAATCGCTAGGCCTGCTACGGCTTTGTACGCCGACCAAGACGACTCAACATTGGATGATTATTTGACAACTGCTAAATCCAGAAAGTAAGTTAAATGTATTTTCTTTAGTTTTTTAATTCTTTTCGCCAGAAATATATAAAATGCTGTTGTAAACTAGTTTATTTTTGACTAAAAAAAAGTTCAGATACATTTGTTTGTCAATCGTGACATTATTTTGTCTCGTTTGACATTTTAAAACAACAAATATAAAATTCAATTTTTAAATCCTCAAAAACTACTTATGAGATTTGGTATACCGTTGGTGCGCCATTTCGGGACACCTTGTATATTTAACCTTCAAAAATTTTCTAACATTCTAAATGGTGTTTTTGACATTTTTAATGCTTTTAACATTTTAAAATGCTTTTTATACTCCTACCTTTAAAACGCTTAATATAGTACATGTTTCCATGACACTAAGTGATCTTTTAAATACACATTGACAAGCTGCGACTTTATGGCGATTTAGTCACGGGCTACAATCGTTAAAATAAGGTGCCCTTCTTGTAAAATAATAGTAAATGTAAAAATTATTTTATTATCTCAATACAAAAATAGTAGAGAACCCATATCACATCCTCTTCACTTTCACTGTAAAAAACTGCTTCGGATTTTTTAACAGTTAGCTAATTTCAAGAGGTAAATTTCGATCTTAACAGAAAAATTTGACAACTAACTAAAATAATTTTGGATACAGATTCAAAGAATACTGTATTTTGTATAGATTTCGCTCTATACAAATATTTAAATTAATTTATTTTTTATAGTAATAAATTGTTTTTTATACCCAATAATATTTGTCGTGGAAAAAGTATAGTATGCAAGTCGTTTATAAACTTCTTGACATTCATTTTATCAAATGCCTAATTATAAATTCGTGACTAAAATGGCGTTTATCAAACTTGATACAATAACTATTTTTCTAAAACCATTGTCAAAAGTCGTATTTTTATTGACTTTTAAGTAATAAACGTATGTCATTTTTGAGTGCGAACTAGTATTTTTTCCAATTATATTTAAGAATTTGTACATTTCCTAAACCTTTTAAACTGTGGAGAAAATTGATCTTTTTTCACGGTTACTGTCCAATGAGACGACGAAATTTTAATTTTATCCAAGGTAGTATTTATCATCTATCCTACAGAATACTGTGAGCTCCATGCACAGGCACAGGCTGCCTACAAAAGGAGTCTGAACTTTTTGTATAGTCTATGCAAAGTCAGTGTAAACAGCATACAAACTCATAGGCGGCATCTCCTTTATGAATCATAGGCGTGCAATGGGACAGTATAAATGCATACAGGGAGCGGTCAATACAAATTTTGTTTTTTATTTCAGTGCGTGATTTAGTAATTAATCGTATCCAAATTTCCTTGCGTTTACACCGACTTTGCATAAACTATATACAAAAAGCTTCGTAAAATAAGAGGGCGCTGGTGTTCCGTTTATCGTTTGGTTTGTAACGAAACCTCACCTAAAGAGCAAACGTCAGTAGGCAATGACAATCAGCGCCGCTAGTGGTGAAAAAAGAAAACCTAATGTGTGCGATTTAGTGTGCAGGTTTTGTCAATTTCCCCTATTAAGTTCGGACTCCTTGTGATAAGGTGGTTTATTATTTTGTTGAAAATTAATTCACACTGACATTTGTTATCGAATCTGTGGTTATAGATAGTATCTAAACAAAATTGTACTAAACTCTTTAATAAAATTATAAAAAGTATAGTGTTTAACTTAAAAAAGGCTATTTCCATTCGGATGAATTACCCGGTTACCTCGGTTCGTGTCGCAAATATTTTATCCTCGACTTTTTCAATAGTTGAACAATATACTATTTCTGCACTCCAATTAAATCAGCACTAAATACTACCTTAAATAAAATTTATTTTTATTAATAATATTGAAACTAGCATTACAATTTTTTTGCGTAAATCCATTTATCTACTCCCACCTTTAAAACGCCCATTATCGTACATGTTTCCATCACACTAAGTGACCTTTTAAATACACATTGACAAGTTTTGGCTTAATGGCATTTTAGTCACCGGCTGAAGTTAGCAACAGGTTTTTAGTCGCGGGCTGAAGTTAGCTTTAAGTTAGTTAAGAGTTGCTAAGTGTCATAAAATCGTTTTAAATAAAGTGCTCTTTTAAAATAATACTTAATGTGAAAATTATTTTATTATCTGAATACAAAAATACAAAAGCATTAAATAGTTTCTTAACGCCAATATTTGAAAAGTTTATATCAACATTGTACTGACCTATTATTTTCGCCGGCAGTAAACTAGATATAACTTAAATTCGGGCTAGGAATCCACCGTGAAGTGCTCATAAAACATTTTCTTCACTTTCACTGTAAAAAATTGTTGTTAATCCTTTTTAAGGGATACATTTCGATTTATGAAACATAAAAATTTTCCATTAGAGGGTAACAAAGATTTCCCTATTGTCTTATAGATGTCGCTCTATACAAATATGTAAATCTTTTTAGATAATAATAAGTATTTGTCGTAAAAAAAGTATAGTATGCAACTTTTCTAAAATGGCGTTTATCAAACTTGATACACAATATACTATTAAAAAGAGTTTTGAAATACATACATGTCAAAATAAAATAATTATAAATATATATTAACATTTTTGCTTCACATTTTTAGTAATTATTTATAAAATTATTATGGCATTGGAAAAAATAATGTACGCAGCTCGAATATAAAGCCACTTTATTGCACTATAAAACGTGTTAAAAAGTTTGTGACTTTTTAATTGTCAGTCGCACTATTGCGTAAAAATGACACTTTTAAGCACTTGTTAAAAAATAAAAAATTTGTATTTATTTATGGTAAATTGAAAAATCTCTTAAAAAGCGCTGTAACAAAAAATTACTAATGCAATTTTGCTTTTTTTCTTCATTCTGGAGTATATAATAGTTTACAATTTACCCATAACAATAATAATAATATTAATAATAAAAAATAGGGTATCCCGAAAATTGCACACCATATCAAGTGATATATAAAAATATTTGGAGTATTAAAAAATTACTAAACAATTGAGGCGTTTCTCGGAAAAAAATCATTATTCCAATATCGTCGAAATTTAGATATTAGCACCAACTGTTTCCTAACCTCCATATATGGGCGTTTCTCTGTAAACTGGGCAACTCATTGTCTCAAGCTAATATTGTTTAGAAAAATAACAGATCATAAATATTTCGTAGATAACTTCAAAAGATAATAACCTAATCTACCTATGCTCGACGTTCAAAATCCAATTAAATAAACTTTAATGTATCAAAATCGTTTTTATAGTCCTTAAAAACCAGTCCCCTGACGTGTCACCAAAGCAAAATGGTCACTTCAGACTAAATTAATTAAAGACAGTAACTATTGGAATCAACCTAATTGTTTAATTATTTAACCAATATTGTTTGCTTGTTACTGTGACTTATTTATTTTTTATAATTATTATTTTGTAATTCTAAAAAAGTCATCTAAACTTTGTCTCCGGATTTTATAAACAGTCCCCTGTATAGATTTTTCAGAAAATGCTCAATGTTTTTCAAAGTAATAGGACTTTTTTTGGTTCATCTGCCGTATACTAATAAATAGACCGATATTTATTCCTCGAATAACATTTATTAAATACAACAAAAATATAACAAAAAAACTTGCCTAGACAATTTCTTACTTCAAGTTGCCCAGTTTACAGAGAAACGCCCATATACGTATACAAATAAGTGTTTCTCGTAAAAATGTCATAGGTTCCATAATAATTAAATATGAAATTTAGCTTGTTCTTCTAAAAACATCACAAGTCCACTCCGTTTCGTCTAAGAAAGTCACATGTGCATAACATGTGACGTTTTTGGGCACTCTAGAAAAGCTTCTACCTCTTTTACATGACCACAGCAATAGAAAATTTTATGATAACTTGATAAAAGACCAGAAGACCATAGCACCTGACAGTCCTGATAACACGGTCGACAACGATGATAACATCAGTGGAAGCGAATACTGAGTGTGGCCATAATACAGTTTTTAGTTTTTTCATTTATTTTGTTGCTCAGAGTTAATATTTAGTTTGTAGTGTTTGTAGTAAGAAGAATTGTTCGTTTTTTTCTTCTAAAAACCTCACATGTTCATGTATTTTTTGTGTTTTTTTTCATATTCGTTTAAAAAAAAACATGAGGAATTCTGGACAAAGTATCTTACATTTTTTTACATGTAGTAAATAGGTCAATAAAGTACTTTGGTCAAAAATGGGAACGTCGGAGAGTTTTTTTCATTTTCCCAAATATGTTAATTTTGGACTAATGATGTTTTTCCGAGAAACGCGTCAATTGTTGCCGACTTTTTGGTAGTTTTGTAAGAGAAATTTAATTTTTATTATTGTAAGGTAATAAAGTTAAAAGGGTTAGAAACAATTTTCTAATGACGCGTCAAAAAAGTTAAAATTTGAGAAAAATTGGATATTATAATTTAAACTTTTTATTTCTGACAAAAACTGTCATCCCTTAATCTAGTAACGCTAAAAAAGGTCAAAATTGAGTCCCTCCCCATTCCTTATGGCAGAATATGACGATGTGAAAACCCCTCTGAAGGGACATGTGACGAGTTATAACCCCTATTTTTTCAATTCTTTTTTGTACTCGGTGTAATTGACTAAAAATCGAACAAGCATATAATTTACATTTTGTTATTATTTTTAGATTCAGTTCCCCCCTTCAGCCATCCAGATTAAGTAGAACATCAGTTTCTCCCAGCCAACGTTACACAACCCCTGTAGATCGAAACCGTTCTTCCATGACGTCACCAAACAAATCGGACTTAGTTTAATATTGTCAACACTGTACAAATACTCCCCCATACCTGACCCTACCTATTTACTTCTTATCCTAGTGGTTCAAAATAATTTTGGATTTTTTCTCTCATTTTGTATACCCCCATGTCTTTTGAATTAAGGTTTTACAAAGCTTTATATTAATTTATTGTATTTACCTTTTTAGAGGTAGTTCTTTTAGATTTGTTTTTAGGACCAAATGGTTCTATGAACGATATTATGTAGAGATATGTATTATTTGTATGTAAATGTTGTTTGCTTTTTTTAATTATTTATTTCGATTTTTTTCAGTTTTTGTTTGACGAGTATTTATTTTTGTTTACTTTATTTATTTTATTAACTATTATTTTTTGGATTGAAATTTTATTATTATAAAAAAATATTTATTATATACCCCTACTACTAAAACGTAGACATTGTTGAAGTTTAAATGATTTTAATAACCAGTTATGTCGAATCTAAGTTAAATAAATATTAACTTTAAATTAAAATCAAAAGAAACCCTTTACAATCGTTATTCAAAGCACATCTCTGGTTGAATTTTGTGTGAAATGTTAGAGTTGTATGTTGACTTTTGTGATTTTATAAAAAATAAACTCACTTTATATTTTAAAACCGACTTTTATTTCGTATCTAAAAATCCAATCTATACACAACTAAATATAATATTATTTTAACATTATTGTAGTGATTTTTGTGTCTGTTATAGCTTTTTTCACTCTTTTTTACTTCCATTAAAACTATTTGTTATAATTCATACACACACAGCTGTTTATCAATAAAGCTGCATACAAAGGTGTCAGCCTGTACCAGCCTTAGTTACCTTGACACATTCTTAAACACCCCTGACCTGATATTGATCATAAACAATACCCAAAAATATTTATGCAAAAATGGGAGCCTCGGTTTGCAAACCGTGTAAAAGAAAGCAAAAAACAATACCTGGGGGCAGTATTTTGGACAGGGTCATCAGTCAGTCTTCAAATGAAGACTTGTGTTTATTATATAAATTGGCAAATTATAAAAAAGGTATGTATTAGTATTATAAGTGCATTTTTTTATAACAAACATTTTAATGTGGGCATAATTTAATTTATAATATACAGGGTGTCCCATAACTAATGGACAATCCAGCATGTGTAGAAATAGGAGGTCAAAATGTCGCTTAACACAAATATGTCTTAGTAAAATGTTAATAATAAACGAGATACAGGGCGATAAAAGTGAGATCTGATTTTTGAAAATTTGTTATATTTGGAAAACTATTCAATGTATCAAACTCAAAATTTTTACACAATAGTTTTTAAGGACGAAAAATACAAATTTGTCATAATGTTTTATGCTAGTAAGTATTAATTCACCAAATTCAACATGTGTCATTAGCGCCCTCTAGGAGTAGCATTTTGACCTATTTCTACAGTTGCTGTATTGTCCATTAGTTATGGGACACCCTGTATATGTGTAATGATTACACTGTAATTATAATTTACAGCATTTGCTAAATATAAGTAATGTTTAAAACTAACTATGACGAACATATATGGACCATAGATATTGCAGCTAGTTCTATAATAAGAGGGGATTGATTAACAGCATAATATACAAGAAATTAAGATTTTTTTTGTTCTCTAGGTGGTGAATTAATCGATGCCTATAACACTGGAGGCCAGTTTGAAGTGGAAACACTGATAAGAGAACAATTCGGCCAACTGATGTACCACGATGGTAAAGGTCAAATAATAAATCGCTCTGAATATTTACGTTGGAAATTCCGAGACCATGATCACGTTACTTTGCCCATAGAAGCCTCTCTAAGCAGATACGATCCCTTGGGCAAATGGACCGACCATGAGGCATGTTGGCAAATGCAGTACAGAGGATCACTGGGTGAAAGCCTCGTACATGTTTTAATAATTTGCGACACAAAAATACACACAAGACTGGCCAGAACTCTGATTAAATGTTTCCCGAGATTAGCGGTAGATGTCGTTGAAGGCGAAGAGTATTTAGGGGCCAGCGCCCTACATTTAGCCATAGCTTATAGTAATAACGAACTAGTACAAGACCTAGTAGAAGCTGGCGCAAACGTAAATCAACGCGCAATCGGCAGTTTTTTCTTGCCCAGAGACCAACAGAAACCGAAACCCGCTAAACACACAGATTACGAGGGTTTAGCCTATTTAGGGGAGTATCCGTTAGCGTGGGCGGCGTGCTGCGCAAACGAGAGCGTTTATAATCTGCTTTTGGACAACGACGCGCATCCAGATTATCAAGATACATTTGGCAACATGATTTTGCATATGGTTGTGGTTTGCGATAAGTTGGATATGTTTGGGTATGCCCTAAGACATCCCAAGTTGCCTGCTAGTAATGGGGTCATTAATACTGCTGGGTTGACTCCTTTAACTTTAGCTTGTAAATTGGGTAAGAGTTTTCTTGGCAAATAAATATTTTAAAGACGATTTCTTATAAAAATATTACTAATTTTATGATTTAACATTCTTATAATTTAATAATATAAAAAAGACATATGTATGTCCCAATAAATAAATGAGAAGGTGCATTCCAAATCGGCTTATCCATATTAGGTGAGTACTAACGCATTTCAGGCCAACAGAATACTTTACGTTAAGTGGAGGAGCAGCAAATGCATGCCATGTATAAGCTTAACTTCGCCCCTTGATTGTATCTTTTATAATCAATAAATAATAATAAATATTAATATTATTATTAAACATAAGGCATAAGTATAACATTTATATACCTTGATTAAAAAGGTATAGCTCCAATTTGAAATAATTTAAAATAACATACGTATAAGCCAGTTCTGACCACTGAACTATATAGTTCAGTAGTTCTGACATGATATAACCTATAGATAAGGCAAGTTTTGGAACGATAGTCAATAGAGTAATTGCATCAAAAATGAAAATCCCTAAAAACCTTTTTAATGTAATCTAGAGGTAAAAACACATTGCGAAAATATTTTTTTATATTCCAAAAGTTCAACCCGGCCCCAAAATATCAAATTGAAAAAAGGTACTTTTCAAACGTTTCCAAGATGTCAACAAATAATAAACACTGATAAAGTTTAACATGTTTTACATGTTTAACATGGAAAACGCGAAAAAATTGGTTGTAAATATTGTTTTGTGCCTTGTTGTACAAATACAACCTAGAAAACTCCTGGGAAAGTTGTCCCTTCAATTATCAAAAGCAAAGTTTATGACCCTACACTGAGAGCCGTTACGGCTAAGCCGTATTTTCTTGAGTTTACTATTATTTAACATACCTATTCCAACCACATACCTAGTAAACGACATTATATTTTACTTACATTAAAATGATCCTCGCAGCAATATAATGTTGACTGCGGTGACGATGTTTTGATATCGCGCCAAGCTATTTTAATCCACTTTATCCTTAATTTCCCTTTTGGCACGGTGATAAACCTTTTCCCAGGAGTTTTCCAGGTTGTATTTGTACAACAAGGCACAAAACAATATTTACAACCAATTTTTGTTTTCGCGTTTTCCATGTTAAACATAAACTTTATCGGTGTTTATTATTTGTTGACATCTTGATTTCTGACACTGGTGAAGGTTTATGACGTCATGCAATATGGCGGGAGTTCGGGAACATTTGAAAAGTACCTTTTTTTCAATTTGATATTTTGGGGCCGGGTTGAACTTTTGGAATATAAAAAAATATTTTCGCAATGTGTTTTTACCTCTAGATTACATTAAAAAGGTTTTTAGGGATTTTCATTTTTGATGCAATTACTCTATTTTGTAAAATAAATTTTAAATGGAATAAGGTGAGTTTTAGAATATTATGACCTTTTTAGGGTATAGGGGGCTCCATGTTAAATGTACAGACACCACTAACTCATTTTTAATAAAAAGTGGATAAGCCGAGTTTTGGAATGGACCTCTTCAAATATTCATTTTATGCTTTGACATTCCTTTTGATATTAAGTATATATATATTAAGTCTTGAATTCTGGACACAAATAAATTAAAACCAAGAAGTCTAAATAAAGGAGGAGTACCTCAACCACAATGCAAAATATCTGTATACAATCCAAGAACGTTGTTGGAACGTAACGGACACTAAAAAAGTGTTCTCCATTTTACTTTCACTTAATAGAACTGTTCTACCAGGTCCCAGATAACCAAAGTTTCTTAGTAAACCTAAAGAAACGCGTTGTCGAGTATAACAAGCTGGCATATTTCATGCAACAGTAAGCCAATAAGTTGGAAGTCCAAAACATTTCCCGTCAGTTGCATGCAAACTGCAAGAAAAATGTTTAGGCCCAAGTTTGACACGTATTTCCAATAATTTCTGATTAAGAGTTGTATTCAACAGAGGTGTAACCGACGGGCAACACATTTCCTAAAATACCTTGTTGGTCAGTTGCATGAAAACTGCAAGAAATTTGTTTCCGCCCAAGATAGCCGCTTATTTTCAATAGATTCCAGTCAACAATTGTATGCAACAGAGGTGCAACGGACGGCCAACATATTTCCCACAATAAAGAACCGCGCTTGCGCGAGAGTCCCCGCTACCGTTGCTCACCATTTGTTCTTTATAATTTATGGTTTGTTCTGCGAGTGTGTGTACGACGTGTGGATTAATATAAACAAGAAATCTATCAGGTATGTTTTATGCACGCAATAGTTATCTATTAGCTTTAGCTGTACCTATATGCATATGGAAAAATCTAAAAATCCTTTGAAAATAAAAAAAAATACAAAAAAGAAACCAAGACGTAAGTAAATTTTTAAATAATTTGTTATATTGAAGTGAAACTTCTTTCGGCATGTACCTAAATAGAGGCTATAAAAATGTAGGATTTTTTGAAGATGTAGTTTTTTCTTTGAAGTATTATAATTTTATAAGGGTTTTTATTCAAATAACATTAATTTATTTAAAATTTCAGAAGCTATTATAATAGCGGTAATTTTAAATTAATTAATTAATGTAATATCTTTTTTGTATACAAAAATTTGTTGTAGTAGGTATACTACAAAAAAATTTTATAAAGCACACCTTACCGCCCTTGTAAAATTTGCATTTTTGAACCAATTTTTATCGCTCTTAAATATATTTGTATACAATACCAGCTAAACATTTTTTAATTTTTTGATAATCAAAAAAGTGCCGTGAATAAACACATTTAGTGGATATTTTAATAGAACCAAATGCTTCCCAAGAAACGACAAAATTTACCATAGTGTAAAAAATTATCAAATTATTAATTAAAATCTGACTGAAAAAATTGTCAAGCCAAGCGTTAATAAATTATTTTTATTTTTCAGATTGATTATGGGGCCTTTACACATTCATAAACTGTTCAGGAAGTTTATCTCCGACGAGATATGCAATATACATGGGGGGGATGAGCAAGGCAATCATCCCCTTTACAACCCTGGTCTTGTTAGGGCTATTTTTGGTATGTTAAATAATGTTTTATACAAACTAAACATATGTTTATTGCTAAACATATATTTATTGCAGGAGCTGTGGGTACCAATAAAAACTTTGATCCACCAACGCGTGTTGAACTTCAAAGAGAGGTAACGGCGAGTGGCAAAAGTTTTGCCGCAAAACAGCGTCAACGTATTACCGCTAAAGCCTGATTTATAGATTTCCTTCCTTCCTTCCTTCCTCTCATAAAAGATGAACAATACCAAAAAACGTAGTGCCATTTATAGATTCCCGTATGGGAATCTTTAAAAAGCACAACGGTTTTTGTATTGTTCATATTCTACGGAAGGAAGGAAGGAAGAAAGGCAATCTATAAATCAGGCTTAAGCGTCGAGATCCAAACGTAAACAATGAAGATTCCATAAGGCTGCGCCTGTTTGAAGCCGATAATTTATATAATAATAAATATATTTATTATTCCCGGCTGAAGGACGAAAGTCAATGGCCTTTTGAAAAATGTATTTTTTTCAATAAAGAACATTTATTATTATTATTTATTATTATATAAATTATCGGCTTATAAGGTTATTCTGTTGTGTATATAAATATTTATAATATTTTATTTCTTTGTGAATATAGGTATTTTTGTAATAAAACGACGTTTGAAAAAATTCGAGTATGAAAATTTACGCCTAACCCTCTTGTTAAAATAACAATACCAATAAATGAGGCATTGCTGAATTTGGTGGCAATTTGCCGATAACGTATCGGAAATTAAAATGAATAGGTAAATGAAGCGTTTGGAACCAGAGTGGCCTAACCCACAAATGTTTTTTCTTAAATGATGTTACAATCATTTTAGGACAATATATTTTTCGGAAATGAAAAACTTTGTTAAAAAAAGCACCCAAATATATATAATATTATAGTGGCCTTACCCACAAACATTTATTCTAAAATGGGGTTATAATTTTAGGACAATATATATATATATATTGTCCTAAAATTATAACCCCATTTTAGAATAAATGTTTGTGGGTAAGGCCACTCTGGTTCTCAACGCTTCATTTATTAATTTATTTTAATTTCTGATTCGTTATCGGCAAATTGCCACCAAATTCAGTGAATTTGAATAGGTAAATCATTTCCTATCCGTTGCCCACAATCAGTATACGCAAAAGGTTTCCCGTGTGTTGCCGGTGGGTTGCACACTATAAGTTGTCAAGAAACATTTCCGCCTATAAACTCTTATGTTGTCCACAATAATTATAAGCAAAAGGTTTCCCGTCGGTTGCCGGTGGATTGCACACAATATATTGTTAGAAAAGATTTTTGTCTACAGACAGTCAAATGGTGGCACCCACTTGACAGCAAACGGCTACCATATCAAGAGAACGAATAGTAGGCAACTGACCGGCAAACGGAAGGTCGCTGGTTATCTGGGGTAGCAGAAATTTTGGAAATACACTACAGTTCCAAGTATATGTGGCCGATAAGTTTCATACACTAAAAATGCTACTTGGAATGGCCGAGAATCACGGCCTTTTTTCGCCGAGAACAAGATCTCGGCCAGATTTTTGGCCGAGAATAGCCAAGACAAAGACCGAGATATCGGTCGAACCTTAATAATATGACACGTCAAATAGCGTGAACAAAAGACGACGGCAGATGCGCAAAATGCTGACCGCGCATCTAGCTATCATTTAAGTTTCGTGATTAGGCATTTAATTGTCGGTTAAATGGTAAAGTGTGCTTCGGTAAGTTACCATTACACTACCCCCTGTTGAGCATGGCGTGCCACTACCTAGCGATTAACTAAAACTTTATTTAGTCTTCTTGATAAAAACATATACAGCCTGTTCAGAGTAAAACCGAATATAGGGAAACGTATGGGGCGTGGCCTCGCCTCCCTCCAACGCGCGTATCAGTAGCTTGTGTGATAAACGACATGACGAAAGGTCGAGCAGGTAAGACGACCTTAAAAATTAAATGATAATAATGCAAAAAATCTCATTAACATTCGCTTAGCTACTGTGTCGCGCGTTGGAGGGAGGCGAGGCCACACCCCATACGTTTCCCTATATTCGGTTTTACTCTGAACGGGCTGTATATACTCGTATATATATTTTTATATATACAGGGTGAATTATGAAAAACGCCCCAAGCCATAACTCCAATATTTTTAAGATAGGACAATACTTTTTTTAACAAAGATACACAGTTTTTTACCGTCTATTTTTGGGATTAACTTTTAATTAATGCTGCTTCCGGTTTCTCCGGAAGTGACATCAATTGCAGTTTTTTAAATAGAACACCCTGTATATTTTATCATTTTTGGATTCATTGATAAATTATCTTTCAAAAAGCCTAATAGTTCCCTATACCTAAAAGCAATCGTTAGTGAGATATTCGTCAATTCATGTATTTATTAAAGTTGGCAGTGGACAACAACGCCCCAAATTTTTTAAAGATATTGCAATACTTCTTAAGACAAAGTTGCATGGTTTATTGTCGTTTATTATTTGGAATAAACCGTGCATGCATATAAATAAAATATATAAATTAAAGGAATTCTTAGTAAAACAGCCTTTTTTCTTCTCCCGAAAAAATTGCTTGAATGGAGCTGCCTCTTTTTTGCACCGGTGTCTTCAATTATTAATGTATTCATTAAAGTAGGCAGTGGAAAACAATAATTTGGTCAAATAACGTTAAAAATTATCATTAGTTCGCATTTGCTATTATTGTTTTTATACTTTTTGGTGTTAATTATGGATTACAATGATTTAACAGACATGATTCAAGTATATTTTGAATGCAATAAAAATAGTGGAAGAGCACTACGCCTTTACATTGAGCGATTTCCGTTCAAAGAAGTTCCGAATCGTCGAAAATTTAGCCGGCTTGAAGGATCTTTGAGAAGTTTTGGGGCTTTTAGAAAACCTAAATTAGAACAACGCCGATTTAGAAGAAATACAGAATTAGATGTTCTTCTGAGTGTTGAAGAAAATCCAAGAACATTGATTAATCACAAGCAACTGTGCAGAAAATACTTAAAAAACATAAATTTAAACCATATGTGCCACAAAAAGTGCAATCCATAGAGGAAAATGACAGAGGCTGAAGATTGCAATTTTGTAATTTTTATTTAAATATGGTGGCACAAGATCCGCTTTTTTATACAAAAATTATTTGGTCAGATGAGTGCACTTTTAGTAATAATGGCTGGTAGGCAGTGGACTGTATAAATGTGAGAAATAGGGGATGGTGGTGTTAGTTGACTGAATTATGTTACAAGATAAAACGTGGGCAGTAAGAATACTAATAAAGTCCTACCTTGTTGCTGGTGCTGATGACGACACTCAGGGCCCTGGTTTGGTTTCTGGCAATTAGGCTGTTAGCGTTGGTTTCAAGCGGTTGAGATGCACGAGCGGGATAAAGCGGGTATAATGTCGCGTGGTAGATCACGGTCTTTTGCGGGGATGCTTGCGGTTCGAACTCTTCTTTCTTAATACACTTACGCCCTCACGCGGTCAAAAATGTAATTTTAAATAGTTGCGATAAACAGCTTAATATAATATTTAAATAAATGTAATAAAATTAAACAAATATTAAATATTTCGCGAAGACGAAACAATGGCATTTACAATAGAAATATTCACCGCTATTGGAGCCAGGAAAATCCCAGAATTGTTGTTGAAAGAAATTTTCAGTGGAGATTTAGTGTTAATGTGTGGTGTGGCATTTTTGGAAATCGACTAATTGGGCCCTATTTCATAAACGGTACGCTAAATCAAGAAAGATATAGTCAACTATTGAATACAGAAATTGTTAATTTTGTTGATAACTTGCCTCTTGCTAAACGAATGGCAGTATATTTTCAGCAAGATGGAGCTACGCCTCATAATGCTAGAATTAATGTGTTAATCGAATTTGGTGTAAGGTGGATCGGGACAAATGGACCAGTTAGGTGGCCTGCACGATCGCCCGACCTAACACCTCTCTATTTTTGGCTATGGGGGTACCTACAAGATCTTGTTTATTTCACACGTCCAGAAAACGAGCGACGCTTGCCACGAAATACCACCAGACTTTATATTGAATGCCACGAGTGGAATAGCTAGAACCAGGTATAGGGAACATTTAAGCTTTTTGAAGGACAATTTATCAAGGAATCCAAAAATAAAAAAATATACGGGATGTTCCATTTGAAAACCTGAAATTGACGTCACTTCCGGTGAAACCAAAAGCATCATTGAAAAAAAATTTATCTCAAAAAATAGATGATAAAAAACTGTGTAACTTTCATTAAAAGAGTTTTATCCTATCTTTAAAAATAAAGGAGTTATGGCTTGGGGCGTTTTTCATAATTCACCCTGTATACACAGGACCCTATTTATTTTTACTATATTGCATAGGTCGTGCTGAGGTTTTCAGGGAGATGTTGGAGCTATCAGCCAAAGAATTTTGGAGATACAGTAATATAACTTGTTCTGCATACACTCTAAATGCCTTGGATACTCTATTACCTGATGGAAAGACAAGTAAGTTTGATTAATCTGTGAAAAAGTGTTAACTGGAATTACAGATTTTAAGTTAAATATATTAAGAATCTTGATTCTGTACAAATTTTTAATTTAATTGTACCTATCAGTATCGATTTTATATTGGTTTAAATCTTGTAAAAGGACGTAATTCATTAGATTTAATATCGTCTTTTTAATAAAAAATATTATTTTTTTATATATATAATAAGTAAATTATAATACTATATACTATAAAATTTCAATATCCTGTTGCCTTTAAATAATACACATTTATTTTAACAAAATATAAATTTAAATACAAATAATACTCATAAAAGAATATACTTAAGGAGTATTTTGTCTTTAGTAACTCCTTAAAGGATTATAAATTATTTTTATCTGAATTTATGATACCTACCCTGATTATACAATCCTCTATTGACACATTACTAATATAATAAATATACCTAAAAATTATTCTATGGCTAAATTTGTAAAAATACAAAGTAATGCTAATAACACTTATTTATTATTAATAATTTAATAGTAAATCTAGTTATTTAAATAATAGCAAATAAACGACATTTTCAAATACACAAATATTGACACCTGCTATAACGCGCTTCACTTACCTCATATTTTTTTTTAAAGAATATACTTAAGGAGTATTTTGTCTTTAGTAACTATAATAGTTATTTATGTATTAAGGGCATAATAAGGTTTTTATGGTCCGAGGCGCTATTTCTAGAAAAGCGTCGTAGGACCATAAAAACCAGTTATGCCAGCAATACATACAAAACTTTATGCACGATTAATATATTATTATTTTTAATATATTATTGTTTTTAAAGACGTTTACGTCAAAGAATTTTTGGTTATAATTGTCATATTATAATGTCAACTGACATCAGTCAGTTTTAAAGTTTAAAGATGAATGAAATTGAGGAAGCAGCTGAAAAGGCGAAAAATTGCGGCCTGCTGCCGGAAAAATCAAAATCTTTATACGAAAAAACTTACTTCGAATATATCAAATGGTGTAACATTGTTGTTTTTAATTTTTGACGTTTCATTATAGCCCGCTGGGTCATAATACCGCCCGCGGGCTATAAAAAGACGTTTACGTCAAAGAATTTTTGTTATAATTGTCATATTATAATGTCATCGTGCATAAATTATTTTTCTCGAATAATTAAAATAAATAAAATAAATTTACGAACTCGGATCAAGTCGGATCCAAATTTTAGATGTTGTTCAGAAGATTTTGGCCAATTTTAAAGAAAATATGATATTTTTTATTAGGTCAAGGCTCTAAAAAATTTTATTAGTGAAAATTTTATAAACACCACGTACAAATTCAATGTTTTTTTCCATAAGAAAATCAATTTAATTTTGTTTTAATAGCTGTTTTTATATTTGTGATAAGTAAAATGGCTTAGAAAAATTCAGCGTTCTTCAAGTCTAACTGAATAATAACTCAAAAACGACTTCTCCGAAAAAAAAAATTAAAATATTTTTATACTTAAACTATCCTTCTCTACAGAGTGACACCGATAACCTGTATATTTTAGACTTTTCCCAGTAAATATTCTTTTAGAAGTATAAAAAAATCATTTTAAATTTTAGACTGGAACTCGGCACTTTTCATAATCTTAAACGGTACAAAGGAAGAGCATTTAGACATGTTGGACGGCGGTATAATCCAGAGATTACTCGAAGAAAAATGGAAAACCTTTGCAAGAGTAAAACCCAACTATAAACCTCTTAAATCCAACTAAAAACATATTTTCTAGAACCAATTCCTCAAAAGACTTCTAATCCTAGTGGTCCACTTAATATTCCTATCTTTGGCGATGTATCTGCGACCTGATGACCCCGACCAGCCCCTATTAGGTTGGACAGATGACCCCACCGTTATCGCCAGGTATGGCTGTGAGGTGGGAACACTTGTGGGTGTCCTAAGTTACGTGGTTTTACAACAAGGGGATGAGATTCGCAATCAGGGACTTTGGACGTTTTTGAAGCAGCAAGTAGGTGTCCTTTGAGAATTTTGTTTTGTTGTTAATATTTTGATTTTAGTCGAATTCTCCTCCAAAAGCCATATTCTTGTTCTCGAATCTCCTTATATTAGCTTGTATACCGTGTAGATTACATGGCGATAGAAAAACAGAAGAGGCTATATTGGTTTTTGCCGTACCAGGATCATGGTTTCTCCTTATGTTTTTTGCAGGGTAAACACCTTAATTTTAATATTAAACCCGCATAAAAAGTATTTTTTTAGTGCGGTTCGTCTCACAGGACCCTTCGTAACAATGATATACAGTATGATTACTGGAGACATGTTAACTTTTGGAATTATCTACACGATTGTACTTTTTGGTTTTAGTCAGTCGTTTTTCTTTTTATATAAAGGTTTTCCAGGTGTAAGTGGTACTTTGTACGCCAATTACCCCACCACGTGGATGGCCCTGTTCCAAATAACATTGGGCAACTATGACGTAATAAAATTTCACTAAAAAATGTTAGTTTTTATTTTATAATTTTTTTAGTATCAAGAACTATCATTAACAACATACCCAGGTGTAGCCAAAACAGTATTTGCTCTATTTATGGTGTTTGTACCAATTTTACTTCTTAACATGCTGATTGCTATGATGGGCAATACTTATGCTCACGTCATTGAGCAGAGTGAAAAGGAATGGATGAAACAAGTATTTTTTACATAACTATACAATGTTCTAATTAACTCAGTATGAAAATATTTTAGTGGGCTAAAATAGTGATAGCCTTAGAGAGGGCCATCCCGCAGGCTGACGCACATCACTATCTGCAAGAATACAGTATTTCTTTGGGCCCTAGTGATTTAGATCCCAATATAGAGCAACGTGGTGTTATGGTTATCAAATCTAAGAGTAAAACTAGGGCTAAACAAAGGAAAGGTGCTGTACTTAACTGGAAGGTATATTACTAAAGAAATTTTTAAGTTTTTGTAAATTAATTTGGAGGTTTTAGAGAGTTGGTAAAGTTACTGTACGAGCTTTAAAGAAGAAAGGATTGACTGGCGAGGAAATGCGTTGCCTTATGTGGGGTAGGGAGAGTATTAACACACCTATAAAAACCAAAGGGTAAAAATGAACGTCAACATGTACAATTGTTTAAAACTTGTTTTCTATATAGTAAAAATAAAGATCCATTGGCTGATCCAACTGGTCCAGATTTGACTAATGGTTTTGGTAATGCGCTAACTACAGCCCTAGATGTTATGGCTTTTACACATGAAATGGATTTAAATGGTGCTGCCCAGGGACTTAATTTGGCTAGTAATCCTGTCAAACCAGCTAATATGGTACATATTACAAAATATACCACTACTGTACACTTGTTTAGCTTTGATATAGCACTAGCTTGTTTAATTTAGAGAGGTACATCTCACCGCTATTGCTGCATTGTCAGCGTCAACTGCCAATTTCATAATTAATTTAAGTGAACTTTAACTAAAGTCCAATTTAAAAGGTTAAATTGACCAATCAAAACCCAAAACTTACCAATAAAAACCGAATTTGTCATTTTAAAGTGGACTTACATTTAAAGTTCACTTTTGAATTAATTAGGATTTTTAAGGACAATTTAAGTAAAAATTGAAGGAGGCATGACGTCAACGTGTTAACTGTTTTCAAACCAGAACATGCGCAGTTGCTATAAAACGAATTCCCTTGTAGACTAATATCAGAGATAACTTAATATTTTCTATAATTATTTTTAGAATATTCCAGATAAAGTCGCAATGAATAATCAAATAAATAGCGCTCTAACAGCTCAAACTATGTCGAATATAACAGCATCAGCAGGTATGACTACACATAAACTATTTATTATTTTAACATATAATATACACGCTAATCCATAGGTGAATCAATGCTTGGAACACTTTCTCAAATAACAGAATCAAAAGGATTAATACAAACAACACAACAACAAATGACAACTACAACAACAACAACAACGCTGGTAACACAAATAAAACAACCAACAATAGAACAACAACCAATAATACCAACTCAACAACAAAAAATCGTAAAAATTGACACTGAAGACCCACTAAGAGATTTAGTGTTGTTCGATAGCGATAAAAATTGTGAACAAGAAAAACTGAACTTTTTAGCTACCACTGCTGCCAACTTAAAGGAACAAGAGGTGATTCAGTCCCAACCTTCAGAGCAGACGAAAAGCGTGAAAAATTTGGCTGGAATATTCGCCGGGACCGAGGCGTTTGTTAAGAAGGTCGAGGAGACGGTAAAAAAGAAATACGCGGCTTTGGAACCGAGCGACAGTGAAGGACTTGAAGGTAAACAACCTGTTTTATCTTCCCCTTTTGGTTTAAGGTGTACACATTTTTCGTTTGTAGAAGTTTTATTGGGTAAAATATCGAGAACCAGGAGAGCCAAGTCAGCGCATCTAAGAAATTCTTCAGCCAAATCGAGGACATCAGATAAAAGGCGTTTGATGCACTCAGATTCCGGTTCCAGCAATACTGATACAGTAAATTCTTTGGATGAAAATAACACAAAGAAAAATGACGACTTAGATTATGCGGAAGAAAGAATGAGAAGTGTTAAAGAGTCGTTAAAAGTTGACAGTTCGAATATAAGACCAATAAACTTAGATGTCGCTTTAGGAGAAGAACCGTTGTATGTTGTAAATTGCTGATGCTATGGAAATAATGTAATGTTTTGTTATTTAGATCCGCCACAATTTCTGACACTTTAAGGATTCAAGGTTCAGGAAATGGTAATGAGGTTGAGTCAGGGAATATTACGAAGAAAAAAAGAAAAAAACGAACGAAAAGTTGTAAAAATAACAGGTAGGCTTCACCAAAAACGACCACTTTAAAATATGAATATGAGTCAACGATAGTAATTATAAATAAATATATTATTTTTCGTTTACATGTTATGGTTTGTATCATAAATTAAAAACTGTATACCCTAAAATGCATATACCGCAAAACAGCAATTTAAAAAATACAAACCTCAATTATGGAGCTGCGTTCCTCATTCAAATGTGAAAGTGTGTGGGTGTGGAGCATACTAACAACAATTATTTATTTCTTTTAGGGTGGCGCCCTCTTCCGACCAGAGACCCTGCAAATCGGCCAATGGAAAACCGGATTCTAACGAATCTGATTCTCCCGATCCACTGGAACCGTGGAGTACAAAAAGTATTACCAACATGAACAAAATTTTGGCGTGGGAAAACCAACCGGATAGCTTGTAAATTGCGTGTAATAAAATGATTATTGTATATATCGAAAATATGTTTAATATATCTTATGAGTAAAATAATAAAATACAAATACAAATACATTTTTTTCTTAAATAAGTATAAAATTATAAAAACTTGGAATATCTTAAAGAATTAAGCAGCCGTGGGATATCACAATTAAAATGGGCAATACTTACAAGTTCTAACTTGGCATGCTGAATGAACTCTTTAGTTTAGAGGCCTGAAAATAAAACAAATACATATAAATATTTGTTTAAACCTTATTTATTTATTTTAACTAAAACATTTTGTTTTAATTGTGTTTAATATGTTTTTATTTAAAATATTTTACAGGGTGCACCAAGTGTGTGTATGTGTATTAGGGTGAGCCAAAAAAACTAACCTATCGGATTTATGGGTTAAAATGAACCTACATACCGAGCAAAAAATTTCCCTGCAAGGCAAAATTTTTTGCTCAATTTTAAAAGGTGTCGGTGAGCATTCTAAGTTTTCCATTGAAATAACATGTAAAAAAATATTTTTTCATTAAAAAGAACTGCAGTTTTACTGATTTTTTATACTTTTCAAAGCTTTTCAAAGCTTTCAAACATACGAATTTTTGAATTAAAAAAAATAATCCTGGTATAGATTCTTTGGGAAATTTTATGCTCTACAAGAATCCGCGACGTAAAAAATTTTATCTCAAACGGTTCAAAAGTTATAGTCTTTTTAATGAAAAAAAAATTTTTTACGTGTTATTTCAATGGAAAACTTAGAATGCACACCGACACCTTTTAAAATTGAGCAAAAAATTTTGCCTTGCAGGGAAATTTTTTGCTCGGTATGTAGGTTCATTTTAACCCATAAATCCGATAGGTTAGTTTTTTTGGCTCACCCTAATGTGTATACTCCAATGGGTATTTTTTTTTTTAAGAGCAAAAAGTCGGTTAAATTACAAAAAAGTTGCGTAATTACAAGCCTATTAACATGAAATTTATAAATTGAAAAAAAGGCTGCGGTTCTCAAAATATTTTAAAAAAGCTATAACTTTGTTTTGTTGTTAAAATATAAATAAATGTGTATATTTATATGTAAAACTTACTTTTTTTCAAAGATCCCAGGTTATAACGATTTTTGGTTTTGACAGGTTTTCAGTTTTTTTTTATTATTTAAGAACCGCTGATTTTTAATCAAAGTTTTAAATTCCATTTTAAAAGACTTGTGTCTAATTTAGTTGACCTTGTAGCTCTTCAAATAAAAAAGATACCCATACATAGAAGGACACTTCGTGCACCCTCAATACATACAATTTTTTGCAAAAAAATAAATACGAAAATTAAAAAAATCCTAAATATAGGGTAGAAGTTACTCAAATTAAAAAATAGCAAAAAACAATTAAAAACATAAATTTGTGAAAATGAAAAACTAACCATTTATTAAAAAAGGAATCCAAAAAATATTGGAAAAACGTAAAAAAGCAAAAAACAAAGAAAAAAATTACCATGATATTAAAAAAATGATGTGAAAACTCTGAAACCACCTAAAAAAAACTACATATTTTGAAAATAACTCATAAGTTTGTAAAAGTTCAAATTTTAAATGAAAAGAAAAATACACAAAAAATAAAAAAAAGTAAATATTCTAATAGTAAAAAAGTTAGTAAAATTTCAAGTTCAAGTTTTTAAATTATAAAAAACAAGAAAATAGTGTAAAAATTAAAATAATTAAAAACATATTTTCGTAAAAAATAAATATATACAGGGTGTCCAACGTGGTTTCTAAAGACAAAAATAGGAAGAAATCTTCATATAAACATAAGTTGGCAATTGGCTCCTAAGCAGAGTTGCAAATAATGCATTATTTTTTTAATGTATTAAGGTTTCAATACACATTATTAAAATAAGAGTAGGTAACGTGTTTAATTTTCATTATGCATTACTTTTTTTTAATGAAAATTAAGTTAGTTACTTACTCATTACATTTTTTCCAATGAGTAATGTATTCTTTTTTACATTACTCATTTTAATTTTTAATGAGTATTTTTAAATTTTCAATTAAAATTTTTTTATGTTAATGAATAATGTACTCACTTTACATTACTAATTTTTTATTTTTAATGAGAAATGAATGATTTTCGAATTACTCATTTTTAGTGGGCAAGGAAGATATTTTTATTGCATGACAAATTTTTTCAATTTTTGTTTTAAATTGTTTTTTTTTTACCAGTAACAGACGTTCGCGAATCGCGAATTCAATACTTTTTCGAGTTAAGGTCGCCTTCTCACCTATATTATAATTATCATAATCCCACTATCAACCCCGGCTTAAAATTTCTTCTAACGTAAAAAATTTGCAAGAAAATCGAAGAATACAAACAGTTTGAGAATTATTTTTAAAATTCGCATGCAAATATGCTTTGGTAATTTTGAAATAAAAATATTAATTCGGACCATTATTAAAGAAATCAGCAGCAAAAAACCAAAAAAATGCGATTGTTTTGATAATTTGATATCTTTTGAAGAAATAATCAAAAAAATATATTTTTTTGATATATCAAACTTTAATGGGTAGGTACCTAAAAATATCGAAAAATAAAAGAAATCGAAAATCAACATTTTTCAAACTGACAGACTTGGTGTAAAATGCCCCATATTAAAATCACCCCATCAACCCTACCCCTGATCATTTTTTACCGATGTAATGGATAATGCATTTCGTTGCACAATTTTTTTGTAATGTGTAATGTACGGTCGCTCATTACTATTTTTTTATCTTTTACTGAGTAATGTATTGTTTGACATTATTCATTAATTTTGTGTAATGAAAATATTTCTCATACATTTTTTTTAATGATTAATGTATTCAAACTACATTAAAAAAAATGACGATTGCATTACTTTTTAGATTAACATTTTTGCAATTCTGCTCCTAAGCAAGCTGCAGCCTCTTAAAGGGGCGCCCCTGAAGATAGATTTATATTATTTCCGAAACAGTTTGAGATAAAATAATAAAGTTTTTTATGCCTAATTAACTTTTTATGCTGAATTTAAAAATAACAACATTTCATTTTTTTATTTATGTGTGTATTGGAGTGGCCTAGGGTATTTTAAAATAGTAAAACATTGGCAAGACATGAAAAATGAAAAACTAAAAAATGTTAATCTGAGAAGCCATGTTTTAGCATAGCATAGCATCCGTTCTAATAAAAAATTGTGATTAAAAGCTACCGTAATTAAATTAAATACTGTTACAATAGTTAATATTGCAAACATGTTTATTATGCTTGTAATAATTAGGCTTAAACTTATAAGCATAATAATTACGGTAGTTTAACTCACAATTTTTGATTGTAACGGACGCTACAAAAATTCCCGAGTAACGTGGAATGGCTGAAATATAATTTTGGGTCTATTTTTTTTATTATTTATTATTTTATTCTATTATTACTTTAAGCCCGCTTCTCAAATTTTAAATTTAAGATTTTTGCAACAAACAAACAAAACGTGCACTTACCAAATTAGCTTTAAAGGACGGCATCTTTGGCGTCTCGCTGCCCATCAAATTATTATTCTCGCTCAGTCTCTTCGCAATATTCTCCCGCACTTGGCTAAGCGCTCCCATCAGACCCACCTCCTTGCCCACCGAGTTGCATCTTCGTATCTTGCCCACCTGCGAACTTTTGCGCGAGTCCGTGAACGAACTCTGCCTCGAAAACGTCGGACGGGACGTGCTACTTTTGCTTTTAGATAAATCGGGAGTCGAACCGCCTGATCCCAGTTTTCCACTAAAGTTTAGACTGAAATATAAAGGAGAAGAGAGGTTTGGTTACACTGATTATATATGGCTCTTGACTGTTTTGCAATTTAGAGTTGGCCTTGCCAGATGCCCCGTATTTTACGATTTCGATTATTTTCTTAAGGCGTAGAATGCTCAAATTCGTCTATTCGCTAAACTTAAAACATTTTATGGCTCAGAGCTAAGAAAGTTACTTCTGAAAAGTATCTTGTTACTTTTCTAAGATACTTAGGGGCAACTAAATTATGCGTTTGAAAACTTCAAATTATGCGCAGGAATTGTGCCATTTTATGCGGCAATTATGCGGGCAAAATTGGGGAAATATGCGCCAATTATGCGGGCAAAAATAAGGAATTATGCGTATTCGGGCAGAAATCAAGAAATAAGCGAAAATTATTTGTATAGATTTGGAAGAAAATAGCGAGTTAAGAATGCATCATTTTCATTTTTAAAAAAATCTGAATATGGAACTGCAGGTCACACACGTAAATAAAACAAGTGAGTGATAGTTAAACGAAGTAGTATTTTATTTTCCATAAAGTATTTTGTAAAAGAGCAGACTAGTTAAATCTTTAAAAGTCAACATAAACATAAATTATGTTACATACATAACATAGATAAGTTATCTAAGATAACAATTACAACATTAGTAATGTTAAATTACAGTCACAATAGACTATTCACCACACTCACATCACATTATCATTTAAGTCAAGCATTGATTCATTCTTATCTTAGATAGTAGATAAGTTATCTACTACATCTCCATCACAATTAAAGTGCTCCATTTCCAACTTGCTGCCAAAATACATGCACAACATTGCCTCAACTTTATCATTTGTGAGACTAGTCCTCCTGGAGGAAAATATGTCTCCATAAGCACTAAAGCCTCTCTCAGTACTGTTTCACATTTGAAACAGACACATGTAACACTTGCAAACAGGGTATCACAAAATTTACATATTCTCTAATCATAGAAATTAATGCACAAAGCACCAGATCCTCTTACTCACCTTTTTTAGATTTATGTTTAGAATTTTCTTTGACTGCATCTGCCAAAATAGAGTGTAACACTACAAAATTTGATGATGGGATGACAGGAGTCAAACAAAGTCACAGCAGGAGGTGCAAACATCTTTCATTCTTTGCAGCAAATTTTTTTGTTTCTCCCCAGGTACCTTATTAAGACTAGTTTTGGTTTTTTCGAAACTACGGCGTGGCGGAATTAATGTAATGTGCATTAAAAGTGATTTTGGCCGAATGGAAACCAGAAAACGCGTAAATTATGCAACAATATGTGATATTATGCGCATAATATGCGGAAATGCAATATGCGGTGACCGACATCGAATTATGCGAAATTATGCGGACTGGAAATGATGCATACTGGACTCATAAATTACCAAAGTGTACAAAAATTGATAATATCTGCACTTTTGAAAAAATATGCGATTATGCGCCCGCATAATATGGTTGCCCCTAAAGATACTTTAAACAAAAAAAAGTACCTTAAGTTACAAGATACTTTAGAAAGTAGCTAAGATACTATCCGAAAGTATCTAAGATACTATATGAAAGTATCTAAGATACTTTTGAGTAACTAAGATACTTTTAAGTAACCAAGATACTTTTTAGTAACTAAGTTACTTTAAAGTATGAATAAAAACTATAAAATAATGAAAATTCAGCAAGTTTTAGGTTAGGTACTTACTTCATTATTCATTCTGGAATTCCCCCAATTTTCTCCAAGAAAGTATCTAAGTTACACTGAAAAGTATCTCATTTACTTTAAAATGTATCTTAGTTACTTTAAAGTATCTAAGTTACTTGAATGTATCTTAGTTACTTTACTGAGTAACTTAGATACTTTTTTAGACACGTTACAAAATACTTTTCCAAACTAACTAGTTTAAAGATACTTTCTGTCCAATATAAAAGTTACTTTTAAGTATCTTTTTGTTCAAGATACTCCCAGCTGATTACTTTCAATATTGAATGTTGCCACTGTTCGTTTTTTTATATTATAAAAAACTATCCGACATATAAAATTGTTTAACTTTAGAAATTAATATTTTAGTTTCCATTTATCGCGCAGTTCCACCTTGTTTTCAGGCTATGGCAATATTAACAAAATAAAATACGGGCATCAAACGATTTTTATAAATTTGCCTTATAAAATGAAACTGTTTCATTAAACAATATAAATTGAAAAAAAAACAGGAATTCGTCATAAAACCCTTTAATAAAACCATGCTGTTTTAATTGTCTTCCGTAAAAAATCTAAAACTAAATATTTTATTTAAAAGCGTATTTTTGATGCTGGTTTATAACCCTTAAACCGAGAAGCGCCGAAAAAAATCGAAAAAATTGGTAAGAAACCTGTTTTTTCCCAGGGCCTTGGGAAAAATTGGCTTTTTTTGGATAAAATTGATTTTCTTTGGAAAATTTAAAAATACGCACATTTTAATAAAAGGACAATTTTTTTATGTTATTTATGAATAAATGTTGTATTTTTTTAATAACTTTTTTTTAATTACAATTTTTCTGAAAAAAAATACATTTTTTCGAGCCTTTAAAACACTACTGGCTTTTTAAACAAAAAAATTGGGAAAATTTCAGAAAAATTGACTTTTGCATTTTGTCCGTGACATACGTGAATAAGTGTAATTTTTTCTGAAAATTTTCCAATTTGTACTATGGAGAATACTTACTGAAAAAATGCAAAAGTGAATTTTTAGTTTTTTTGTTTTTTCATATATTATATCACGAGGCTCAGTAGTTTTTTGGTTGGATTTTCTTGGAAAGGAATAATGCAAAATAATTTAATTTTTTTGTATGAAACTATTTTCCAAAAAGAACAATCAAATAAAAAATACACTGAGCATAGTTTAAAAGATTAAATTTATAGTTTGAGTGATAAACGTTTAAGCTGGATTTATAGTTTTAAAGGTAACGGTAGAGGCAGCGGTAAAGGTAGAGGTAAAGGTAGCGGTAGCGGTAGCCGAGTTCGGCATTGAATGTTGTACGAAACAATTTATAGTTGTAAGAGAGGTAGAGGCAAGAAGGTAGCGGCAAGAGATGACCATCTTTCAACTTTTCTTACCTCAACCGCTACTCCAGCCAATCACACGGCAGTTTTCAGTTGGCAGCCTCGCCTTGTAAGTTTAGTTTTTATGCGAGGGGCAACCAGACTTGATAATTTGTCAAAAATGGTCACCGTCATTTGTGTATTTAAAGAACTACTCTTTATCGGTCAATTTTATTTTATTTTAATACTGGAAATGGCGTTTCTTAGCTCGTTCCCGATTTAATTCCCTCGTTTTATAGCGACGTACCTACTTGACGACCCCCATAACGTACTTGAAACCCTGCAATACAACATAATATATTGTATAATATATTGTATATATAACATATTGTGTTGCAGGGTTTATTATATAATATTTCGCACAACGCCATATGGCCCAGAAGCACAGCAATGCTGTGACAGCATTGTCCTCGCAATTCATGTTTTCATAGAAAACTTAACCTTTTGCTATTAAATTTTAGAAACAAAATTACAATCTGCATTAAAGTACGCATGCGCCGTCAGTACCGCTACCGCTACTTTCTGAACTATAAAGCTGGATTTATAGTTTTAAAGGTAACGGTAGAGGCAGCGGTAAAGGTAGAGGCAGGGTTGGGTATCTACCTACATTTTTGTTTTCGACATGTAGAAAACCTTTTTCGACGTTTTCGACGCACAGTGGTCCGAAATCCCAAAAAGCTGGTCAAAACTCGAAAATGTTGTAATTTTGCGTGAAATTTCCTTATACCAGGGTTTTTGGGGTCGCTGATTACGAATTTTATGTTAGTTTTTAAAAAACAAAATGGCGGATACAAAATGGCGGAGTTGTTTCATGAGTTATGATTTTTTTCAAACGAAAATAATAGTTCGGGGGTTTTTTTCGGTCGCTGATTACGAATCTGATGTTAGTTTAAAAAAAACAATGGCGGATACAAAATGGAAGAATGATTTCATTTTATCAAAACTACTAATTTGGGGGTTCTCGTAATTGCTGATTACGAATTTAATATTAGTTTTGTAAACAAAAAAAGGCGGAGCTGTTTCATGATTTTTATTGAACAAAAAAGTAGGTCAGGGTTTTTTTGGGGGTTTAAAGGGTTTCTTGGAAAAAAAATCATGAAAGAAAAGCGGCTTTCATACGGTATCCATGAAACAAATTTTATTAACATGTTAATAATAACTAAAATAAAATAAAAACCCATCTTCATGTTTAAATTTAAAACTGAAAGTAAATCATGAATACATTTTGAAAAATCGTTAATACATTCGTTCAAGATTTTAATAAAAGACTTAAAAATGACCCGAACATGCATTGAAAATCGTCACCATTGATGAAGATCAAATGATGTTTAAAATGAACACTCAGTATATACTATTTTGATTAAGAAACTACCTATTGTTACGTTCAGGGAGCTCGGTTTTTCGACGCTCGCAAGCTTTACTTCCTCCTGCGCTATTGCAATAAATAATTTTTTTCACTAAAAGGTGGACAAAGGTGGAAGTTCCGTCTGCGTCATTTAATTGTTTATACTTTTTAACACATGAAACAGTTTGCAACTGTTCCGGATCTCGCCGGATCACTACTATTTCGTTGCATTTATTCATGCTCCGTATGGAAATACAGAAATTTAAACATGTCAAATTTAAAAGTTCTGCCGCAAATTAAAATAATTAAAAAACTCATGATGAAACATTTGTAAATAATGTACAAACCTTCAGGAACATCTCCCATTTTTTCCGATCTCTTCGCAACACTTTTACACCTTAAAATTCCGTTTTTTGCCGCGACGCATAAAAGTGAATAAACGCCAGAGTGACAGGTGTTCGTTAAAAGGGCGAACTTTGAAAGAACACCTACAGTCTAAAAGGCGATCTTATGCTCTGTCCCTTTGGATTTAACTACTCTAACACCATCTATTCGAGATTTTGTTAAGATTTACCCTGAAAGGTAAATTTTGATTTTTGGGTTTTGGCCAGCTTTTTGGGATTTATAACCACTGTGCGACGGTAGAAAACGTAAAAAAGTAGAATACTGTCAAATATCAAAAAATGTGAGGTTATGCAAGTTTGTTGTTTATTATGATTTGTTAAATGTTGTGAAAAATCAGACACCTACCATAAATTTGAAGTTATTTGGAGTTTTTTAACATTATTATGGTGGGAAAAAAAGGGCCACGTTTGGTTGGGAGACCCCAACATAATTTTTGGCATGAGGGCAAATTTAGAGAAGTGGAAGGAGAAGGTCGAATAAGGTAATTTACGTAGGTAGAAAACCCTATAGGTTTTCGACGCAAGTCGAAAACAAGTTTTCTACCCTTTTCTACCAAGGTAAATTACCTAAGGTTTTCTACTGACCCAACCCTGGGTAGAGGTAAAGGTAGCGGTAGCGGTATCACTTTCTGCAATTTATAGTTCAGAAAGTAGCGGTAGCGGTACTGACGGCGCATGCGTACTTTAATGCAGATTGTAATTTTGTTTCTAAAATTTAATAGCAAAAGGTTAAGTTTTCTATGAAAACATGAATTGCGAGGACAATGCTGTGCTTCTGGGCCATATGGCGTTGAGCGGAATATTATATAATAAACCCTGCAACACAATATATTATATATACAATATATTATGTTGTATTGCAGGGTTTCAAGTACGTTATGGGGGTCATCAAGTACGTCGCTATAAAACGGAATTAAATCGGGAACGAGCTAAGAAACGCCATTTCCAGGATTAAAATAAAATAAAATAGACCGATAAAGAGTAGTTCTTTAAATACACAAATGACGGTGCCCATTTTTGACAAATTATCAAGTCTGGTTGTCCCTCGCATAAAAACTAAACTTACAAGGCGAGGCTGCTAACTGAAAACTGCCGTGTGATTGGCTGGAGTAGCGGTTGAGGTAAGAAAAGTTGAAAGATGGTCATCTCTTGCCGCTACCTTCTTGCCTCTACCTCTCTTACCGCTACCTCTGACAACTATAAATTGTTTCGTACAATATTCAATGCCGAACTCGGCTACCGCTACCGCTACCTTTACCTCTACCTTTACCGCTGCCTCTACCGTTACCTTTAAAACTATAAATCCAGCTTTAGATTATTTCTCAAATTAAAGGAAACTATTTGACAAATAATAAAATCTGACATATGTCAAAATTTATGAACAATTGTTTAAACAAAAACCCATTAATTTTGTAAACTAGATAACTTATTTTTTATTGTTTTTTAAGAAATGTATGTTAAAACTTGTAAATAACATAATAAAATCGTAAACAAAAATCCAATATGGAGGCTAAAATTTAATCGCTGTTAAACAGTTCTAGTGATTTAAATGCTTACCTAAATAAAATTTATTCGAAAATTCAAGGCTTATGATATGTTAATTTTATAATGAGGGAAATGCCGCTTCAATTTTTCCGGAATTTATAAAACAATATGCAACCATAGCTGCATTAGAACTTCTAACATGTATATTTTTGACATTTTTCCTTTTGTTGGATTATTTTACAAATATTTAAATGCAAAATAGTTCTTTTTTATGCTAGATTGTGAAATGCCACTTTTGCATTTGAGAATAAAAATTTGTTTTGTGAGCAAAAAAAATCATTTAAAAATACAAAAAAATTTTGCAATGAAGTATGAAGCAACATTTTTTTGAAAACTTTATCACAGTTTTAAATTAATAAAAATGTGAAGAGAAAATTTGTATTTAAAAATATTTAGCAACAAATGTAAAAGACTTTTACATTCTGCTGACACAAAACTGTTGATTTGACAGTTAATAAATATAATTTAAAAGTGAACTCGAATAAAAATGTTTCAATAATAAGCTGTTTTTTACCTAGCAACCCTGTTATGCATTGGTGATAATTGTGGTAGCCGGCTGACTGACATTTTTTCTGTTGGTGTTGACTGCGCCATTGGTCTTAAATTGGACTCCTAAAGTAGTAAAAAATAAAAAATGCGATGTTAAATTTGTTTTTTTTTTTAATATTGTGTACTTACACGAATAGGAGTGCTGGTTTTCTTATGCATCATCGTGGGTGGATGTAATTGAGATTTATTTGGAGTTGTAAAGGTTTCTGAAAAAAGAACGTAGAAATATACAGGGAGAATACATTAACGTCATACCACGCGAGAAGTATACAAAAATTACAATCTTGATTCTTTACTATTTTTAAGGTTTTTAGGTTATTTTTAGAGGTTGGTAGTTTATTTTTATCTTCTATGGTTTTAATTTTAGAAAGTTCCCATTCATCAAATGGTGCTCTAAAAAGTGTTCAATAGATATCTTGATCGAGAAATGCGATGTTTAAAAGATATGCCAAAAGATATTTAGAAATTATCTTATGCGCCGTTTTAGCCCTTTAAGATATCTGAAATAAGATTACAAAAAGATTTATAAAAGACATCTAATGCAACTTTTTTTGGCTCATATACAAGGTATCAGAAATTTTTTAAGATATAGATCTATTGTAGATAGGACCTTTTGACTTAGCAGGGCAGTATTGTTGGTATTTGCTAATATATTAGTACTATATTTATAACTTTATTATTAAGATAAATTTTTTAGTATTTTTCGTAGCAATTTTCTTTAATTTTTACTATTTACATTTATAATTTTTTAATTATTTAATATTTTCATCACATTCTGATTTATAACATTTTTAAGACATCTGCTCTAAGAAATCTACATCTTTTAGCCATCTCTAAAAAAATATCTGGAATTGGTCATCTAATAGATGTCTTTCTTGGTATGTCTAATAGATATCTTATAGATGTCTTTCTGAGTGTGAATTTATGAAAACATTGAAAAAATTCTAATCGCCCCTTTTGATAAGGTTTTACGACTTTTACATTATTTAAATATTTGAATTTTATAATTTTAAATCATACATAAAAATGTTTAATATTAAAATCGAATAATTAAATATAAGAAAAATTACAAAAATATATGAGAATTTTGTTTTGTCACATTATCATTTAGAATACAAAATTGCTTTTTTTCTGATTTTATTTTTAAATTTTTATATGGGGGATTCCACGTAAATTCGACACGAAAAAAACCTTTGCCATTTTGCAATTTGTCAGCTCCTTGAAAAATATTATTTAGCTCACTTCATCAATTATTTACGGAAATTATTATTTTTTCATTGAAAGCTAAAAATCAACTTTCTACATTTTTGTTTTTTTTTAATATATTACTTTATGTGAATACAATTTTTTTTAACTATATTAGGTCGTGGCTATCAAAAATTTAATTTTGTTTTGAATTCGTTATTTTAGGAATTTCGATTTTTTTTAATTTTCAGACGATATATTGGCAAAATCTTTATAATCTTGAATATTTAAAATAATCATATCTCCGAAAATAATTGATGAAACGGGCTAAAATTAAGTCCACTCACATTAAAAATTAAATTCCGTTAAAAAAATAAGACCTTTGACATTACTTACTTCTTTTGACCATGTTAGTAATAGGAATTACAGCCTTGAGTGGACCTTTTTTGGCGGGGCCAGCCGCCATTTTCAAAGGTTTTGGCTTGAGCGGAACAACGTCGCTGTTTTTCCGCAAAACATGTTTTGAGAATAAAGCAGGTGAGTTTTCCTTGCCTTTCTTCGGTGTAGCCTTTTTCGGCAAAATCGGACTCTTCTCTTTACTTTCGTTACTAATGATTTTCAATGGTTTATCGCCTTCATCAGACAAATCTTGATTGTCGCATATTGAAGAGTGGCCCGAATCTTCCAAACTTTTGTTGTGGGGAGATTGCGTTAAAATATCCGCTAAACTTGATAATAATTTTCTGCCCTCGTTTTGCTGGTTGTGACTTCGATTTTGCGATGTTAAAATGTCGGATAAATTTTGCAACAACTCCTTGGCATTAGAAGAATTGGAATTGTTGCTCTTCCTGCTTAGGTTGCTTTGGTTTGAGTCGGTGGAATTGTTTCGGCATTTCGTTGGATATTTTAGCTCTTCAAAAGGTATTGCGACTGAGGTTTCATTTGTTTCAAATATTTTTTGTTTATCGTTTTTTTTTGGTGAATTTTCTGGGCTGGCCAGGACCAAAACTGGGGGGAGTTCGTTTTCCAGTTTGATTTCATGAGCTAAAAAAGAAAATAAGAAAAATCAGCGTTGATATAAATAAGGTTTTCTGGGATGCGCCTCACAGATACTTCACAAAAAAGACAAAAATTTAAAACAGATATAGAAAATAGATTTTAAAAGGCTAAAACCTTGTGTAGTGATTTTATGTATTACTGCAGGGCCATTCCACGCTTAACGGATAGGACAGCCGCCGTGTTTTTATTTACAAAATAATATTGTTCCACCATATTACCAATGTCAAATTTTTATAAATAGCTCTAAACAAAAGCTGTTTAACAAGGTTTTTATTTGGCAAAATTAGGTATCGTGATTGACTGTCCAATTCCTTAAAAATTAATAATTTAAAGCGTAACGGTCGGGACTTTTGCAAAGTCCCGACCGTTACGCTTTAAATTATTAGTTTTTAAGGAATTGGACAGTCAATCACGATACCCAATTTTGCCAAATAAAAACCTTGTTAAACAGCTCCAGTTTAGAACCATTTATAAAAATTTGACATTGGCAATACAATAGAACAACATTATTTTGTAAATAAAAACACGGCAACTATCCCATCCGTCACGCGTGGAATGGCTCTGCACTAAACTGAATAAATAAATAATATATTATAATCACGTATTATATGATTATAATCCAAAATTCGCTTTATTCTTGATATAATTATCAGAAAAATTGACTTCATTTTTTCGAAGTACCCTTTAAATAAAAAGAAAAAAATGCAAAAGTCAATTTTTCTGAAAATTTCCCAATTTTTTCTTTTTTCCCGGAAAAAACGTTTTTTTTCGCCGGCTCAATTTTTCCGGAAATTTTAAAACCTAAAATTCATTCTAAAAGTTATAATTTAGACACATCTGTTAACCTGTTGCCAAATTTAAATTATTTCCATAAAAACCATTTTTAGATGTTGACTATTTCAGCTTAAAAAATACAGTGTTTCCCAATTTTTAAGGTGGTTTTTCATATACTGCCCTACTATGGAGAAAGGCAGTAACTGCAAAAAAATGCAAAATGCGTTTTCTTGTGCTATGGTAAAGCTATGGACATTTTGTAACCGAATTCAACACAGAAATACAGTCAAATATCTCTTAAGTTAAACAAATCAATTAAATACCTACTGCTATTTATAAAAATGTAGTTTATGCTAATTTTCCACAAATTTCTTGTTTAGCAGTTACTGCCTTTCTCCATAGTAGAGCAGTATAACACAATATTGTTTACAATAGAAAATGGTAAAAACATTTGTTTTATTTAGGTTTTTAATTTCGTTTTATTACCTTTTTTTAAGTCATATCAAAAATTATAGAACATACAATATTTAAATCAATAAAATAACATACAAAATTTTAACCAATTGGGTAAGGTCAATTGGTACAGGGTTTTAAGACTTTTAAAAAATATAAAAGGACTAAAAACACATTTATAATATTTAAAAAAGAAAACATTTACTTTTGTTTTGGATTTTTTAAAACATACTGTCATAAAATACAGGGCTCCCATGGTTAAATTACAAATTTTATTTAGGAATTTAGGAGGTTTTTTGGAGAATTTTAGGAGAAAAAAGTATGCAAATGAATTTATTTAATTAAATAAAAACAAATCTACACTATACTTAAAAAATAAGAAAAAAATTCTTTTTAACAAAAATATAAATAAATATCACTACAAATAGGTTATATTGACTAGTTTTTTAGCCAAATCGCTCGACGAGTTTTTTTTATAATAAAATGAAAAGTGAGGTAAAATTACTACTTTTGTATATGTCTAGAAGTAAAAATTTCACCCCACTTTTAATTTTATTAAAAAAAGCGTCGATAGATATGGCTAAAAAAGTAGGCCAAAGTTTAATGATGTTATATTTATATTTTGAAGGAAAAAAATTAACAGTTTAGTTAATAACTAACAATAATTGTAATGTTATTGTTACTAAAAAATCTCATAATAGAAAAAATATAAAGTGCATGAGTACAGCAAAACATTATTTAGATTGTTTACTATTTTAGCTATCATTTAAAAGAAAATTAAAAATCCTTTTGTTTGATATATAACACGGTATATTTTTGTCGAAAATTTACGAAATATGGCTAAAAATGACAATTTTGTAGAAGTCTAGAAGCTACTATGTGGATTTTGTTTTATGGTATATTTTGTTGTTTTTTAAGAAAAATGTAGGTTGTGATACCTATATCATTTTAAAAAGAATACTAGAACCCAAAAATATATATTTTTTAAATTAATTTTTAAAAAAGAAATTTTTTAGCACAACTACCTTAATTAAACCGAGTCAAGTTGGCCTACTTATATTTAATTTTTAGGAGTTTTAGGAGATTGATGGCAATTTTAGGAGAATTTTAGGAGTTTTTAAGATTTAAGCCAAATTTTAGGAATTTTATGAATTTTAGGAGGTGTGGGAGCCCTGAAAATACATCTGACTTGAAAAAGTGAACCTAATTTTTATTAATACTTACAAGGCTCATTATGATAGATGGAGACATCAGCTATTGTTTGTGCCATATGCCTGCTTTCAATATGAATTGACTTATACTACAAAAAAAGAAAAAACAAATTATAAAAATAAAAATTTATAAAATATATTTAAAAAAACTTACAAAAACATCATCATCATCAAAATCCAAAACTCCATTTAAACTATTTCTCCTTATAAAATTAGATTTTCTATTTGGCTGAGCACTGTAAAACTTTGCTGGGGTTTTGTGAGGGCTTTCAAAAACATCTTTTTCCTCTGAGTTCATATTTTCATCTTCCAAATGTGTAGGCAATGACTGAATTCTTTGTCTCATTTCCTCCGCTGTATTATTGCTCAAGTTCTTCATAAATTCATTTGTATCACTTAAGGCAACATTTAAGGGATTTGTTTCATTATTTAAGTTTATCATTGAAGATACAGAGTATATTTTTGATATTCCCTCTAAATTTCGACCATCAAACAATGGGTTTATAGAGTTAGAAGATGAAACACTGCTTAAAACTGACATTCTATCAGTTGGAAGCATTAGAAAGCCTTTATCAAAAACTGTAGATTTAAAATCACTTGTATTACTTGTATTTAATAAAATATCATTATCAGGGTCAATCGTATTAAAATTAATAATACCCAAGGATCCTTTTCCTACATCAGATATATTTATTGAGGGAAAATCATTTTTAAAACTTAAATCATTCAAATTTATAATACCCAATGATTCTTTACCCATAAGCGATTCTCTTATAGTTTTTAGCTTGGAAAAACCCATAGACTCTCTACCAAAATCTGAAAAACTTGCATTAGCAAAATCTTCATGTAAGATGCCTAAAGATTCTCTTCGAAAATTATTTGGACTGTCTAGTTTAATCAAAGGTAAAGGGCTCTTAAAAAAATCATCATCGTTATTTTGTTTAAAACTATCGCTAAAAGACCCCGCACGTGCCGTTATAAAGCTTTTATCCATTTTTTCAATCTAAAAAATAAAATACGTAATATTCATTTAACAAGTTTTTAAATAATATATTAAAAGACTTACCTTGGTTTAATATAACTAAAACTTCACATCAATAGTATTGTTGTTTCATGAAATTAATATTAAACCGACTCAACACACTTAAAACCTTTTTTAATAGTTTTTTTTTTAATCTGACAGTTGTAACAGGTGAAAAAATGGCGATGTTTTTATAAATTTAAACACAGAACATATGAATTTAAATTCCAAAATCGGAAACTACTTTACCGACTTAGTTACCTTTGGATGACATAGGCGTACGAAATTGTTATAGGTAATAATAAATATAAAAAGGTTTGTTTTTCATTCGTTTTAAATCTTTCATAAAATTATTTTATTATAATTATGTATGTAATTTTGAACATTTTTATTTAAAATTGTAATGTAGGTATAGAGTCAAAATAAAACAATAAAAGGGTAAAAAAATAAAGCATTTTATTATAAGATGTGCTGGTAAACCTTACAATAAATTAAAGTTTAATCAGTTCAATATTCAAGAGTAAAATATATAATAAAAAGTAAAAAAATCTTAACTATCACCAGATTCACTCATTTCGTGTTTTTCGTCATTATTTTCTTTATTTTTAATGGTATCACCAATATTTTCTCTGATAGCCAATGGTGTTTCTTCTTCACTCTCATTCTTACAATTTTCTTCATTCACATCTTCGATTCTATCTTCGTCTTTCTTGCTCAATACATTTTTGTCTTTCTCTTTGCCTGATGATTCTATGGATGGTTTCTGAGAACAAGCATCCAGAACTTTGTTTAAAGTATTCTCGCTTATCATATTACTATTATTCTTACTTTTTTCGCCGAATTGTAGTTGGAATAAATGAAATAGGTTTATTTTTATAGGTACTGATGTAGCAAAGCAAAATCCAGTACAAAAGAGAATCCCAATAAATACCAGCATTATTGGCATCAGTATGATATTGAAACCCCATGGTAGAGTAACTAAAAAATATTTTAAATTGTAGGTAATCTTTGATTGTAATGTAATTTCTAGTAATGGAATATGCTCCACATTTAGACCTTATCACAACAATGCATTGTTGACACGTCTGTCCTATCTCGTTTCGCGCATACTAAAAATCACTGCAACACTGCACAGAATTTAACAGCGGCAATTTTTATGTTTACAATTCTTGTGCTTTGGGCTTGTGCTACACAGATTAATAATTATAATCGTTTTAAACGTTTCTTACAGACCTACTAAGTCTCAAATGGGGCCTTAAAGTGCCAAGGACAACCATTTTACTCCTCTTTTGTAAAAAATAAACTTTATTCCACCAGGGCTGTCATCAAACTGCCAAATGTTAGTTTGTGGTTTTTCTATGGTTTGTGGGCTATAGTAAATTAACCCTAAAATAAAAATTTGACAGTTTCATAGAAAATGGTTTATTTTTTACAAAAGAGAAATAAAATGGTTCTTAGCACTTTAAGGCCTCATTTAAGGCTTACAAGAGCGTCTGTAAGAAACACAAAGTTTAAAACGATTATTAATCTGTATAAACAGCACAAACCCAAAGCACAAGAATTGTAAACACACAAATGGCCGCCCTTAGATTCTGTGCAGTGTTGCAGTGATTTTTAGTATGCGCGAAACGAGATAGAACAGACCTTGTTGTGTGGATTGTGGGCCTTATAATTATAATTATAACACTGAACGCATAATATATCTGAGTCTAAAAATCATCCCGTTTGTTTGGCTCCAAGAGAAATTTAAGAAAAGGTTTTATAAGTATTATAATTGTTATACAGTGTGACCCATTTGTTTGCGACTTACCCCTGTAAAATCTTTATTTATTGTGCGATTTTAACAGGATTTGTTTTAAAGTGTAGATCTTGATAAACTGTATTTTTTAAGAAAAAACGCCATATTTTTACAAAATACAAGGCATACTATGACAGTTTTTAAGAGTAAATTTTTAAGAATTCATATTAGCGATTTTTTTAAACAAAATCTAAGCACAGCACTGGATTCACCACCCCTCAAGACAACCCTTTACTAAATTTTTTTGAAAAATTTTAAGAAAAATATGCACAATAATAACTACATGTGTAGTTTACTACTACTGACTCAGTGGTACAATACACAGCTATGCGCGGTGAGCCTTTGCGCATCTACAGTATTCCCTGCGCACGCTTTTTGCTTATTATTATTGTTATGAATCATAACTTATGATTAATTATTATTGTTATTATTAATTATTATTAATCAATTGTGGTTAAAAGTTACTCCTCCTTAATTTAGTCCATTTTGTTCCACATCAAAATTTTTCTTAATAAATTGTCCCTAGAGAATGAAATTGAAAATATAATCTTTACCAAATAATTCTCTTGCAAACTTTCCCATCCCTCTTCCAAAATATTGCAGTGGTGCCACAATGTGCTTAAATTGTTCTTCCAAAACCACAAAAGGTGATATTATTTTTCTTTCACATTCAGTATAACCTTAAAAACAATAAAAATAAGACCAAAATAATATATGTTTATAAAAGGTGTTTATTAAACTTAAACTTGTAAATATCTTGAGTAATAGGCACTCCAACCTTGACTATAAAAAAAATTTTATACTCAAAATTTATTCATTTCGTGGTGGACATAAGTTACCCAGTAAACACAGGACTCGCGGGCCAGAGATGGCGAGAATACTTTTTTCCGAACTGCCGGATTCGGCCCGAAACATGGTTGCCGGCGCGGCGTGTAGGTAGGGCATGTCCGCCTGGCAGACTTTCTGCCGACTTACCGTAAAGCCGAGTCATTAGCGGGTATTAGCTAGTGGGTTACTCGGTGGCCCGCCACCCGCTTCCGTGCTTTCGGCAAGGTTACGATACGTTGCTTAATAAGTAAATTGCCCAGTACACACAGACTCGCGGGCCAGAGATGGCAAGAATACTTGTTGTCCAATCTGCCGGATTCTCCCGATATATGGATGCAGGCAGGGCCGTAGCGAGGCTGGTGCAGGCGGTGCGGTGCACCAGGGCCCCCGACCTCAAAGGGCCCCCAAAACTAAAAAGTTTTACTAAAAAATCGTAATTTTCGATATCCTATCCTATCCTAAAGTTTTGCACCGGGGCCCCTGAGTCCGTCGGTACGGCCCTGGATGCAGGCGCTGCATCAGCTAGTGGGTTACTCGGTGGACCACCACCCGCTTCTATACTTTCGGCATGGCTGGCGTATATCATACGGCTAACGTTCGGTTTTGATACCTTTTGCCGTTTTCTAACCGACAATGGGCCACTTGTGGTTAGTAGGGAAGTGATAGGGAAACAATTAAAAAAATATGGAAAAATATAAAAATCGAAAAAAATATATTTGAACTTAACATGGTATTGCGCTACAAAACAGATAAAATAAAATAAAATTTAACAAAAATAAAATATCAACAAAACTACACTCTACTTCAGGTACCTCCTTTTCTATAACATTTATATAAGAACCCTCCGAAAACCCATCAGTTTTGGGTAGTTCTTTAGGTATATTTAAGGGTATATTCTCGGGTATATTACTAGCTGTGTTGCTTGATATGTCTATACTATTAGAACAAGAAGGTTGGTCATTATTACTAGACACAGAACTTGTAGGTAATTGGAACGATGTATTATTTGTTAAATTGTCATCCGTTAATAAACAATCTTCAATTAAACATTTTATTTGTTCACTAAAGTGAACAAATAAAATGTTTATAAGCACACGACGTTTAAAAAATTGTGGCGTTTGCTTACTTTTTTAATAAAAGACATATTGACTTAATTCTTTTAAGAAATATCCTAATTCAAAAATAAACGATAAACCTGAAAATACCCTTAACAAATACCTACCTAAGACTAACAGTGAAATGGCAAAATATGCAAAATATAATAAATTATGTTGTTTCAACTTACTCTTCACTTGATTCTGCCATTTTACAAACTATAATATAACCTAAAACTACACACAAAACTAGTTTGTTACAAAAAACACAATTTTCAAACAAAAACCGGCACCAAAACACGTACCTATATCGTTTATAGCACAATTCACAATGTGGATTGTGGTTTATAGTATATGGATAATTTATAAACTATTTTCTTTAAAGGAAAACAACATAACACTGTCCTGAACAATCCTTAAAAAGCTTTTCTGGAATATAACCTAACATTGAAACTTCGTTCACGTGGTTCAGCTAAACTACTAAAGTAAAGTGTTTGCGACCTCTATGATCTGTGTTTGGGACTACGAATGCCAAAGACTTAAAATGAGGAGAGCGGGTATCAGCGTACTTAACGAAGACGGCCCGAAAGTAGCAAATAATCCAGCCCGTTCATGGGCTATACTTTTTCGGATAGCATTCGGGCGCGAAGGGTGGATCCCGCCCAGCAAACCAGGCTGTTCCATTTACATAACCATGATATAACTAACAAAGAACATTGCCATATAAAATTGTTTACATAACATTTACATATTAGTTATTTATTTTGTTACATAATTATGATAAAACTTAGTAATATAACATTTATATAAATATGTTCCCCTCTTGTTATATTTACATCCCCCTTATGTATCAGCCATATAACAATGTTATATATCTACAATGGAACAATGATACATCATTGATATATGGCAATGTTTTATAGTATCCATATAACCTTATTATATGGTATTTACATAGTTTTTCTTTATTTTGTTACATAATTATAATAAAAAATTTTAATATAATAGTTATATCAAAATGATCCCTTCTTGTTATATTTACATACCTATTATGTCATGGCTATATAACAATGTTTTATACCTACATTGTAACAATGATATATAAATGTTATATATTAATGTTTTATAGTATTTATATAGCCTTTTTATCTTACTAACGAACTCGTTTAAACGGTTGTGTCGAGTGCTCTCTATTGTGTTTTAAGTTAAGTTTGATTCCATTTTTTTTATAATAAAATGGAAGACAAAAATAGAAAAAAATATATTTCCCTATCCCGGAGGCAAAAGCGGAGGAGAATTAATGCAGATCTCAAAATAATGGGCGTGGAGGTAAGAAATTGTATGGAAAATACCCAAGACAATGTGGAATATACTGAGGCTAAAACCGAAGTATTATCTTTCCCTATTAGGTTAAACCAGCCCATAAATAAACATAATAATAATAAAAATATTTTTACAGAAAATTTGGGAGAATATTCAGGAGGTCATAGGAAAAATTCCCATACTTTTGTGGAAGATTTGTGTAATAGATACTTACCTAGTCAACTTTTTATTAATGATCTGTTAAAAGTTTTGAGAAAACATTATTGCGAAAAGAAGTAGAGGCTGAATTTGTAAGTATATAAAGGGCGATTTTAAACCTGTTTAATAATGTTAATTTGTTTTTAAAACAGGGTGCTAAAAAATAAGCGACAAATTATAATTTAATGATATTTGGTAACCAAAATAAGAGTTTAATTTCTATATTTTTTTTTTAACTTCATACTGTTTTTTCAACTGGTACTTAAAAGATACAATAATTTTGCTAAATAACCAATTAAGATGGATACACTTTTTTATTATAATTGTTGTGACAATTAATTTTATGCAAATTCCATATTTTTCATTATTTTTATATCTCTTAAGGTTGCAGGGTGCATTTGACTTGAATAAATAAAATCAAACAAATTATTATTTGTACCAAATATCATTTACATAACTACATAAAGAATAGTTGTTCTTTGTTTTGAAAACAAATCAATAAACAAAAATAATATTAAATTGTATTGTTTTTCAGTTTCAGTATATAACAAAAATTGGAGGCGTCTCAGAAAGATGCCACAGTAAGAGTTTTAAAGAAAATCTTCTCAAATAATTTGGCAAAAGATTGCTCTTGGCTGGGGCTAAGAAACAACAATAAAATTCAAAATTTAAAATCTGTTGAAATATTGAAGGGTAAAAATGTAAATTTTATGGGATTATTTATTAAATACATTTTTTTAAGCTGCTGTGTGCACTTCGACAGACAAAAATTTTGAAGGCATAGTTTCCGAATGGTTCCCGCAGGCCAAACAAAGATTTGGTATACCCTATAGGGAAGCAAAAAACCCATGAAAAGAAGGTATATTAATATTAAATTCATGGGATTGCTTTATCTTTTTTACCATATATTTTTTAGCTTTGAAGTATTAATGTATTTGGGATTTTTTTTGTTTGGAAAAACTTTTCGTTTGTTTTAAGAAGTTAGAAAGAAGAAATGATTTGTTTTTTTTTTAAATTAAAATAATTTTTAATAAACATTTAAACCAATTTGTTTTTTTTTAATCTCTTTCAGAATCATTTATTTTTGTAATGTTTACTTATTATTTATGTAATATTTATTTATAATTTATTTAATATATTATCTAACTGGCATTAACAATTTCTTAGTTCTAATTTGGTATTATGGCAATTTTAAAATTTTGTTGATTTTTTTTCAAAAAATTTGCCATAATACCAAGTTAGGGCTAAGCAATTTTTAATACCAGTAAGATAATATATTACATGAAATTATATTTATAAATATTTCATAAATAATATGTAAATATTGCATAAATTATATATAAATAAGTAAATGCAACATTTATGTATCACGTTTACATAACTATGATATGGCGCTGTAACATTACAGTTACATATCTATGATAAAACACTGTTACATAACTGATATGGCGCTGTAACAATAACAGTTACATAACTATGATAAAACACTGTTACATCACAGTTACATACCCAGGAAGGCGTCTTGAGGCGGACATAGGAGCATCGCCATTACATATAGGTGACATAGCTGTTGCATAGTAAGGAACAATTTTTATGTAAATGTTATATCACTGTGACATGATTTGGTTTGCTGGGCGGTTACTGGTTTGCCGAAATCGGGCCGTATTTTAACCGAATTTGGAAAAATGCCTACTGGGGAGTTTGTATGCGGGCCGTAAGTGATCCGGACACGGCAAATTATGCCACCAGTCTCCCGATAGTGCCGAATGTTGGCCGAATGTTTCCCGAGAGTTCTGTGTTTACTGGGTAACTTTTAGTCACCCTTCCACCCTTGTTGCAGGTGGGGCGTGGGGTAACTTTAAAATTTAAAATATTAACCCCTCTTTTATTGCAGATTCAATTTGTCTAAAACATTTTTTTGATTTATGATAAATGGCAATGTAGGTATACTCAACAAAATTCAATTTTTCCAATTTCTCCTTTGACCTCCAATATTATTTAAATGGATGTTTTTCAAAAATATTCTTTTTTAGGGCAGCAAATATAAACAAAAAACCATTTATTTAAATTAAAAAGTATTATCTTCTAGGCAAGGTTAAGCAGCACTAGAATTACTTTTTCAAAAATTATTTTTTTAGGGAAGCAAATATTAAAAAAAAAACATTTTATTTAAATTAAAAAGTATTATCTTTTAGGGAGTGATAAGTGGCATTAGAAATAACTTTTTTGTTGGGAAATAACCAACACTCCAATAATCCAATAATAATAATTCATAACTTGCTATAGCAAATACAGGGTGTCATCCCTTATAAAAAATCATGAATGATTTACTTATTTGATGACACCCTGAGGACATACAGCAATGCTCAAGAGAAATTTTTGTAGGAATTTTTTAGTGCATATTACTTGAGATATTTAAAAGTTTTGGCAAAAAAATCCCCCTGTATTTATGTGTATTTAAAAAAAAACTGTTACCAAATATGTAATTCCATGTATCTGCCCAGGTTCCACTGGAAATATTACACTTATTCGCCATTAATTTTAAGTTATGTATATCAAATTCCTAAAATAAATACATAATTGTAGGTTCTAATTATTTAAGGTACCTATTCCAAAAACTACTTTTAATGATATTTTTTTCCAATAAAAATTTTAAAAACTTGACAACATACTGTTCTTTTTTAACATCATTAAAAGCCAATTTTAATTAGTTTATATTACTTATAAATTCTTAAATCTTAAAACATTAAAATATAAAAGTGTATACTATAGTTGGTACACCATTTTTAAAACACCCCGTATAAAAACTTACTTCACTTAAATTAATATACTTCACAAAAGCGTCATAAATCCATGCAATAAAAAGCAAATATTTTACTATATACCAAAGTGAAAAATTTGCTTTAAACATCAAATAAATAAAAACCAATATAAAAGTCAGACAAACAATATGAACTGTGGTTTCAGAGAGCAGCATATACAAAATTTGATTTCTTGTTTCCATGTAATAATCATTCATAGTCTTTTTGAAAGCCTCACTTAATATAGCATCAAGTTTTTGCAACATGTTCATATTTAAATCAGCATTACTTGTAAAATCTTTTAAAAACTTAAAATCAACCTCGGCAATATTTATTTTTATTTGTCCATTATAAAACTCCCCTTCTTTTTCTAATATTGCCGAATTTACTATCAACCCCACCACTCTTTTAAGAAATACATTTGTATTAACATTATTTTCCTTAAATGATTGAATTTCACAACTTTTATATAAATCTGGGTTTTTATGATTTTGTGATTCTTGTTTGGGTATTTTAGCTCTGATATCCATATCATGGGGATCTATCCAATCACAATTAATTAGTATAAATACGTTAAAAAAATAAATTAAATATACCTAAAAACACATTTTACTTATAGAGGAAATTATTTTTGCTTGCAATGAAGTACTTACGAAATGCTTCATTTTTGGTTTTAGATTAAACTTCAGTCGAAATATAAAATCATTTAATATAATATACGGGAAATACTTTTTTATATTTAAAGAGCGCCAAGTGTTTGAGGTTATGTAAACGTCATACAGTCCAGTGACGTACGTTTTATTTTTACAATAGGTGTGTTCGCGGTGCTAATCCCGAACAAGTTCGGACCACAATCCACACATGGATTGTGGTTCGGACATCCTAGGCATGCGCATTTTAATATTTGTCTTGCGCACTTTACAATTTGAACGCCAAATTTTAAAAATGCATGCCTATAGCTAGGCATGCATTTTTAACATCCTAGGATGTCCGGAATTAGTTCGGGATTAACTCCGCGAAAATAGCTAATATAACCGGAAATAAGAAACTTGCACATGTGCAGGTTTGCATTCAATTGCCTAGTATAAAAACACCGACGGGAAGGGAAGATTATCTTCCGAAGATACATGAAATTTTTTGTTTTCAACGTTTAGAATCGGTATTTAACATATACTCTTATAACTCTATATAACTCTATATAACTCTTATAGGTATAACTTATTATAATAGGTATATGGTATTTATAATAATCCTAAATCTGGTTCGGCCAACAAATATATCGCACATGGGCGACAACAGTGTCATAAGAAGTAAAACCTTAATTCCGAGATAATGACCGTAAAAGATTTTTGAATAATAAAATTTTGACATTTTTGTAAAATTATATTAACAGTGTACAAAAATGTCAGAAGTTTATTATTCAAAAATGTTTTACGGTCATTATTTCGGAATTAAGGTTTTACTACTTATCATAAGTAACTTATGACACTGTTGTCGCCCATGTGCGATATGTCGGTCACCGAACCAGGTCTATAGAGTTTTGTCTATGGTCTATACCACAATCCACACATGGATTGTGGATTATGTTCTGTGTTGTGGTCTATATATTTTTTTGTATGTATATATACAAAAGAATATATAATTATACCGTTAAGTGAAGATTAATAATAATCATAATAATAATCAATGATAGAAATGATAGAAAAATAATACCTATTATAACTTAACTTAATTTATAAGTCATATATCTATTACTGGGAGATAATATATATATGTATATATAGATGTGTGGATTGTGGAACAGACCTTGTTGTGTGGATTGTGGATATATAAAGGCCTAGGTATGTAGGTAACCTCCTTTGGTCTAGGGGTAACACATAGAAAAAGAATATGGGTAACCCATATAAAAAGGCACAGAACGTAAAAAGGATATGACATAGAAAAAGGATGAATTATGTTTTAGTAAATTATAGTTGGTAGTATATAAAGCAATGTTGCCGATTGTCAAATATGTTAAAAATTTAGAGATATTTCAGTTTTTCACTCAACCATTGATTTTGTTCAACGACATATCGATAAGTTTTATAAATATAATATATTTATCACTTATAGATATTTGAAAAATATCAATAAATAGGTTTCTAACATACTGAAAATTGTAAATTTTTGGAAAATACAACTTATTTCGAAATTAAGTGGTGTTTAAAAGGGAAATCTGACAACGTTTTTGCACGTCTTTTTATCAGCTGGTTCTTGTATGTTTATTTATGTTTTTAATTGTGGTCCAAAATGGCAGACGTTAAATCTTTGGAACATCCAACTTTAAAGGTATTTTTTCCCTTAACATCTTTTTCACGATTTAATTTATGTAATCTAGTGCCCCACTTATTTTTTCGTTAACAAAATGAAATCGTATTTTTATCGATATTACCATGGAGATTTGGGTATTACTACGCAGTTTTTTTTTATATAGGTCCCCTATGAGATACTTAACAAAAAGTTTAGAACAGCGCAAAAAACTTTGGACAGAGAAGTTTCTCATGTTCAAGCTGCTGCAACAGAGTTGGAAAAAACTCTATCTGATGGCGAAGTTAAGGCAAAAGACATAACAATGTTACTTGGAGGCATGGTGGAAAAATTACAAGTGTTAAAGCGTAAAGCTGAAGAGAGTATTTCTGAGGAATTGCAGGCTTCCAGTGTTTGTAAACGTAGGATAGAGCACCTTAAGGAACATGCAACAACGGGCACAGGATTGGCTTCTCAGGGGGCTTTAAACCAGTGGAGAAGGAAAAGATTGGATAGGATGGTTGTTGAGTATTTTTTGAGGAATGGTTATTACAATGCTGCAATTACTTTGGCAGAGAAATCAGATATAAAGGAGTATACTAATATTGGTTTGTGTTTTTTTGTATTTAAATAGGTATTGATATTTTTGCATGCAAAATTGAAATTTTCAAGGTCTTGTTGGAGTTATTAAGTGTGTGTTAATAATAAGTTTTATCGTTATGTAGGTATATAGGTAATTTATGGTAATTTTTATGTGCATGTAACTATTTTTTTAATTAAATATATTTTTTTATTTATTTCTTTATGGATTATTAAAAAAATATATAATAATGTTGAAACATTTTACTTTTGTGCTTTTTTATATTTATAATTTTCACAAAATGAATCTGACAACCTTTTCATTACTTTGACAGATAAAAAACCTTGGTTTTTGTATTATGTCCCCAATATTATAATAGAGAAGTCCCTGCATGATTGATACAAATAATAAAGGTTAATTTTTTGTCAATGTCTAGCTAATTTTGTCCTGTTTTCTGAAAATAATGCCAAATACATGTATTGTATTATTTTTAGAAAATAAGAAGAAAATAGCTTGACACTGACAGAAAATTAATGCTTATTATCTGTATCAAAGTCATTTGGTGGGACTTTTGGGTATGGAGCTTAGTTCCTATCCTTGTCTATCCCTCTTTTTTTTTAAACATAATTGAAGGGGTAAGTGTAATTGCAATGCCTGCTTAATTTATTTTTATTAATAATTAAAATATATTTTATCTCCACGCGGTCTATAATTTAAACTTTATTGTTGTCAACATTCGATAAAGAAATACCTTGTTATGGCCTAGGCCGATAAAAATTTTTATGAGGCAAGTAATTAGTTCGATTTTTTCTCGCTAGGGGTATTGTTTTGACAAATTAATTCTTTTCTAAGAAATTAACGTACTAAACTGGTTTAATTTATTTATAATAAGCACTAATTTGTTTGTTTTACTGTTATAACATTATAATGTTTAATATTTTTCATTAAATTATTGTAAAATTAAATATGAATAATAAAATAAAAAGTGAGGTTAGGACATTGCAATTTGACGTTTCACAGTTGTGTTTTCTTTTTCTACGATTTAAATTATCTTTAAATTTTAATTTGCTTTAAGTTTTCAGTAAAATTAAATGTTAAACACAGCGTAAACATTCCAAACTACCTATTTTTTAATATAAATGCAAACAAATTGAAATTAGATACCTATTTATTAAACAATTAATTGAATTCAATGTAATAGCAAGAGGGTAAGTAAACCATTTTCTTACAAAAATCCATTTCTACTTAAATCATGTAGCTAGGTATTGTCAAACTATTACTGCTTCTAAAAGGAATAATAATTATTGTACATTTAATGTAATCTTTAGCTAATAAATAAATGAGATTAAAAAAAGTGAGGTTATGCCACTTTCATGTTGAATTAAATTGACCTATATAAAGTGCTTTGAAGATAAAATGTTGTATGCCATTCGGCCAAGAAGTGTCTTTTTGTGCTTCGCTCAATTGTAGGCCTCCGCTACGCGTCGGCCTTCAAACTTTGAGCTTAGCACAAAAAGCCTTACTTCTTAACCTAATGACATAAATAACTATTATTTAAATGGGTCATTTCAATTGGAAAAGAACTGAACATTTTTTTATTGTAACTAAAAATAAATTTGGTATTTACAATGTTTGTGGCCTTATTATTAAAAATGTAACTTAACCCCTTCATCCACTTCAAGTGGACCACTGTGTTGATTATAATTATTTTAGGTCATAACTTTTTTTTTATGATATTACAATTAACATTAAAATTTATTGAATTAAATTCAAAGTAAAATAAAAAAAATCTTTTTTCTGAAAAAGATAAATGCGTTTAAAATTCTGATTTTACAGAAATATGTATTTAATATTTTAGACATCTTCCTTGCATCAAGAGAAGTAGAAAAATCCCTAGCGAATCGTGAAACCTCAAAATGTCTGATCTGGTGTCACGACAACAAATCTAAATTGAGAAAATTAAAGTCCAATATGGAGTTTAAGCTCCGCATCCAGGAGTTTGTAGAGTTGATCAGAAATGACCGCAGGATGGACGCCATCAAACATAGCAGGAAACATTTTCCTAGTTTTAAGGACGAGCATTTGAACACAATACAGCAAGCAATGGCCCTATTGGCTTTTCCAGTGACAACAGGTAACATTATGAGTAGTAGTAAATATATTTATTGAAAAATCCAAAAGGCTTTCGACTGAGGGAGGTAATATTAAAAGATTAAAGAAATGTTTTTATAACTCAACTTGACATTTTTTAACTTTAAAATTTTCAAACTGCCTTTGGAAGTTTTTGGCGCTTTTTTAACAATAATTTAAAAGCAATGTTTTAAGTTAACATTCTAAAAAAGGGTATTATGAAACAAGTTTGATGGAAAAGGCATTTTAGTCACGAGTTTTAATTAGGCCCGCGTGACTTGCTTAGCGAGTGTTTTATAAATGAGTGTCTAGAGAAGTTTATAAAACAAAATATTTTTTCTACCACAAGTACAGTTCATTTTTTTTATCTGGACTCGTGTTTTGTTAGGTTGGTGGCTTATCATAAGTTATGTCAGTTTGAAAAATGGTACTTCTGCTAAAGAATTTAATTAAATACTTTGACACTGTCAAATTTACAATAATATTTATTATTGATAATTGTCAATTATTCATCTTCAATTAGTTTATAATTTAAATGTTATTGTTGTCAACACTTAAAGTGATGGATTATGGCCTAGTCTCTAAAAAATGTTTTAAACCAAACAAGTTCATTTATTTACAGCCTATGCTGTAAAAATCATTTTATTTTTAAATCAATGCAACTTATGTCAGATCTATCTAACCTCACTTCCTACTTTTAATAATTGTGCCTTGAATATAAAATGTTGTAAGTCATTCGGCCAAGAAGTAAGTCTTTTTGTGTTTCGCTACGCGTCGGATAACTATTACTTAAAACTTTTAATAATAATTGAATTTTTTTATTTGTAATAATTTCAAAATTATCGTACGAAAGGCGTACGATTACTAGTCATTATCGTTAACGAAGGTTCAAATTCAAGTCTCGTACGATAATTATCGTAGGTACATCTGGTAACATTGCTGCTTCTGCCGAAAGTAAGGTTAGTCAAATTGCGATTGCGTAGCCATTGTGTTCTGTGGTCATTGTCACTTTCTGCTGTTACTGGGGTGCTTAACAATTTCACTGTTGTACTGGATAAATTACTCCTTTTCCTCTACTGAGAGTAATATAACTGTCCGTACTGGCAGTAGTCACTTTATTTTGACCATTTTATGACATTTGACAAGTCAACTAACTTAAGCCCGTGACTAAAAAGCCCAAAAGCCACTGTTGCTAACTTCATTCAGCATGAGACTAAAACGCCATAAAGTCACAGCTTGTCAATGTTTAAATGATCACTTGGCGTCATAGAAATATATACAGGATGTTATGTAATTAATGTAATATATTGAAATACTGAAAACCTTTTGACATAACGGAAAAATATTCAAAAAAATATTTTCCCAAAGATAAAGAAAAAATATGCATTAGAAGTTTTTATATTTTTTGTGATACGCCACTGGTTACACACTTGTGTTCTGTGAGTACATAGATACCAACAAACAAAGTAGCTGCGCGTTGCCAGTAACAATTTTTTTACAACTGTTGTAAAAAAATTGTTACTAAAAATTTTTCTTGCAATAAATAAATAAAAACTCAATAAATACAAAAGTGTTATGCCCTTAAAGCTCTAATACCATACTATTAGCTATTAGCTATTTATTAGCTTAAGCCAGGGTGGAAGAAGAAGGTGATATAGCTCCTATCTCTACAGTACAGAAGCAAGCGTCCAGATAAGTCAGTATTTCGTTCGTTGTTCGTTAGATGGCGAGTCAAATAAGAACCCAAGGTTTTACCAACGAAATCCATATATTCTATAACAACTTAACTTTTAACAACAAATTATAAGATAACGAAAACCCAAGGAGAGTCTTCTACCCTCCTTAACGAAAATTACATCTTTTCCTAAAGCATTATTATAATAATTTGCAGAACGATTGGCAATACTGTAGTATTGCCAACTGTTCTGCCAAAATGCACACTCGCCACAAACGCACAAAAGTGACGTTGAAATGGTTTTATTTGAATTTTAATTAAGCTTAGTGGTCTATTTTTTGAAGTTAATCAATGCAATTTTACTAAAAATGGAAAAAGTTTGTTGTGCACCGGGATTAAAACAGGTTCCACTTCAATGCGCCATCTATACAGACTTTTAACAAATACTGACTTATCTGGCCGCCTTCAACGACAGAGTTGAATCACCTCCTTCTTCCACCCTGGCTTAAGCAATGATTAGAAAATTTAGTAGGTACCTATTTTAAAACGCTGTGACTAGAGGCACGCTAACGTGCCGCGATTCGAAATGTTAAAGGCACGTTAGTTACATCATAATTATTTTACGTCATAATTTTAAGATTTTATGTTACGATAAAACTAAAACAAACCAACCAACCCAACCCAACACTTTTTAACAAAGGAACAACAAATTTATTATATTTATTTTATTTAAAGAATAAAAAAGTTCGACAACTTCTAGTAGCTTTTATGTTACGATAAAACTAAAACAAACCAACCAACCCAATCCAACACTTTTTAACAAAGAAACAACAAATTTTAAAACGCTCGGGGAACAAAAACGGATTATTATTATGACGCGTCACGTGCCTTTAACATTTCGAATCGCGGCACGTTAGCGTGCCTCTAGTTACAGCGATTTTAAAAACTCCATATCCACAAAATTATTTTTTTCATCGTTTTTTTCTTTCTGTTTACTCAGATGAAATTAGGACAAGTTCACAGGTTAAATTTTTAACATTCAATTTGTGTAAATAAATCCAAAAGCACTTCCCTTAGTTAAGATATTTACAATTTGAGTACATAACCTAAAATTTTAAAGAAATGCACTAGATTCTGTCATAAAAGTTGCCAGATTTTGTTTGAATCTACCTTCGTTACAAAAATGACATAATAAACAATTATTAAAAACGCTAAATTAACAATTTGCATTGTTGATTTTGTAATTTTTGCAATTAAGCTAAACTTAAACTAAATTTGGCAACTTTTTTGACAGAGTCTGGAAACGCCGGTTGTTAACAACCATAACATAATAAATTAAATTAGGCAACCAGATTAGCCTAAAGTTCCTAGTCGATCAGTGGCGTACTTTTTGGTAGGATAAAGGTTATTATAAATTATTTATAGTCTTTAGAATTTAGAAAAAAAAGTTTCAGGTGCTTCTTTATGAATCCTAAGGAACTACCCATTTTAATATATTACATTAATTACATAACACCCTGTATGATAATATTAGTTTTAAAGGTGGGAGTAGAAGAACGTTTTTATTAACAGTTTGTCATATTTAAGAGTTTTTTTATAACTAAGAATTTTACTAAAGATTATTTCCCTCATTATAATATGAACCAATCAAAAGCCTTGAATTTTCGAATAAATTTCGTTTAAATAAGCGATTAAATCACTAGAACTATTTAACAGCGATTAAATTTTAGCCTCCATATTGGATTTTTGTTTACGATTTTATGGTGTTATTTACAAGTTTTGACAATAGTAGATTATGTCATAAGGAGTAGAAGTGACTCTTTTTGTGCTTCGTACAGTTGCCTGCCTCAGCTACGCAATCTCTGTACTTACCACAAAAAGAGCTTCTACTCCAAATAACATATACTATTTTTTTTCAAGGGCGTAATATAAATATAATAAGCAAAATTTACATTAAATATACAATTACACGCACTGCAGCTCTTCAATTAAATCATGTGGGATTTTGGCTAAAAGCATTAGAAATTATTGATAAAAACTAAAAAAACTTATAACCCTTACTTACAATGCCGATAAATATCCTAAACTAAAAATAAACACAGCTCTGTCAAAATGCTGCGCTTGAATTAATTTTGACGTACTGACATTTGTTTGAAATTCCGACATTGGCGACTCGTCTATCATCATAATATTATACTAATAAACTAGTTGTTCTTTATTTCGTTCAATTAAAATTTAATAAATAATCACTAAATATTCCGTGCGATTATAATTAATATAATTAATACATCGTGATTGCTTAGTATGAAATGCTAAATTAATTTTATTATTTGACGTCTATTGAGTCACCTATGGATTTACTTCTATCCCTAGGCTTTTTTGTTTTTTGTCTGCCGCTAATGAAAAAGACGCACTTCAACTATCTCTATACATGCATATAAGGTTGTATATCATGGCCGCTTGAAAAAAAACATTTTTTAAAAAACAATAAAAAATAAGTTATCTAGTTACGAAATATCAATTATTACTTATTACATACCTTAAATTAATGGAATTTTCTTTAAAAAAATATTTATAAATTTTGACACATACGTCAGATTTTATGAATTGTCAAATAGTTTCCTTTAATTCGAGAAATAATCTAGACGTATATCACTCAACCTATAAATTTAATCTGTCAAACTATGCTCAGTAAGTTTTTTATTTGATTTTTCTTTTTGGAAAATAGTTTCATGCAAAATAATTAAAAATAAATTATTAAATTATTTTGCATTCAACATTTTCCAACAAAAACCAAACAAAAAACTACTAAACCTAGTTTAACCGATTAAATTCATAGTTCTCGTGATATAATATATGATAAAATTATAATTAAAGGAATTATTGGTTCAATATTGAATTTCAACTTCCGTTAAAAATATTGAATTTTTGAACGCAAGTTGAAGTTCACCCTAACCCCTTAGTTATAGAACGCTACCGCACCCTGTTCGACGAAACGCGCTGGGACACGCTGATCGAGGAATTCCGCGCCGAAAACTACCGGCTCTTCCAGCTAGCTTCGCAAAGCGTGTTCACGGTGGCGCTGCAGGCCGGACTGTCGGCGCTCAAAACGCCGCAGTGCTACAACGAGGAGGCGGACAAGAGCGCGTGCTGTCCCGTGTGCCAGGACTGCCTGAACCAGCTGGCGGCGCCGTTGCCGTTCGCGCACTGCTCGCAGTCCAGGCTCTATTGTCACATCACAGGGTTGCCGCTCAACGAGAACAATCAGCCGCTGATGTTGCCGAACGGACACATTTACGGGGAACAAGTAAGTTTGTAATACTTTATCTCCACGCGGTCTATAATTTAAACTTTATTGTTGTCAACATTCGATAAAGAAATACCTTGTTATGGCCTAGGCCGATAAAAAAATTTATGAGGCAAGTAATTAGTTCGATTTTTTTCTCGCTAGGGGTATTGTTTTGACAAATTAATCCTTTTCTAAGAAATTAACGTACTAAACTGGTTTAAATTATTTATAATAAGCAATAATTTGTTTGTTTTACTGTAAATGTTTAATATTTTTCATTAAATTATTGTAAAATTAAATTTGAATAATAAAACAAAAAGTGAGGTTAGGCAACCAAGAAAAGGCACGATTCTTTTTCTACGATTTAAATTAAATTTGCTTCAAGTTTTCAGTGAAATTAAATGTTAAACACAGCTTAAACATTCCAAACTACCTACCTATTTTTAAAAAAAAAATCCAAACAAATTGAAATTTATTAAACAATTAATTGAATTCAATGTAATAGCAAAAATCCATTTCTACTTAAATCATGTTGCTAGGTATTGTCAAACTATTACTGCTTCTAAAAGCAATAATAATTATTGTACATTTAATGTATTCTTTAGATAATAAATAAATGAGATTCTAAAAAAGTGAGGTTAAGCCGCTTTGATGTTGAATTAAATTGACCTATACAGGGTGTTATGTAATTAATGTTATATATTAAAATACTGAATACCTTTCGACATAAGGAGTAAAGGAAAAATATTTAAAAAAATATTTTTCCAAAGATAAAGAAAAAATAGGCATTAGAAGTTTTTTATATTTTTTGTGATACGCCACTGGTTACACACTTGGTTTATCTCTGCACACTTGTGTTCTGTGAGTACATAGATACCAACCAACAAAGTAGATGCGCGTTGCCAGATGTAAAAAATTGTTACTAAAAATTTTTCTTGCAAAAAATAAACTCAATAAATACAAGTTTTATGCCCTTAAAGCTCTAATTACCCTTTACTCATCCAGCTATTAGCTTAAGCAATGATTAGAATAGTATATCACACTACAAGGGCAGAAAGTGTAAGATTCCTGCACTGCGCGCCATCATGGCGCGCAGTGCAGGGCTCTCACACTTTCTGCCCGTGTAGTGTATACTATTTTTCTTACTACCTCGACTGAAAATTCACTATTCACTATTAGTCTTAAATAATATTCAATATTAACAATTAGTTAATTAACTAATTGAAAACAAATTTTGAGGTTATATTAGTGTCGTAATCAGAGTTGCATATGTTGAGTACTAGTGCACACGACCAAAAAAATTTCACTCCCGCTATTATAGAGGGTGCGCGTATAGCTTGACCAATACATCAAACGTAAACTTTTGCCGTGGAATCGGGGACGAAACAACGTATTTTCAGTCGAGGTAGTAAGAAAAATTAATTTAGTACCTATTTTAAAAAATCCATAACCACAAAATTAATTTTTTCCTCGGATTTTTTCTTTCTGTTTACTCAGATGAAATTGGGACCAGTTCACAGGTTAAACTTTAAACATTTAATTTGTGTAAATAAATCCAAAAGCACTTCCCTTAGTTAAAATATTTACAATTTTGAGCACATAACCTAAAATTTGAAATAAATGCACTAGATTCTGTCATAAAAGTTGGCAGATTTAGTTTGAATTTACCTTCAGTACAAAAATGACATACCCAACAATTAATAAAAACGCCAAATTGACAATTTGCATTGTTAATTTTATCATTTTTGTAATTAAGCTAAATTTAAACAATGTTTGTCAACTTTTTTGACAGAATTTGGAAACGCTGTTGTTACCAACCAGGGTTACAAACCATAACATAATAAATTAAATTAGGCAACCAGATTACCCTCAAGTTCCTAGTCGATCAGTGACGTACTTTTTGGTAGGATAAAGGTTATTATAAATTATTTTTAGTCTTTGGAATTTAGAAAAAAAAAGTTTCAGGTACTTCTTTATGGACCCTAAGGAACAACCCATTTTAATATATAACATTAATTACATAACACCCTGTATAAAGTGCTCTGAAGATAAAAAGTTGTATGCCATTCGGCTCAATTGTAGGCCTCCGCTACGCGTCGGCCTTCAAACCTTGAGCTTAGCACAAAAAGCCTTACTTCTTAACCTAATGACATAAATAACTATTAATGACTTTCTAAAATGTTTGTTTAACATTCTCAAATAAGTCTTGTGTCTTGTAGTTTTGACATTTTTTAATAATTCTTTAGTGAGCTTTACAAACTGTTTTCATTTTAAACATTTTAAATCTATATGTCATTCTGAATTAAGTCGGTGTCATACGAAATGCGAGAAATGTTTTCACTTGTCCATTTGATTTGGCTGGAAAAGCGTTTCGACAGATCCTGCGAATTCGCAAAATTTGAAATCTAGGGGGCAGGAATTTTGAGATTGATCCAATATTTTGCGATAGTTCAGACAACAGATACCTTTTCATCAAGAGGGCGTTTACATAAAAAAACTTTTAATGAACTTTTCAAAAAGTTTATAAATTTTGTTAAATAACTTAACAATATTTAGGAAATAATATTTACATAAAATTGCGAAATAAATGTTAAAAAATATTTACTTGATATTTATGAATGTTTCAGAAATATTTACACATAAGTTAAAGAAATATTTTTCCCTGAATGTTCTTACAAGATTTCATCAACCTTTCATTTTTAAATATTGTTCTCCAAACAGCCTGACAACATTTTTAAAACATACTGTGTTATGTGGGTCCTTTTACATAGTTTTGATAACATATTATATCTACGAGTTTCTATCTAAAATGTGCTTTGACATTCTTAAATAAATATCTAGATAAAAATACGTGCTAGCATTTCTCTCGCTCCAAAAGAGTTTGACATTCTTAAATATTGTTCATAACTTTAAAATTCATATTTTACATTTTTTTTAATTTACATTGTTGGTTGTTTTTCTTATTATTCAGCAGTTACTGCCTTGATTTGTAGACAGGTAATTTTTTTGTTTTCAGGCTTTGGAGCAAATGGCCAGGGAAAATAACGGTTGTGTCATATGTCCAAAAACAAAGGAAGTTTTCCCATTTAAAAAGGTCGAAAAAGTGTTTGTTATGTAATTGTGATACTTTACCTTATTGTTAGCAGTAGTATTTAAAAGTACAATATTTTGTATAAGTTTTTTGTATATAATTTATCATTAACAGTAATATTAAATAGGCAACTAATTGTTAAAAAAATAAGTACCTATTGTGTTTGAATATTAAATTTAAATTATGTTTGGTCGTTTCAGTACAAAACTATAAGTTTGGATTAAATTAAAGTAAGGAAGAAAACATAAATGTTTTGAATAAAAATGTTTACCTAATAAAACCATATTTAATTTAATAGGATTTTATTTTATTCCAATACATTTTTCATAATAAAACTAAAATTGTAGAAACCTATTTTATAAAATGGGCAAAATAGTTCTGCAAAAAAGATTTGGGTTTTATTGTATGAAATTTAAAAAGTTTTTGTGGAAACAGATTTTCCAATATTTTTTTTATACAGTTTGTAGGTATGTATGTCCCCAGATTGAGTTTAAAAAAGGGAAATAGTATTAATCGTCGAAATAATAACATTGACATAAAAAATCGGGATTTTATCTAGTGTTCAAAAATTGGGAAAACATTAAATTAATTCAAGGGAAGTACCTTAATTTTTTATTTTTTTGAAATTGTGTATAAGAAAAAGTCATTCTTGATAAAATGTTTTTATTGTCAAAAAATAACGTTGATGTATTGGTGAAATTAGTGATTTTAACAAGAGGGTGTTTAAAATATCTTGCAATAGATTTTGTTTTCCTAAAAAACGATTTTTATTATTTTAATGGCTTCTTCAAAAAATCAAGTATAATTTCCGTCGGAATTTTTGTTTTTAGATTTTGTTATCAGCAACTTTCTTTAAAAAATTATAAAAATAAAATAAAAACAAAGGGACTTTGCTGTAGATAAAATCCCAAATTATTTTGTCAATTTTTTGTCCCTTTTGTAAACTTAATGCAGTGGACATACTGTATGTTATGTGCTGTTCATAAGTAAAAAAAATGTATTCATTAATCCTTAATTTACCTTACTTATCTAATGGTTATTATCTTTGAATGGTGTAGGATTGTTTTTGTCAGACTTTTTACAATATACATTTATAAAAATATAATGAAAATTGTTTTAACAATTGTAAACGCCTAAACCATTTATAACTTACAAATTATAATACATAGTTGGTCTTGAGACCCTGTATATTATTTTTTTTTATATTTGTGTAAACCTATGAAAATCTACATTAATAAAGTTTTTTAGGGTTTTAATGATGATGATATGATTTTCCAAAATTATTTGTGATGGTCTTTTTGATTTTTGGGGCAGAAAAGTGTTTTTGGGTATTTCTAAAAGGCGTAGACCATTAAACACAAATAATTTTATATTTACAGTGATTTTCTATCTAAACTACTTTAAGAACTAATTGCTTATCATAGCGGCAGTTACTAACAATTTTATTTTATACCTACCTACAATAGACTGGGCCAAAAAAATTGACTATTTTTTTTTTTTGAAAAATATATCGAGAATGTCATTCAGAATGACAAAAAAAAAATTTCGTGAAAATTTGAGCCCTCAATATTAATTTTAAGAGGTCTATCATCGCTATTTTTGATTTTTAGTCATAATATGATGTTTTACGTTGGAACTGTCAAAACAATAAAGTGAAAAAAATTCCTTGTCACTTATTTTTATAAAAAATTAAATTCTCTACAAAAAAGGTCTGATTGAAAATTTTCGCCAGACGAGCCGTTTCCGTGTAATTGAGCTTAATAAATCGATGTGTTTTTTCGATTTGCCCTTTTTACTTTGAAATTTTGTAACTAATGAATCAATGAATATTTAAAAAAGCTCACGTCGGATTCTTAAAGGAAATTTAATGTTCTACAAAAAAGGTCTCGGAACATTTTTGCCTAAATTTAATTCTTCAAAAGTTATTCACGAAGAAAAAATTGAAATTTTAAGTTTTTCTTCGATTTTAATCGTGAATAACTTTTGAAAAATTAAATTTAGGCAAAAATGTTAAGAGACCTTTTTTGTAGAACATTAAATTTACTTTAAGAATCCGATGTGAGCTTTTTTAAATATTCATTGATTCATTAGTTACAAAATTTCAAAGTAAAAAGGGCAAATCGAAAAAACACATCGATTTATTAAGCTCAATTACTCGGAAACGGCTCGTCTGACGAAAATTTTCAATCACACCTTTTTTGTAGAGAATTTAATTTTATATAAAAATAAGTGAAAAGGAATTTTTTTCACTTTATTATTTTGACAGTTCTAACGTAAAACATCAAATTATGACTAAAAATAAAAAATAGTGATGATAGACCTCTTAAAATTAATATTAAGGGCTCAAATTTTCACGAAATATTTTTTTTGTCATTCTGAATGACATTCTCGATATATTTTTCAAAAAAAAAAATAGTCAATTTTTTTGGCCCAGTCTAACCTACAAATAATGACACTTTAAATTTTTTACGTTTTTTGTTTAAAGGACACATTTTAATACATTTTTTAATAAATATTAAAAAATGTATTAAAATGTATCCTTTTTCATACTAAACAAAAAACGTATTAAATACACAGGGCAATAATTTATTACTTAAAATAAAAAATATGGGCTACTTAAAACATATTTGGCAATGTTGTTGGTCATGTAAAAAGGGAATAAAACAGAAACATAAATCATAAAGCTTTATTAAATTAAAAATAAACACAAAAGTTAAATAAAGACTAAAAAATGTCAGTCTTTCAGAAAATAATTAAAAAAATATTTTTTTAAAACAAAAAAGCAATTTGGTAAAATTTTGGTATTAATAATAAATTATATTATAATAAAAAAAATTAAATAACAATTTAATTAACACGCGATTTCAAATTTAATAAAAAAAATAATTGTTATTTATGTACAATATTTAGAACAATTAATACGTGTCTAATGTTATTACTTCATAAAAAATTACAAAAAAGATATGGATGATTATGGAAGAACAATGATTGTTTATTATGATTGTTTGTATATGCTTCAAGCCAGTTTTAAAAGTTGTTTTAGAATTTTTTTTTGCTTGCTGTGCAATAAAAATAATGTAAATTATTTAAGAAATATATGAATTGTCTTTTCGAAAACAAATAGCTTTTGAACAACATGCATAACAATAAACTTAATCTTAACAATTAAATAGAAAAACTCTTAATATAAAAGTCGTAAATCAGATCAGAAAAGTCTTACACTTGGTACATGACTACTACTACTTCACAATTTTATTGTGAACTCCGTTTCGGTGTCATATACCAGACATTTGTGTTAGTAACCCACATGATTGATCAACCAAGGCCACACAAAGGACACTAAGATCCCTGTAAATATTCCAGTTATCAAGGAGGCCGCTGCAAACATGCCCGCTGTTGCCGCGTATCTGTCCTGGACAGTCCTAAAACATATACATGCCGTCAATCAAGCTTTTGATCCTTTAAGAATCTAAGACTAAGATGGTTATTTTTTTAGGTAACCTTTTAAGCATTTCGCTTGTCGTCATTTTAGCTAGTAGTAATTTTAACTTTTCATTGCCTGTCGTCATTTATTATTGTTATTATATTAATCCTGTCGTTATTTAGGCTTGTCTTAATTTTAACGTGTTAATATTTAAACATGTCATCAAAACAAAAACTTTAAATAACTTTTTCTACGAGCGTGTGGAAAGTAACTACTTTCCACACTCATATGCGTTCTGAAAGTTGCATTTTTCCGCGCTAGTGCTGAAAGTCTTTGAAGTACCGGAAGACATTCTTAAATAAGCCAAAAATGTAAACATAGAACAGTTAACAGAAAAATCAAAATTTCGGTATGCTAAAGAGTTTCAAACATTTTGTAAATGGTGCGAAAAAAAAAAGTTTAAAATTTAACTAGTTTTAGGGAAGACTCCCAAATCTTGCTATTAGTCTGACTTACTAAGACTTATTCAGACTTTTTTCGACTTAATAAGTCTTATTCAGAGATTTTAAGAGAAAGTAAGACTCAAAACTCTTACTTTTACTTATTAAGAGAAAAATTTCCACAAGGGAATTACTGTGAGCTTGTCATTACTTAAGCACGCGGCCGTTTAGTCTTGTGTTCATTTTAGCTTGTAGTTATTTAACCTTATAACTTTGGCTTTATTTTATATTTTGGACTTGTTAAAAAGAAATTTTGCCAGTAATCCAGATTACTGGCCAATTGGCACGTGTATTATACAGTCTAAATTAAAAGAAAAACTGGTTTCTTACCTGGGGGCATACATCATCCCAAGTGAGCTGTAATAGCCGCTACTAAGTCCAAAAAGAATGGCAACAAACCAATAGACCCAGTCGTTAGTAAATAGAGTTGGCAATATTCTTGAGGTTCCGTCAATTTCGTATTTTGAAAAAAGGAAGAAGGGCACAAATAACAGTCTTAAAGTCACGGGAATCCATAAATATTTTGGACCAGGCTAAAAATATTATAAATTTATACAAGTTGATAGAAACAAGAAAAAGTTTTCCCTCAGAGCATATAAAACATGGATTCTTAAGTTTTTTTAAATTTTACTCTTTTTATCCCATTTTTAACATTTTAATAGTTGTAGAAAAAACAATAATCACTGACTAAGATTTTATTTTCTTTAAGGTTGTAAATGGCGTAAATATTGCAAAAAGTGTAACATAAAACTTACCCATTTTACTAAGCTGGGTAAAGAACTACCCAACATAGCTGTAACATTAAATGTTAAAAAGCATAAAATTGGTGTATACATGTCTTTTCCAATGAAAAAGTTTTCATCGCTAATTTTTATATCTAAAAATAAATCTTTTTAGCATAAAGAACAAATATTTATATAAATTACTTACTAGCTTGAACAGCAGGAAACACACTTAAAGTAATAAAAAAAAGAAAAAATATATTGTACAGCTGAGGCCAGGCTTGTTTTAATATGTGTAAATATGGAACTCTTTCTTTAATTCCCTTATTTGCAGCTGTCCTTTTATCAGCTTCTTTTTTCTCTTTTAACTCAAAATGCCTGTAAAATCTCTGAAAAATAAAAACCTGTGACCTAGTATTTAATTAATTAATAACTAAATTATTAAACCTGGATACTTTAAATTTCGGGGATATTAAAAAATATTCCAAAAAATATCTAGTCAAACTTAAAGGCTGATATACAGTTGCGGACAAAAAGCTTGTACTTACGTTCAGAGGTAGCGCGAAGTAGGTATCGAAACAAACGAGCAAAACAAAGAGGGCCGTTATAAAATAATAAATGGCAGCCATGCGTTTTTCGTTTGTCATCATACTCGATAATATCGAAACAATGGAAGTGAATGTTCCGCTTATGTTAGAGCCTAACACTACGGCCCCCGTATATTTCGGCGGCAATTTGGCAGCCATGCCGAATATTGTGTTCTGGTAAATTCCATTGGCCACTAAAAATGTTATTTGGTGATTATAGATATTAGTAAAAGTGTGTTTGATTTAAAGAGTAAAGAAAAACATTTTCTGGACTGTATTAAAAATATAGGCACTTTTTGCAGGTCAACCATAAAAAATTACAGTAAGTAATATTATGCACTACATCTCCCACGTCAATAAAAAAAGTTTTACCTGACTCTCCAAAAAAAGACCTATACAATAGTATATTATGTATTATAAAAGATAATTAGATGACTTTTTTTTAAATAAATAACTAAAATCTGACAGGTTAACCTCACTATCTAGCATTTTTAAATATTATAGTCGCCATGTCCTATTTTAAAACCCGATTGGTTCAAATCACAGTGAATATTGAAATTGGCCAATCACTGATGCATAACAACGTGAATAATGAGTTTATTATTCACGTTGTTAGGCAGCGAATTAATAATGGTTATAATTATATACGGAAAAACCTAATATAATGCAATGGGATGAGATAAAATAAAATACTTACTATTTAAAATAACTACACAAACCATAGTTGTGTAAAAAAATCCATTTGGAATGGATGCCGTACTAACCATTGCTAATATAACAGTTATTATGAAAACTACAACTTCTATACATATACTCCACACAATTCTAGTTGTTAGGTTTCCACTAAAAACAAAAAAGTTTATTTTGATTGTTTTTTAACAAAAATTTTACTTTTTTAATGCTGGGTTCCCAATTTTACATTTTCTATAATAAAAAAAATGTTCTGCAAAAACTTTTCTGACATTTTTTAAAGTTTTGGCTTGTGCCATATTGTCATTATATTTTAATTAGGTGTCCCAAAATATTACATTTTTTTGGATACTATACTAAGTAGAGCTTTTTTTTTTAATAATAAAAACATGTGTTTTTTTAAGTAGTTTGTTTTTTATTCGGAATTTGACACATTTATTTATGTTGGTACTGTATATAAATATACTTTGGTATTTTTAATATGTATATAAAATTGGTACTTCTGTTCAATGCCTTAATTTTACTTTAACATTTTTATTTAGTTAGAATTATAATTAACAATGCAAAATATAACAGAAAATTCTAAACGAATTTTTGTAAACAAAAAGCATTTTGATGAAAAAATTAATTTGTACTGCATAAATCCACCAAATAATTATGTTTTACTCAATGTAGTCAATTATAAATTTAGGGTTTCTAGAATTTTTTGAACTAAACCCCCAAATTTTTGACATTGTCAACTTAAGAATAAAAAAATAATCTATTTTTTATGTTTAGTTTAAAATATATTTAAATGTAAATGTAGTGATTTAAACCGTTTTAAGCACTTGTTTTAAACGGTTTAAAACGTTTATTTAAACCATTTTGTTTAAAACATGCCAACCCTGCCCAAAATGGACACTTTTTAAAACTTAATTATAACACATGTTTTTCAAATACCCACATACAAGAAGAAATATTAAGATATCATTTAAAATAGTTTTAAAGGTCTTGTTTAAAACATTTATTAAAAACATTTTGTTTTAAACATGCTAACCTTGCTTAAACATAAAGTCTCTTAGTTTGAAAAATCACAATTTTTTTAAAATATAATTCAGGCTTAAAACTAAATAACTTACCCAATTCTCATAAATATATTTAAATAATTAAATATAATGTTAGGAACTTGAGATGAAAAAGTCAAATATTGCATAAAGTTACTCATATCATATTCTTGATGTATGTACGATTTATGCAGTTTGTAATCTGTAAAATACTAAAAAGAACAAAAATTAGAACATATTTTCAAATATAATAGCATGCTTTTGAAGCTTAGACCACATATTTCCAGATCTATATCTACAAATACAATTGTTGACGCTGTTAAAGCATAAACAAAACAAAACCAAAGGAATACATGGTCTAAGTTAAAAACACAAATCATATTACTTCTTTGGCATTAATAAACATATTCCATGGCATCAGTACTCCTATACCGTGTATCAAAAACGTGAGATACACCAAGGCGTACCTATCGGGGGGCGTATTGAGTTGCAAACTGGCATCATCCATCGTGAGATTTTTGAAATTCAATTCTTCCTCGGGTAGATTGTTTTCTTCCCAGGATGGCCGCAGTTTCACTGGCTCTTGAAGTCTTGTCATCTCATTGTTTTCTTTTTCTGCAAGCGATAACAAAAATCATAAATAAATAACACTATTAATAAATGCAGTTGAACGTGAAAATAATGGGCTAATGTAACAAGTTCTCTGTCAGCAAATAAATATAATTTTAAAATAATAAAGAGGATTGTTTTTTTAAATGATTCATGCACTGTTTTAAAAATAATGAGATATACAGGGTTAACCATTAACATTTCCAACAAATTCAGGATAAGATTCTTTAAATGAAAATAAGAAAAAAACTAGTATCCAGAAATTCCTCAAGGTACAATGTTACATATTAATTAACTTTGTGATAATAATGTTTTATTGAAGTTATCTTTTTTTGGCGCTTGAGAGTAAAATTTTAGCAGGCGAGGGAAGTGACGTCACAGCGTAACACCGACTAAATGCCTGTAAGTATCAGGAGAGGATCAACTGTGTTCTGCAAAATTAAAAAATGGTAGGAAAAATCGTAGTGGAGTAAATTAAAAAAATTGGACAAAATCCCACAGTACCTAGCATAAATTTAAAAATGGTGCGACAAAATCGCATGCAACATAAATTTAAAAAATTGTATGAAAAATTTTAATTTTTTTAAATTGGACGCCTTTCTGCAGAAAGGAACCAACCCACAAAACCAAAAAAATCGAGATATTTAGCCTATGAACTAATTAAGTATGTATAATTTATCTGCAAAATAGGTCATAGCCAAAATGCAAGTGTAGTGAAATGTATTAATCATTGAACCAACCAACATTCAATAATAGTGTGGATTACTAATCCAGAATTAGAATCTGTAGAATATCTGCAAGTGGGTTGGATCTTTTTTGTAAAAAAGCAGGCTGGTAGACCCACAACCAAAGTCTTTAAAGATTTCCTGCTTCTGCAAAATATAAAGTCTTGATGCATTTTTTTGGTAGCTTACAAGATGAGGTGGGGTTGAAAGATGATGTGGACGAATTTCAAATAGAATCAAAATTAATTCATATTACCATTATATCAGTTGTATTTTGTTTGGAAATAAATAATTGTCGCTTTTCTTTAAATACATACATACATCAGATAGTAGTTTTCATAAATTGCAGAAAGGAACCAACCAACAAAAGCCCATTTTTTTCGTCACCCTTACACATAACATCACAAAATCCACCTGATGAAATTATTAAATTATATCCCTTAAACCTCCGTAAGTCCAAAATCGACATAAAATTAACAGGTAATTTTAAAATGATTAAAATCTTTGATAGCTTTTTTCTCAGTTTCATCATGGTGTGGGTTGGTCCCATTCTGCAGAAAGCCGTCCAATTCCAAAAATGGTGAATTTATTGAAAAATGTTACCAACATTTTTTAAAATTTTCAAAATGAAATTAAAGTCATGATTTATTAAACAGAAATGTTTAAAATTGTATAAATTAAAATTGAAAAAACTATGTAAATTGGAGCTGAACTCAGATGACAGGAAACGAAGCTATAAAAAAAACGTAAAATTATGATTACAGCAATTTGTGTGGATAACTGATTGGGAATTTTAATCTGTTCTTCCGCATTTCTATGAAATATTGATTTATTAAGGCTTCAATTTTATTAGTTTATTCAAAGAGAATAATTTGTCAGTGGTGTACATTGATATTAAGAAAAGTCTTATTTAACCCCTTTACAAAATAAGACATTATGCTTAAGCAGATTTAAGAAAATATACAGGATATTTCCTAAAGGCGTATACTAAGTAGAACTTTAAAAAATTTGAAAAAGTTTATATGAACTTTTAAATTTTTTTATACTAGTATACGCTCTCAGGAAACATATCCCAAGCAGCATTTTTAAGTAAAAGCGTAGAGCTTTAAGGCAATATTACTTAATTTAAGTAAATATTTTGTTAAATTTACCTTAAAAATTTACTTTGAAGTAAAACTTTCTTTAAAGTTATTTAATAAGTTTTATTTCAATTATTTTTTCATATTTTAATAACCCTTAAGTCTCAAAACTTTAAAGTATTATGAGGGACGTAATTTTTACGAAAGAAAATTACTTATAAGTGTATTTCACCTAAAGGAAAATTTAACGGTAATTTTAAGGTCAGAATTTTTACTTAATGGTAAATGTTACTCATAAGTCATAATTTTACGATATTAAGACCACTTTATAACCGTAAATAATTCCTATTCGCCTGGTATTTTTTAGGGTTATTAGTGGTAATAAATACTATTAATTAATTAATTAAAACTAAATGATTTTTAAAAGATTTTATAAAATTTTGTAGGTTTTAAGTTTTGTTGAATTTTTACCCAAGCAATAATTTTTCTTAAAACAGTAGAATATTTAGAGGGCATATAATTTTTAAGATGTATCGTGCGTATTTTTATCAATAAAATAATGTGCGTTTGAGTTTTAATGCAAAATATTATTAGTTTTGACAATTTAAGTTGGATATATTTTTTAATTTTACTCTAGGGTGGCCTTTATTACTTTGTAAGTACCATTTTGTAAAATATAAATTAAAAGAACAAAGAAATTACGAATGTCAATGTTTAAGAAAGAGAGAGAGCAAACAGTTAGTAATTATAGCGTCATTTTTACGTAAATTTGTGGTATTTATATTGTTTTATTACGTTATTCTCTTAGTAGATAAAAAGGTTATTATGTAGGTAAAATAACGAAATAAACCGTTCCCCAAATTTGGTAATTTTTCGTATCTATACCGTTATAAAACCGTTTTGGTTAACCGTAAAAAATACTTTAAAGTTGACTTAGTAGTAAATTTGTAGTTATTTAAACTTAAAATGCTGCTACCTATAGGTACCTTATATTTTTGCAATCTTCAGTTTACTACCTTAATAGAGTTCGACGTGATGCTTTTGATGCTGGGCTTATTTGTAGTCTTTAAATGGGGTAGCTCTTTATTACATGCGTTATCGCGTAAGGGGATCGCGAATGAAAAAGAAATAAAACTTTGGACGTATAAAAATAGTAAATAATAATTACCTATAATGAAAATTTATTCGAGTAAATTTAAGTTTATAAACTGGAGAATACTGAAAAGTAATGTTTTATATACGAGTTGAATAAAAACTGAAGGGTAAATAGAAACAAATTTGCAGAAACCCAGTGTTGTAACGTATCTAGTTACAAGTAACTACCCACTGAACATTATGGATGTGGCGATGTCACAGTGACGTTTAAAAATTGTCAATTTTAAGGCACATTAACTACGTTTTTTAGTGATGTTCAATTTACGTAAAAATTACGCTAAAAAATAAACGGTACTGTCGAACACGTCACTATACCGTCCACTCTATGCCTTTTATTTTACTTTAGCGTATTAGGTGCAAAACACAACGTACATTTTACGTCACCAATGTGACACATGATAAATATGAATGGGGTAGGTTTGCCAATGATGAACATTAAAATATATGCCACATTTACATTTTTGTTGGAAATTTGAGTGTATAACTACTTAGATAATTAAATACCGAATTTAATTCATAATTTTATATTAACTTACTTAGAAACCAATGTAAGTAGGTACAATTATTATTTTAATGACTTATTATAAATCCCAGAGTGATTTATTAATTAATATTACCGAATAATAATTATTCTATTATTATCGCATCGTGAGATTAAGAAACGTATATTTTATGTAAAATTTACGTAAAAAAGGACTCGGGTAATTTCGTTTCCAGTCGATATATCGGTATAAAAGGGGCCCTGTAACAGGGCATACTCTGTTTGCGTTGCGACTGCCATTGTTCTGTGTTCAACACAGTGTGTTGCCATTTGTTGCTGTGTGATAGAAAACGCATTCTTCTCCATAGGCGAGACTGAACGGTTTAGGTAAGTTGGCTTTATCATTTGTTTGCAACCATACGGTTATAATATACTTAATTAATTGTCCCAATATCGCCATGATGGCGCTATTAGTGGTTATCGAATTTTGTTGATTTAAATGTTAGCGTTGTGAGAAGTAATATTAATCAATGCTGTTAGACTTAAAGAAAAGTCTTTTAATCAATTTGATTTTTCAGTTAATATACCAGTGAACATGGGAGACAAATTTTGCGCCGAGCGACAGGCAAGTTATACCTATAAGTTTTATATACCTAATTACTTAGATGATAATGTTTGTTTTAGAAGCCAGTATGAAGTGATTTCGATAAAGAGAGCAAGGAGTTGTTCCAAACCGCCAAGCAACGCACATAACGTTTTTTGGCCAAATTTGGACATGAGAATGAGGCCGAAAATTAATTAGGCGGTACCTACTTATATAATGTTTTATTTTTATAATTTATTTTAATAAAAAAAATATATTTCCAAAGTGGTAGTTTTATTTAAAAAAACGTAACTAATACGTACAAGTTGAAACAAAACCTATACGTCCATATTAAAATGACATTTTTACGTCCTTTTAAAAACGTAATTTTTACATCCATTTAAAAACGCAATTTTTACGTCTCCTTATCCACGTAACGGTTATGGCTAATTCGCGGCCCAGGATCCGGACATAGGCACATCACAGCGACGTTTATGTGACGTTTATTTTACAAGATTCTTATACGTCACACTACAACCTTTGACGTTAATTTTACATATATTTTACGTTTTTTTGCTCAGTATCTAGATACTTTTTATGTATCTGTTTGTGTAACTAGTTACTTATCCCAATCTAGTAACTATAACTGTAACTAGTTACAAATTCTAAGTAACTAGGTGTGTTAAGATACAAAGATACATTTTTAATTAAACTGCGACTATTATTTATTAAAAAAAAATATTATAAAAAATAAGTTATTTTAAATAAAATATTATAAAAAAAAATAAAAATAATGAACATGTATATTTTTGTTGTCACTTTAAAATTCCCTATTTTAAATTTTTTAAAGCAAAAAATAATTTGTATGTATCTTAAAGTATCTAGATACTTTTTGAAGGTAACTGTATCTGTAACTAGTTACTGCAATAAAATATGTATCTGTATCTGTATCTAGTTACAAATTTTGGTAAGTAACTGTAACTGTAGCTAGATACTGAAAATATTGTAACTGTTACAACACTGCAGAAACCAATCATCAGTTTTGTTTTAAGCTATGACAGAAGTGTCACATGCACTGTACAATAAAAAAATATTTCCAAAATTAACAAAAATATTTCTTACTTTGACTTGGATGGGCAGTTCCTCCGTTAGTTTCGTTGTAATAATCCCTTCTGGTATAACTCATATTGCCTTTTAATATTAACCAAGTTTTGCAGATTTTACTGGAGATTCCTGAAACAAAAACATACAAATTTAAATTAATTTATCCATATAATTTGTAGTTCGATGCATCATTTCCTTGGTTTAACAGTTTGAAATAAATTTATAGGAATTTTAAGTGTAAAAGTTAAAAGTTTATTAAAGTGATGTCAGCAATTAACATTGATTAATTACTAGATTTAAATTAAAAGGCCACAACATTTATGAAAATAACTATTTTTATAATAAAATAAAAACTAGCAAATGACAAACATTCAACCTTAAATTTTTACAAAGTTAAAATTAACACCCTGTATCTTAAAAACGAAGAAAGGTTAGACACATATGGGACATTCCATGGTAACTCGCGTTACAATCAGATATATTATTTGGCAGTAAAACGACAGTACTAAAAGTTTAAACAACACCAAGAATTTTATTTAAAAACTATGCGTAAACAATTAAATTAATACCATAATAGACAAAATTCTTTTAGATTGTTATTTTTAGAAAATAAAATTCACCAGTTACTCGCGTTACATCCTAAGGACATACGATTTAGGTACCTTTCCACAAACTTTTTATTATTTCTACGCATTTAACAATGAAACTACCGTTGAGTGAAGGAGTATAATAATCAATGAAACTATTCCTAAATAACAAAAATAGATCAAGGTTAAACATAAAGAAATATATACAAATATTAATGTTTTTTCATACATTTGGGTTTTAAAAATAAACAACAAAAATTACCACTTTCGCATTACCTACATTAATCTTTGGTACCTTTTGACATTGTAATGTTTAAAAAATAGATGCACACTGTGCATTGCACAGCCTACTATACCACATACATTAAATTGTGATTATCCTCATCATCTCCCCATTTTTATGGAATGTCACATATGGTAACAGGAATCTTTTTACAAATTTTAAGCACTGTATAAGAAATAATTTTACTTTACTTACAATTTCGTCGTTAAGGTCTTTTAATTTGAACTACAACATTTTTAAAATAAATTACAACCTTAACTTTGCACTGTAACTTTACTAATGAATGTGTTTTGAAACTGCAAGAAGTTAATACTGTTATTATTCAATTAAGTAAGATTATTTTTATATGCCCGATAAAGATTTAAACATATTTTGATAACAGAAGATTTAAAAGCATTGCTAATGTTATTTTAATATTGTAAATGCGTAAGAACATCTTTAAACTAGTATTCGTCTTAAAAGTATGACTAATTTTGATGTGTTAGGCTGTTATTTTTAGAGCTAATTATCACATGTTTTTAATAGTATAGATATCTATGAATAGACGACATTTGATTTAAATTTGAAAGTCTATAAGTGAAACTAAATCGTAAATACTTTTTTATTTTGACAAAAAATCATAAAATAATTATTTAAATCGAATTTAGGAAGCTTTAGGTATAACTAATTAAATGTCTAAAATTTAAAAATTGTGGGAGTTCCAGATTATAGTAATTGTAACACGTCATGGAGCCTACGGGGTCAAAAATTTTAGTTTGACATATTCACATATTTCTACACATATATGTACAGCTGATTCGCTATATTTTGTTTAGATGACTTTGTTTCCTCTTTGAGGGGAAATTTGTCGATTTGCCGTATCACCTTAAAGCGCATAGTCAGTTTATAAGTGGGGAATTAATATCATATCATATATTAATATATGATACCATAGACATATTAATACGTCCACGTTTGATACTAATTGTCAACTAAATAAAATTAAGGTTATATACAATTTTTCTAAATCATATGCTTGCATCCCCTAGGGTTAAGTTTCCATATATTTCTGTGGTTTGGCTTTATAAAAGCAAAAAGTTGCAAAATATGAATATTATGTATAAGCTACTATAAATCTCGTAAACAAAATAGAAAAAAACAATGCCAAAACATTTGGAATACCACAGAAAACAAAAAAATGGTTAATTATAAAAACTATCTAAATATTAATGTCTTTAGCAACTATTTGTACGGGTAGGTGAGCGAATTGATCGATTAGGGATATACAAACTTAACTTTATTATATACACATTTATACACAAACTATCTACGAACTTAGCGTGTAGTTAAGCCGGGTCTACAATTGTCGCAGGTCGCAGATTGCAGAACAACAAAAAATTCAATAAATTTTTTATTACAAATAAATATTAATTTTTTCTTTTTTTAATGTGTTAAATAGGAGTTATTACGTAGGTATAATAACTTTATTTTAATCAAAAGTTTTTTATTTTTTAAATGCGTTTTTAGATTATATTAAAGCACTGTTTTGCAGAAATAATTCACAAACTTTTTTATTAAAATTAAATATCATTTTTTTTCTTTTTGAATGTATTGTAATGGTTCCGAAAAAGAAACACCCTGTATAAATTTATTAAAATACGTGTTATTATATTTTATTTTTGTGCTTTTAAAATAGGATTAAGTAATAAACCTTTATGTTTAAGGCAAGTAAAATTACAAATTTAGGTAGAAAATTTGCCAAACAAACAAGAGAGGTACGCGCTAAGCTGAAGGAAGAATACATCTGGCATGCAGATTGGGCGAGGAATTTCCTCTAGAGGTAAACGAAAAAGGTTTTCGAAAAGGAGAGATGCAGCAGAAGCGTTTTGGAATTTTGTGCAGTACAGTTCGTTTTCTTTGGTAAAATTGTAAAAGTAAATTATTGTTTAAAATCATTGTTAAAAGTGTTGTTAGTGTATTCTACAAGGTTAGTTCTAAATATTTAATCTATTTAAATGTGTAGTAAAATTAAATAAACGTAATATTGTGCATTTTTAAAATTGTTAATATTATTATTATATAATTATTGCTATTATGAGTATATTTATCCTTTACTATTACGTTTAGCTGTATTTTACGTTATTTTTAACCCATTTCTTTTAGCTATTACCACCTATTCTCGCTTTTATTATTATCACTATAATTTTAATAATTTGCTATGCTCAATGCTGGTACCGCTCGAATGTAACCTTGTATTCTGTTTGTGCTTAACCCATCATTTTGTACCCTTTTCTATAACGTGGTTAAGCATTGTTTTATGATCAGTCCAAAGTTATTAATGTATTGCGAAATTACTCGGTGCTTAACCAGGAGTGCTGACCGTTATTGTTCCAACTTTGAGTACTCTTTGTTTGTGTGCGTGGGCCTTTGTTGTATGAACTAATATTTTTCTCCCGTGAGGGGAGAAGGTTGCCCTAGGTTCTCTAGGGTTGCATCGCTTTTCCCCGACCCTTCAACTAAAATAGGCGGGTTGCCTCCCATTGTGGACCTCGTTACATTCTGGGCCTAGCTCGGCTAACTAACCCCAATATTCTTCAGTTTTAAATCTTTGTTTAAATGCAGCATCGAGCCATATCGCCAATACATTAATTTGCGTAATTTTTAAAGTACAATGCCTGACCGCGTATTCCTTTGCTACTTCATAGCCGATCAGGGTTTTTTCTCAGGCTCTTTTTCCCTGGCCGAACCCTCCTAAGAGCCACCCCTTGCTTGTTTGTAAAAAAATTAACGTAAATTAAATTGGGGTAAATTAAGCCACTGTATTTTATTTCTTATAAACCTATTTCTCCCACGTATCATTCTTAAAGCAATGCATCTAATAAAACAAGTAAGTAAACACAGCGTAGAGGTCAAAATTTGGGTAAGACGATCACGAGCCAAAGCCACAAAATATTTAATTTATCAATTTTTCATAAAACTTGTTTTAAACGAACCTGGGGGTAAAGAGAAATCTTTACAGTATTATATAAGGACTATTGTGTATAATTTATTATATTTCAATAAAAATACTTAAAAGTTTTTAATTTTTAAATGCGTTTTTAGATGTTCATAGGGCGTTAATTGCGGAACTAACCCAATTATTTTTTTATTGCAAAAAATATTTATTTTTTTATTTTTCACTTTTTTAAATAGTACCTATTACGTATAATTAACTATAACAATAATAATAATATCGTTTATTTTCAAAAATTTGCACATAAAATTACAAGAGAACCTAAAAACAAATCCTGAAAGGAGTATGGCTCTAGATAAAAAAAATAGTTAAACAATTTCTTCTTAAGTAAATTTAAGTTGTTAATTTCCTTAATATCAGTTGATAAACTATTAAATATTTTTACACTTGCATAAAAACAGCCCTTTTCATATATTGATAACCTATGATAAGGGTAATAAAAACACTTAAGTCTTGTGATTAAAGATTTAAGATCTTAATACATAGATAAGACAAGTTCACAAGCATTAAGACCATAAATGGTTAAAATTTTGTTTATTTTAAAAATACGACTACATGAGTCGATCTGTCCTAGTCCCATGTTGCAACATTGTGCGCAAAACTTTTTTTGTATTACGAAAATATCTCCCACATTAGTACTTTGGCCCCAGAAAATGATACCATATCTCAACAAGGATTGAATATTTGCAAAATACAATGTTTTCAAAGTTTGAAATTCCATATATGATCGAATTACTCTAAAGGAGTAATATGTTTTATAAAGTTTTATATATACAAGGTGTCTCTAAACTTATTGGCATAAATTTAGGAAAAGATTGAGCAAGTAATAACACTAGGTAAATTTTAAACTTTTGAAATATCACAGCCAGCGGTGGATTTACACTAGGGGCAGTCGGGGCTAGTGCCCAGGGCGGCAAATTTTCTAGGGCGGCAAAAATTGGAAAGTGAAAAAAAATTTTTTTATTGTCATCAAAAATTCTCAATGGAAATTTTTTATTCTTTTAATTAATCATATATTATTTAATAGAAAATTCAAGAAATTCGACTCATACAATATTTGTCAAATCGAAATTTTGTAAATCATAATTTTGGCACCTTAAGTGAAAATTTATCTTCGAAATAATTTAATTAATTCATTTCTTTGAAGATTTGGAATGGTAATATTTGATTTTTTATTTTGCTGGAATCATAAAATTTAAATTTGGTTTTTTTTTGGAAAAGTTAAGAATGTTATTGAGTTATTTTTGCATTTGTTAAAAAAATAAAT